AAAGTACCAACGTTTCACATAAGCTACAATTTAAATATATAAAAAAAACCGTTTCCCTTACATAAGCTACAATTTAAATATATAAAAAAAACCTTGAATAGTTTGCTACTATGTAATATAACAAAAACTTTAGCCACAGCAACGCTTGGCCGGTCTGCTAGTTACATATAAATGATAGGTTTAAATTGTTAACGAAACATTATTGTTTCGTTTACTAATATAAATTTTCAAAACATAATGAAAAACAAATTCCAAACAATTTTAATAAAGATTTTTCTATATAAATTAGGTGAGATCCGTGCGCTTGATGCTTGCTGCACAGAAATTGTACATTGGATTCCAATTTGGTTAGCTTCAGTATCAAGTCTCCACGTTTTGTTGTATCCAGCTGATTTCGATTGCCCCCTTTACAACCAAATTGCCCCACTGTATAGCGTGGCCCCACGTTGGGAAACACTGGTTTAACTTATTCAATACAGAACAATAATCATCCTTTATCAAAATATGTTTAGTAGTAGATTAAGCATACATGGGTTTAAAATAAAAATCCTCTATTTTACTTTGTTAAAGACATATATATCTATCTACTCTATGAAATTTATAAAAAAATCGGTATTTGTTTCGTGATTTTTTGTTTGTGTTAATAGCCAATTGGTGATCCCTGGTCACCATTATGAAACCCCCGCTGAAGCCACTAGTCCAACACTGCTCTATAATAAACAAAGGTCATGTTTATTTCAACCTATGAAATATATAAAAATACAGAAACAATTGATAATAAAATAATTATTTTAGACTATATAAGCAAACAGTTACGGATTGAAATAAGTACAGACCGTAGCTCTGACAATTAGTGCACTGCGCACGTCCTCAGACGACCCTTCACCCGACTTCACTAAAAGTTGAGACTAAACGTGACACGACTCTTTCCAATGATTTGGCCCCAGCGTTGATTTCACCTGAAATTCAAATCGAAGGACCTATAATAATTATTAAACAATACACAATCATACAATGCTAAAATAAACCTGTCATCGAGTAGTTTTAATAATGCAATAATATAGTTTGGGAATTTCAAATACAAATTATAAAAAGAAAATTAAACTAAACTTAGCCATTATGTTTGTCGAGTTTGTTTTCAGCAAGTCACTGAATAGCTTGGTAATCATTTAAACAAAATTGGTTGGTTAAATGTGTACACCCCAGATATTGACATTAATCCGCGACATTTTGAAACGTAAATTTATTAAAATAATTCAATGCTTCCCCTCCTCATAAAAGTCTCCTCGGAACCGTAAATCCGACTTGTGTCAATCAACTCTTTGTAAAGCGTAACAAAAGAATATTGAAATCACAATATTAATTATCATTTTACCTAAAACAGCTATGTCTTATTTTATTAAGGGTAAGAAGCAATAATTGTTTTATATTCAAAGAAAGAAAAGTATTTAAGTCATCAAAAACGTAGTAAATAAAGTAAATTATTCAGAACTAGTAATTCAAGAATGATTTGATGAAGTACAAATCTATAGGTCACCTATTTAAAATATCGCCGCCAGGCGCCGACCGTAATGACACCTATAACGTCCAATTGCGAATCTATTTCTCATAATAGATCTAAAGGATCTTAACTTAAACTTATAAATTATTAGTTGAATTTCCGAAATGTTTCATGACACAAAATAATTTATTTAGTTTGACATTCACGATTATTTCTTATTTACTTAGAAAAAACATTATCAATTATTCGAGGTGTATTCTTTTGTTATAAATTTTCAATTCATGATACATATGTTATTTTTTATTATTTGGATTTTATGGTCATCATTTCATGAAATATTTTTCAGTAATAGTACATCCATACATCTATTGTAAGCACTAGCTCTAAAAACGGCTTCTTCGAGTTTATAGCAAAGTTGTATTTTTACATATACATACATATATTAACTTTGTTACAAAATAGTAAGATATTTTTGTGATTTCTCTAAGTAAAGGACTGCAAACGGCGACGACATTTGTTTTGTTTTAGCGGCAAATGAATATTTAAATTACTAAAGTTCTAGCGGAGATCTGGCGCATTTAAGCTTGAGAATTGAGATGTATCTGAAAATAGCTTATCAACGTTTCTATTTTCTTCACAGACTACATTTGTTTTTTATAGTTTATATTAAACATAATTTTTTTAATAGTGCAATTATAAAAATTATTGTTAAGATGTATTACACTGTAAAACACATAACTTAAACTAGGTACATAATATACTTATTATTTAAAGTGATTTGTAGAACTCCAAGTTAGTCAAAGAATTTTATACCTATTTACTAGATTTTGACCCATTTCTGGTGATATTTATTATACTCATCTTACAAAAACCATATATATACTACTTAACTAGTTGTCAGAGTCTAGACTTATGATTAGTAGGTATGTTTCCGACACTTAGTATGAATTTGAACATACGGGAGTAATAGTTCGCTAAGGGACATTCAGACACGATACTTAACGCGAACAATACTACTGTTTGATAAAATCCAATATATTTTTGACGTTTGAGAGTCAGACTTAACAATAATTCGTATGTCAAGTAACAATCTCGACTTGAGCACTCTCAGATATTAAGACTACTCTTAAACTTTATACAGAAAAACTGATTCGGCAGCTCTTTAAACTAGATCTAGTTTGATTGTCATTCAAGAATATGCTGCTTATCCTAAGTCTTGACTGTGAACCTTATTCTCAAATCACGACTGACTGACTCTCGGAACACTTACTCAGCTGTTAAATATAAACTGTGACATTACTACTAATAAAAAATAAATCCCACAAGTTATTTTTTTATATCGAATATTATGTCAGCCTTGATTCAGAGAGGATCGAAGAAGCCATTTCACACCCGATCGAACACAATCATACTCGTATCGTCATATGGAATAACGCATACTGAAAATATATCGGTAATTTATAAAATAAAATCTTACACTTATAGGAGCTACTTTTTTGTACTTTAACGGGTATTATAAATTAATGTAGGTTCTCTGTGCAGTATTTTGTATAGATACCTCTTGATTTCTGATACAAAGCGTACAAGGTTTTTTCGAGAATAACGTTACACCTTTATATTTTATCTGATATTATTTAATAATAGGAGATTTCTTAAGGGCCTCACGCCTAAGTGACTTTGTAAAGTTACCGTTAAATAAGGCTTTTAAAATAAACTAAATTGCTTCCCAGTCGCATCGCTAAATATAATAATACTTTTGTCATTTGTTCTGTCTCTAGTCGGTTCTGAGAATTCGTTCAAATCATCAATCCTTTACGCTGTTTTTTTTACTGCTAACGATATGTATGGGCTTGGAATGACTGAAATTGAATAATTTTTTTTCCAATCAATCTCTTATTGAAAATCACCTCTGACGAAATTATTGCATAATATACACTACAGAATAATATGATTAACGTGACGTATGTTGTGGTTCATAGGCCAATGCGCTTTGCTAACAGCGTATCAGCTGATAAGCTACTCAGCTAAATTAACATCCCTTCGTAGTTCGTATTTGTTTTAGATCTATAGACGATATATCTTTGAGGTGATAACGCCGCAGAATATAGCGATATGTCATGAATCGTGATATAAGTTAATTACGTTCCTTTATTCAAACCACCTTATAAATGGAACTTCTTCAATGAAAACATAAATCGAATATCGATTTTCTAACCACGACGAGTGCTTCTTGTGTGGAAACTAGAACTTTTACGTAGTAGATTGTTATAGAATTATGCATGTCTCAGTTTCTCTTTTGAAATGTTTATAAACTCTATTAGTCTCGTAAAAAAATTCTCTCTAAATTTCCAGCAGTCGTGTAAATGAGTCGTATTTTTTTTTATAATTTTACATAATTCAATTATGTGAATAAACATGTATTTTGATAACGTTGTCTGCAATTTAATATATACAATTTTTAGAATAAGTGCTAAGTACACCCACCACTCATGCAGCCCCAGTTCAGGGTTTTAGGTATAAAGACCCGATTAATTAACAAATTAAAGTGTATCTTATTGAAGATACACTTTAATTTGTTAATTTATCTCTATTGAGAGATAAAAAATATACGTTATACTGCTCTTTCTATGGCGTTTCACTTTCACAATTATGTGAATGTATGTTTAAGACCTTTTGTGGATAATAATAAAAGGAATATACCAATTCTTAAGTATACCTTTAATTATCTGCCTATGTAACAGACATGTATTAGTCAAATACGTAGACTTGATACCTGTCAATTTCAAAGTCGAAACCGCTAGTGTTCATTTCAATTTATATAATTAAAAAGTTATACCTATAAATATAAAAAGTATGTTTGACAGACGTCATTTTGCATCTGTGTTTACCGAAAAATAAATTCGGTGCAGTTACCGACATTGTAATTACAAATCTTTTATAATTTAGTTACTGCTTGTTCTCTCTCTTACAAATATTATATTATTAGTTTAACTTTAGCTCATGTGCTGATATTTGCAATATGATTCAAGTAAGTACTCACCCTGCCTACTTTTCTGAACACATTGTTCAGTGTTGACGCTTATCTCGCGATTATACGTGAGTTTTCTTATAAACATACTTAAATCGTTGAAATAGTGTAAAATTAGTTTAGTCTGACTTTGAAATACTTTTATTTATGTAATTTACTTTAAAAATAACCTGTTGTCATTTTCCAATATGGCTCACTGGAGTTAAATGATTATATCACGTATTTTGCAATGTAAGTTGGTACATACATATTATAATGTATGTCATAAACAACACCATCCACTTTTGATTTTATTGGGAATAAAAGAGAACATTGGGAGCTATTTTAAATAAACAATACTGCCTGTTATTTCAGGCTGTATATTTGCAGTATTTACTGAGACTCACAAATAAATAAGGTATCACTAAACCTAAAAACAAGAAGAATGTTGTTATATGTAAAAATTAACAATTTATTTTTGCTATTAGGATAATGGATCCTATTATTGATAGTGACTGGCTTATGAACAAATCAGAACCTATTGATGACAGTCAATCTGGCAATATTGCACGCAGTTGGGTATGGAGAGAAAGAGGTATTAAACCCCCTAACTCACCAAGCAATAAAACTGTGTTAGAAAATGTTGCTGAAGATATTCTTGTTCAAAAACCACTTAAAATAAGAGTAAGTAATAAAAGTTACTCAACATATATGTATATATCAATCATTAATTGTAATTAATTTATCTAAAATTTTTGCAAGTAAATATTATGGACAAAGTATTGGCTGAAGAAGTGTTTACTCTTACTATACATTATATAATATTTGTTGAACAGTTTGATGTCATATACCATAAATTTTATACATTCATCATAGTGCTGCATTTTTTTGTTAGTTTAAATTTAATTATTACATTTGTAAATTATATCTAGATCTCCATACAAAGTGGTATAAGTATACTAGTTAAACATAAATGATTTCAGTGCTGTGATCTACCAGGATATCCACGTTCAACATTCCTCATGGTCTTTAGTCCTGATGGGTAAATGCTTTATAATATTTATATTGCTATGCACTTACCCTAACATTCAGAGTCAAGACATAGCGTTTACAAACCACGCTAAGTAATTAATAGATTGCTCTAAGTCTTGACTCTGAATCTTACCCATGATTCACATTCATCATATAAAGATATCTAAACATTTTGTTTCAATATGTGAAATATTGAAATTTTTTATAAATTTCCTAATTAAATTCAATGTTTGAAAATAAGTTTCTGTTTGTAGATTGCTTTTTTTGTAAAAATGAGTAACAATGGTGAATATATTTTTTATACCCTTTTCTGAACCTATTCATATGGTATATCATATGGTCTGACCTAAGTAAATAAGTTACCATACATTTTATTAAATATGTATACAATATATTTGACTATGATTATAATTTAGTAACCAATTTTCAGTACCAAAGTTGCATCAACGCATGGAAATCATAATGTGTATGTGTCTGAGTTGGCGAGTGGTAAACACGTCAGAATATTAAAGGGTCATCCAAGAACACCATGGTGTATAGCATTTCATCCATCACATCCAGAACTTATTGGGTCTGGTTGTCTTGGAGGCCAAGTCAGAGTTTGGGATATTGCAAGTGTAAGTATTTTATTGTTTATATACACAAGTAATGGAGTAGTAAGTTGCCTATGTGTAACATGAACGCACAGTTTAGGAGTATTAACCAAAAACTTTACATACACCTGTCTATAATAGCCTAGATCTAAAATAAATTTTAAACATATCATACATTGATTATTTTGTAAATAATGTGGAAATCATTGATTGAATCATTTTTTTTTAATTTAGGGTGGAAGTGAAGTTTGGAGTGTACAAAAGGAAACTGTAATAGCGTCAATAGCGTTCCATCCGAGGGAGCAGTTATTAGTGATAGCCACTTCTAATGAACTTTACTTTTGGGACTGGAGTCAACCGGCACCCTTTACTAAAGTCTCAACTGATGATATCAATGAGAAAGTGAGGTATGTTTCAACAGAAGCTAATATATTGACTTTTAAAAGTTTTCTTTAGAACAACATTAACAATAAAGCAGTTGTTCAAAAAATCAGTTAACCTAAATTTACTTATTGTAAAATTATTATTGGTATGGAATATACCAAATATTTTGAGAAAAAAAAATTGTACTACATATTATTATTCAACATTTGCCAGATAATTGTTAATACAATTAAACACTTAATGGTCTTATAAAAGATTACTTTTAAAGCTACAAGTCTGGGTTTTAAGTGTATTGTTTGGGTATGGATAAATTCTGGATTCAAACAAAAATAACTTCTTTCAGATATGTGGCATTTGATTCACTGGGATATAAGCTCATAACAGGAATATCACTGTATAATACTCCACCTTGTGCGCCTACTGTCTCTGAACGCAATGCCCACTCAAGTCCGCCAGTCAACTATCGCAGACAAGAACCCGATGATAGTCCTAACAATAGATCGGATCCAACGGGCCCAACGGGAGATGTCATAGTTAATTCTTACCAAAATTTAGTACAAAGATATGACAGTCTGGTGAGAAATTATCAGAGGTTGTTTTTGGTACGACATAGGCTTACAGCTACGACCCCACCGCCTAGCACGGTATAGTTTTTATTTTCATTTGTAAAATAAGTAGATTCGGCCATTTCAAATTTAGTATACTCTCCTCATTTTTTTTTACATTTGACACATTTAAATTGTGAGCAATGCCCAAATATGTTCATGTTTAAATTATGTATATTGTGTATTATTTGACTATATAAATTAAAAGCATAAATTAAAAAAAAATTGTAAACATTATCTTTAATTCGTGAAATTTAATAACTTAAAAGTAAAATATAGTCTATATGATAATTTAAAATAGCCACTTAACAAACCATTAAAAAAGGTGTCAAAAGAAAAAAAAATGTCTAGAGTATAAGTAGTAAATGTAGAGGAAGCTTTGTTAACATAATTGTTCTACAAATGAGATATAGTTAGGTGGATAACAATTGTTTTAGTTTGGAAGATGTGCAATATTAGTCAAATATAGCCCATGTCTGAAGTACTTCAAGTTGGGATGCATTTTAAATATTAATGTTTTTGCAGACCGATCGCGGAACAGACCCAATGGAAACAGATTCTGCAACAGATAATAATAATGGACCAATTCGTCCAACGCGTAGGACGCCATTCTTTCCTGAAGAAGGTAAGAAAAATCTTTTGAAAGAGAATAAAACTTATTTAATAAATATCTTTCATTTTTCATATTAAATTGCGTTTTTATGTGTTGTGCAACAGAGAATACACCAATTCGACCAACCCGTAGGACGATCTTTACTGAAGAAGGTAAGAAAATCTATAATAAAACAATACATTAATACGCGTTGCAGACCAAGAGCTAAGCTACGTTAGTTTAGCTTAGCTCGCATAGCTGACGCAATTTTCCATACGTCTGTGCAGACCGCAAAATATGCGAACTAAGCTATGTGAGCTAACTAAAATATGCGAAGCTAAGTTAGTTGTGTATGCCGATGCGCAGCTACACGAGCTAAGCTAAGCACCTCCCGCTACCCCGCACACCCTTTGCACATAGTATGCAACACTGACTGAGCTTTGGGTTAGCTGTTGGTGTGCACGCTATTTATTTCTAGCTTAGCTTAGCCTAGCTTGCTTGGCATAGCTTAGTTTAGCCTTGGCATAGCTTAGTTTTCGGTCTGCAACCGGCTTTAATTTGATGAATTTATTTCTTTTGTCATAATAAATAGCGTTATGTGTTATTGTATATTTTACAATGCAAAACAATTTAATGTAATCATAAATGAGTCTTATTAGTATTGTCTTTGATTGACATAACCTTTACACATTTAAAGAAAAAACTTTTTTTACCGGATTAAAGTTATGTATTATTACGTCGAAAATGTGAAACGTCGGATAAATTTAAAATTATGTTAAATAATTGTAAATTTATAATAATACATAACTTTAATCTGGTAAAAAGTTTTTTCTTTAAATGAGTCTTATTAGGTAAAAACCTTCTGAAGTATGTACATAATATGCATGTGCTGTTAAACATTTGAATGGAAAGAAAGTATTTTTTTTCTACATACAAATTTTATTTAAATCGATTTTCGTTTCTCTGTGATCAATGAATGTATTTTTTTCAGTAAAAATATGTACTATCTTAAAATTATAATATCAATTTGTATGTTATTAAAGACGAAAAAATTAAAAAAAAAAACAACTTTACCTAAGTACGTTAATTTCCTTCATCATAGACTTATATTACGATTTTAGTAGCTTTATTTTTTAACTTTTTTGTTAATAGATGCCCTGCCGAGCACATCTAGAACTAATGAAAATACAGACGCTGATACAGATCCACTTTCTCACAGTCGTCTTTTGAATCTGGACGCATTGACGCTTGAAAGAGACTCTATGAGGTAAATTTTTAATGCTTTAAAATAGGTGTAACGATTCATTTAAAAAATATTTCTCGCACTCGACATAGGTATATGGATCAAATTATTGTACGGTCATACTGAAATAAATTCGTCCTTAACACCATGGTGCATATGTGCAGTTTAATGTTTTAAAATTTCAGGACAAGAAGTTCGAGCACCACTCGTCCAGAGACCTCTGTATTTGGTTCTCGCCCTTCAGCGTTTCAACCTCTCAACGAAGGCAATAGGCCATCTCTTTGGCAAGCGGCCAGGCATTTACCAAATCCCTTTAATCCGCCGAGACGTACTTTGATGACTACCGTTTTTAACCAAGAGAATTCGGGATCCTCTCGAACAAATGTATTTCCCACTTACAGATCGGTGACTCCCCCTCCCCCTCACACTCCTCCACCTCCTCCGGCCCCTGTCGATCCCCTTACGAGTTTCAATGACACCATATCTGATTCTGTAGACGCGATTTTTCCGTCAGACAATTCAGTACAAATCGATTACCTAACTCCCTCGTCTCCAGACGTAAATAGTCCCATTCAGGTAGTATACGGTGCTTTCCCACCCGAAACCTCCAGCAATCCTACCACGTCTAGTACAAATACAACCACACAATCTCCCGTCAATACCCCAGTCGATGCACAAACTATCAACGAGAGTCTCGATCTAATACGTGACATTCTCAGAGATTCTGGGACGAGATTGTTAAATTTGATCACTAATATGTCCTTATCGAACTTGTCGAGAGAAAGACGACGGGAACGTTCTAGAGCGCATTCTGATGGAGACGGATCGAGCGATGGAACTTCCAGATCTCGAAATACCAGAACTCGGCCCAGGTTGTTCAGTTCAGGCTTACCCATTTCACTCTTTTTATCATCTAGTTCAGAATCAGACAGTGATAACCCTCCCGAAGTTAACATATTCAGAACCAGAAATGCATCATTCAGAGAAGACGCCGCCAGAAATAGTAATCGTCCAAATGCAAGTGGATCTACTAGACCGGAACATCCTACAGACAGATTAGTTTTCGAATTGAACGATGAATTGGTGTTGGAAGAAAACTTCGAGTTGGGTGGTTTTAATGTGTCTCCCAATCCTAGAACATTTCATGTTAGGTCACAAAATCCTCAATCCGCAGAGGAAACCACAACCACCACAACTACTACAACAACTACTACTACAACTACTACTACAACAACTACTACAACAAATGAAGAACCTAGAGAGAATCGGACACGGAGTAGTAGCTTCGACCCTAATATGCCCTCTACCAGTAGAGACAACTTTTGGTCCGGAGGAAACAGGTTGACCTCTCAAGAAGCATTTCGAAAAGTTCGAGGCGGCGTTAATGCCTTGCAAAAACATGTTCAACAGCTAACGAATTTCTGGGTCCGTGGACAAAGGATAAGTATGAGGGACTTGCGTAATATGTGGGAGAATTTAAGGAGGCGAATTCTAATGCTTCATAGGGAAACGGGAAGACAAGATGTTCCCAGTTATTATTCAAGATCACTTTTAGAAAGATGCATGATGTTGTCTGACATGTCGGAGAATGTTAGTCGCAGCTCAAGCAGAACTAGAGGCCACCAAAGGACAGAAGACAGAAACGCTGAAACGAGTAGGGAGCAAGCACCTGCAGAAACGGGTGATAATGAACCAAGTTCAAGTCCTGGAACTTCAAATACAAGCAGGCAGAATAGAAATCCACAAACGAGATCCTCTTCAGGGGGTCGATTTTCTCCATTCGCTAGACGCCGCCTACAACCTAACCATAGGTGGAGGCATGAAGACGAAATACGTAGAAGAGCCCGAAATCCCACCTCCAACCGCTTATCACCAAGGCTCTCCAGGCCTCGGCGAGAACTCGCCCGGGCCATTGAAATAAGTGCTACGAGGCATGAGATTCGGATGCGCGCAATGCAAGTTTTGTCTGTTATGTTCAATATGATGATGATGTGCTTGGAAGAGCCAGGCTTAAGCCAACTTATCATAAATATGTTACGAACGTTAAAAAAGGCTTTAGCTTTAACCTGTCTAATGCTAATGAGTAATAGAAACGGTGGACGTGGAAGTGGAAGCACGAATCAATCTCCACAACGGTCCGATAATCGTAATTCTAATAACTCTGGAAATACTGGAAGTAACACTGACGGTAATACCAATGACACGAACACATCGGAATCAGTGCAAAATTCAATATCAAGTGAGGCAGAGGAAGATCGCGCTCGCGAAAGTACATCTAATAATGCAGAAAATACTATCTCTCTAACAATGGTTTCTAGTCCTAGTACCAGTACCGCGCAAAATGCATCCTTATCATTACCTAGTACATCCGCCGCTCAAAAGTGGAGTAATCGTCTAGCTGTCCAAATAGCAACAGCTAATAGAAACACATCTGTAACTGCTAGATGTAGAAGAGAGTTATATTTAGAAAGTAGACGGCTTAAAGCTTTACATCGTACTAATCCTACAAAACATCCTCTTATAAAGAAGCGTGTGCCTCCTTTGGCCTCTCACCGGATTCCTATGTTGCGGGCGTTACCTCGAAAGATAGTCAAAACACCTACCCCAAGAGATCCTTCGCCACCAGTCGCACCTGTAATTTTCCCCCTACGTGGACCACCACATGGTGAAACTTCAAATCAAGAACCGTCTAGACTCCCACCAGAGGTTATGAACGAATTTGAGCACAGGATTAATTTAATACGCATAGCTCACATGCAAGCGGTTAGATTGAGAAATGCTGCTAGGAATAGATATAGACGCCTGCAAACGATACGTCTGTATACTCCGTCGTCTGTGCGGGAAATGTTTACTCTTCAAGATGGAAATGATCAAAATCAGCAAGGGGCCCGTTCAAGTGGTTCCGAAAATCGGCCGACATTACTGAACAGAGAACGTCTTGTCGCCCGAGTTCCTATTAATATACATTCTGAAGATATGAGACAACTCCACGCCGGTGAGGCGCTGCTGCAAGTGAATGACGCGGTCAACGTCGAAGGACAAGGGAATCCACAAGCACGATTGCCTAGGATTCATGAATATCTACAACCAATAATTCTGGCACAGGTAAGACTTGTAGTACTTATTAATTACAGCATAAGTTGTAGTAAGCAGATTTAGAATTGTTTATTTGGCCTATTTTAATTTCGTTATTAATACTTTGCACGTGGAGTATTAATTCATGTTGTACGACCCTAGCTTAGAAACACTGCATATAACCTGTGTTTCTTTATTTAGTCATCAGACATGCGCCGATACTAAATTACTATTTAAATAAGTAACGATAGCGACAGCTGTGATGAAGAAACAGATTTAACTTTAAATGAAACCTTGCAATTGCTAAATCAATTTAGAAATAGTTCTTATGAAAAAGGGTTTGTGCGAGGATTTTACAAATGGTATTAGATCAAATAAGTAATTTTTGATTCCTACAATGTTTTGTCGTTGCAAATGGAAAACTAAGTGTTATTAAATTACAGAATGCAGTGGTAGTTGAAGATGACGACGAGAATAATGGGGAAGGGAATGGCTTTGCTGGTTTCGGAGTTCGACGAGTGGGCATGGGAGGGATGGCTGGTTTATTGGACGCTAGTGTTATATCAGACAACTTTCCTTCCCCGTCCCATAGAATACAGGCATGGGACTTCACTAGTGGAGACGCACCGGACATAGCCGATGGTGCGTATATTCAAATGTTTAGGATGCCACCACTTTCTTTCGCGTATTTACGCCCAAAACTTTAATTTTTACCGCAAATTTATTCGGTGAAATTTGTTTTTCTGATTTCAGTTTTCTACTACTGACTAATAACAACTTTAAATTACACTAGAAATGTTTAATTTAGTAATTATTCGATTATTTTATTATTTAGTAGATTCGTGAATTATAATGGCACTTTCATTCTGTTAGTCTATTTTGATAAAAAAATTATATCTTGACATAATCGAAGATTTCTCTTTGATGAAAATTTGGTCTATCAAGTTTGTTGGTAGCAAGTATCCACTGAACTGATTTAGAAAATAGTGTTTCCAGAAGTGATCTACATATTTCATTGTGTTCTCGTTTTACCACGTAAAAAGCTTTATAATATAGTTTCTATTAAATTATTTTAGGTGACAAAAATATAGTGGTTCAAAGATGCAGAATTCATAACGATGCCAGTATTGATATATCTAAAGATGGCAGATTGCTAGTGGCTCTCTTACCTGTACCACGATTACGAAACACAAGCCATTGGCTAGGTAAGATAGGTGTGTGTGATTTTTATTTTTTTATTTTACACTACCACTACACAAAAATACAATTAACATTACGGTCTTTAATTCAATTCTTTTTTGCATTCGCATGAAATAAGACGCCTACTCATATAGAAGGAAGAAGAGAAAACAGAGCTGTTATAGTAGTTCTTAAAATATCCAACTAAACTCTTAACTTTTCTTTTTTTTTCTTCACTTTTAGACAAATAAAAGAGTAAAGACAATTGAGACCCAAATAATACATTTTTTGTTTATTCTTCGCGCTTGTATAACTTATGTACACTAGCTTTGAGAGTATGGAACTGAAGTATGGCGTTCCGCCCTAAAAATATTTCCATAGTACAAATCTTCATTGAGCTGACACTAAAATTTATCATTAAACTTTAAAATTCATTGACGTCAATTATAAAGTTGAGGTGTAATATCGCGATATTTCCGATCAAGGGGTGTACTCGCTGGAATGGCCCCGCCTGGGTCACTGCCTTCACACAGCGGTGCTGGAGCAAAGTGCAGTGTCGGTAGCCCTCTCCCCAACTGGGCGACACTTGGCCGTGGGACTTGGGTCTCGTCGCTTCACATCGGTACATCACGCGAGAAGCAGTGTTTTTGCGTTGCTCTTCAGACTTGACCCTCTCGGTAAGAGTTACTCGATTTACAATATATTAAACGGAGAAAACAAATGTTTAGTTAAAAATAGTTAAATTTTTGACTACCGAAAGACTGGTTATATATATAAATTGATTAACTCTATACGTTCCACAGATTCCTCTACTTTCACTGTACATGTATAAAATAATTTTCAGACGGCACAAGCCGCACCGGGCTGTCGCCTATAAAAGAGTTGGAGCAAACCTGGGAACACGGTTTCACGAGCCTCAACTGTTTGCGTTGGGCGCCACAACCTGGCCAAGGTTTAGTCTACGCTAACAACACTGGCCAACTTATTATTATGAGTTAGACGGGTCACGTGACGTGCGAAATTTGAGCGCTACAGAGAAAGCTCATGGTTACTATTAAACGTCATAGTATGCATCGAGGTATTGTTAGTCAATTGCCCAATTTGAAAATGTATAATTTTGTATTGAGACAAAATAAAGTTTTATCGAGTTTGTCATTTCCAATAACGAAAAGAAAATAAATAATTGAAGCGCTTAAATTTTGTGTCGAATGTGAACAATTTTTTATTTAACAAAATCAAAATAAAGTAGCATTTTAACGATAATTATTTCATTCTCAATAACGAAAAACAAATATAAAATAATAACTTACCAAATGTAATATCCACATTACAATTGCGTTCCGAAAATTTTAACTGATATAATAGTCTAATTAAAAGTAACGTTCAAACGAAGACATGTTCAATGCCGATGATTGTAGGTCAAAAACTTTAAATTAAAATGACAATCTAAATGTTTGCTTATCAAGGAGCTTTATTAACGATTTCCCATCGTTCATTGACAATTACCTAATAGGTAAAATATAAGATTGGTCCGTTTAATGATCTCGGGCCTTTAATGGCTGCAACCGGTAACATGACACTCGGAACACCTTATTGTTACCATATTTAGTTTTACAGCAGAATTGATTTAATGAATTGTAGTGTAAAACATGTTTTAAATATATTACTAAGTAAATTTGGTATAGTACTCAGCGATAACCTACCAAATTTGAACGGCCTTATGATGTGGATCAAAGTTACCATGGCAACGGCAATGATAACCATGATAACGAATACCGTACTAAAGTCTACATTATTTAATAAGTCCGGAAGAATGTTTGACGAACGGCGGCTTCGGTCAACGGCTGTCGCCAGTAGAATGAGTGAAAAGGAACGTTGCTAAGCGGAACTAAAGCTATCTCTTTCTAATGGTCATTGTTATCGTTAAGACGTACTGTACACAAAAAATCTATATCTTTATCAGTCCTGGTATAGTATGACTACATTTTTACTTATATAATAAGATCCCAATGTTTACATGAAGTCATTCGGTTTCATGTGCATTAGAATTTAGGCGTAGGTATTTAATTTCTTTAATAACTTGTAATATAGGTAGGTAAGATGCGTGAGCTGATAAAACTATTTATATTTTTTTCTATGTAAAATTTATTTTCATTGTACTGACTTTGGATGTAAATTAATAATTTATTTTGGAATTTTGAAAATAGTACAATTTTAGTTCAATAAATTCGGTACGAAAAAAGCAGAATTTAAATTATATTGATCTTTAAATTTTTTTTCTAAAAATTTGTCGTATTTTAATTTTGTTTCGATGATAAATATGGCTTCATTTTAATATTTCCTGAAAGTCGATAGCCAATGAACGTTTTGAAAATTAGATTATCTTGATAAAATGCTTTCGTTAATATGTTCTTGCGATTTAACTATTGAAGAAATGTAAATAATAAATCTCGTTCTTATGTAATTGTGAATGCATTAGACCTTTAATATTTCTTTAGTTCTTCCATTAAGTTTGTACCTTTATTTTTGTATAAAGCTTAATATTTTGTTTATTATGTAAAATGGTAATAAATAGAGAATTTCACTCAATGATGTAGTTTGAATTGGAATGCATCACTAATATACTACTACTAATTAAAAAAGGAAAGGCTAGCACATGTCTGGCTTAGTTTTCAAAGACTACTTTATTCATAAAGCTAGATACAAAAAAAACTAGGTGAAGTGATATATAATACAAATTCCTCATTTTATAGCCAGCTAGATGTGTCCCAATCGTTGATTTGTCAACGTTAAAAGATATTTCAATCAACATTTGTAATATTAAAGTAGAATCCGATATGACATGGAATGGATGTAGATTGCAATCATGACGTAACTTAACTTTATTATTATTTCTTTATTAGTTGTGAATTGTTATAACACCACCATTAGTCGGGGGCTTCGATTCCCTCCCATCTTAACTTGTAGCATCAATTTCACTTCTGGCAGCACCAGTTAAAAGCTGACAGTTTTTTTGCGGACGTCAAATGCCCTTGGTATTTTACCATTAAGTAAAACTAGAACATAGAAATAAAACACGATAAACTTTTTCTAATAATTTATTCATCATTATTATGTGACAAAATTTGCCAAATGTACAAAATGTGATTATAGGTATATTGTGGTATATTGTAGCTAATTTAGATTTCAAATATCCCTGCTTCATGATGCGAAATATCTTCGACTTGAATTATTATCCCTAGCAGGCAACACTATTCTGAAACATTCTTAATAATTGTTTCTCTATTTCTTTAATAAAATAATTTTAACGTAGTGCAATCAATTAAAATTTTCCTTTGTCTAAAATTAGTTAAACCCCAATAAATTGACTTACATTAACAGAAAATAAATTTATTTAAATATTTCCTGCATAATTCATCAATATTCTATAAACGCAAAACATTTATTTAATTGTAACTACACAAACGTGATGATGACGTAAACTATAACTATATATTGATTAATACAAAAACAAATTGAATTAATGAAACTGTACTACAAAATATATAAAAGATAATGCTCAAAGTCCTATGGATAATACATTGGGAATTCAATGTATACAAAATGGTACCAAATACGGAACCAATTCTCATAATAGCTGAGGAGAAGGGATTTATAAATGGCTGACATTCTCATTGCATCTCGCTTGCATAGATCGGTGTGAGGGATCACACATCGGTAACGATAACGTAAAAACTGTTGATTATAGTTTAGTCAAAGATACTCATTTAATTATTTAAAAAAACTCGGTGTAATAATAACTCTTCAAATATTATCTTTTTGATTATGCAACAGATTAAGCCATTTACAATTTCCTCCTTTAGCTCAGTTACACAACTGTTATCGAATAAAATAAAAATTAAAAAATACATGTCATATTTACAAATTACATAACATTTTGGTAAAAGATTCTGTAACAGACTTTTCTCCCTAATTTGTGAATGATACAATAAAAAAATCCAGTTGTGACTTAGGAACTGTCACTATAACTAATGGTTTTAACTTACAAATTGTATGAGAAACCATTGGATAACACTAAAAATTCCTACAAATAATTTGCTCGCAGCACACAAACGACTCATCACAGACCGAATGTAGAATAATAGGAGTCTAGTGTGACCACACCCTCCGGTGACTTAGAAGCATTTAAATATAATATAGCGTCTATAACTAACTTCTTGGAAGTGATGTGATGAAATGTTAGTGTTCTGATGGCTTCAATTCCTTAATTTGCTTTATAAGGTAAGCCTTCTCATCATTGAACTGCTCGTCTTCAGAGCGGTCTGTGTGGAACTTGGTCAGGAAGTCCACCAATTTATCCTGGTTTCGAAGCAGTATATCCAGTATTGGTTTTGGTTTATTTGGATTGGCTACGAACACCTGTAAAATTATAGCATCATTAGCCTTTTCTAGTTAATACCTTAATCACTCAAAGTATAACTAAAATAAAAACTTGATTAGAATCCAGGTTGGATTCAATCATAATGTAGTATTATAGTAACAGTTCTCATTAGAGTGAATAAATTTCATTTATAATTGATGTGTACTTAATTACTTATTCTATTTTGTTTACACAATGCATACTATTTTAGATATTAAGGTTGTCTTAGTTTATGTAAAAAGCTAGACCTAAAAATAAACACTTATTAAATAAAATAATTATTACTATTTGTAAGAAGAAATCAGAAATCTCTAAAGTAAACCTGAAAGAGTTACAAATCTTTACTAACATCCATTGGCACTTACACTTTTATAACTTCCATTTTATCCAAAGGGTCAACTTAATACTGCCATTCCAGTATTAGATATCAGATAAAAACATAAAATTCTATAATCTATATGAATAAAATAACTAAAAATAATTGTAAATAAAATAAATACCTTAAAAACATGGAAAGCCTCAAACTGTATATTACGCGATTTCTCTTTAAGCATATTCATCATCAACTTCAAATTCTCTGGGTTGGTGATGTAGCGGGTCATAATTGAAAAGTTATGTCGATCCAGCAAGAGTTCTCCAAGTAATTTCAAACTCTGCCGTCGAGTTACATAATTCTCCGAGTTCAACAATCGTTGGTAATGGTTAAACACCTTATCGTAATTTGCTTCTAAAAACTCAGCACTTAATATTTTGTGTCGTGTTAACAGTTCCTAAAATTTATATTCCCATTAGATCATATGTTTTTTTTTTAATTTCTTTATTTTACAAAAAAAATATAATACAATCATAATAAGTTACATTAGAAAACCGCTGTGGTTTATATTGATGTAACCATAAGGCCCTTTCTCCACTGCTCCGGTCCGGCGTCGGATACCGGAATGAGTCATGAGAAAAATATCGGAAGGCCGGATTGCGCTTCTCCACTATATCCGATCCGACAATAATCGATACTTGTATATTTATCTTGCAACACTTATATTAACTAAAACCCACATACTTTATTTTATTAAGAAAACGTTCTAAATTCTGAATATTTTATTGCCCTGACAAGTTTATTACTTTTTTTATATTGTCTAAATTAAAATATTATAATCTACTTCATAAATAATTCACTAATACTATGGTATAAAAATATAAATAAATAGCAACATAATTTGGTTTGGTCCAGGTTATCCAGATTCTTTCAAATTAAAGAAACTATAAATAAACCTGTGAATAATAATTTATAACCTCTTGGATACTTGGACCGATAAAACACCGCGTTCCTATCTAGCAAGTTATCGGATCGTTAAAAACCGGATGCCGGAGTAGTGGAGAAGTACGTAAGTACTGTTGTGAGTTTCTAAATCGGATCGGTAATTAACGTTTGCCGGACCGGAGCAGTGGAGAAACGGCCTAATAGTCTTGTTTAGGAGCGCGACAGTTGCCTTTTGTAAAACGTTACGATACGGGGCGGAGATTGAATTACGCGTTATTGTTAATATTATTTTCGACTTTTCAGTACTTGACACCACATAATGGTGTTTTACTATACTTGGGTACAGATAAACGTTACGGCGCGTTACATGGGGGGAGGGGGGTTCAATAATATCTAAAAATTGCGTGACGTAAAACGCCTTACTTCCCATTTTAGTGATTATTTTCTACATAAAAAGGTCAGATTCATTGTTGTTGCCTTACAATTGATAATTATTCCCAGAGAACCAAATAGAAACAGAAAATAAAACTATAAATGTTCATTAGACAATTATTTCAAAACACTAAAAATTTACATGACCTACTTAAGCTTATTTTATGAGCCTACTTAAATAAAAAAAATACTTTAAGAAATGAATTGTAACAAATATTTTTAGTATATACTACAAATTTTATTAATTAGTGACCAAAATAATGATCTGATAACTAATGGTACAGAAGAAAAAATTGTATACACCTAAAATGTGTAAATATTTGATTAAACTTAATTAATACAAATTATTCGTTTCAGATAGTAAGAAATTATATCAAACGGGCAGGAGAATCTTCTATTCATATAGTTTTGTATATAATTTCGTAATTAAACACTTTTTTCACCTACTAACCTTAAATGTAGAAAAGGCATCAGAGGCAATATCAAATGTTGAAACTTCTACATATCTGAAGAAATTGTAAAAATCATCAGAATATAACATTATTTTAGCTAAAGCCTCATATCTAGCACACTCCCTTAGCATAGTGCCACAGTTTGAAGCAATTTCTTGGTGCTCATACCTGAAAAGCCATATTTTTAAGAACTTATTGTATATTTGTGAAATCATTTTATTTATTTTAAAAAAAATACAGAAATTTATGTAATGGTGGAGCACAAATTAGTGGCAAAATTATTTCTAAAATAAATCCTACTACAAAAATTCTTTTGTTTTTCAGATTCAATGTAGTTTATTAAAGTCACAATTTGTAAATTTTTAACAAATCCAAAACTTACCCAGACATCAGGGTAAACAGAATTTCAGGTTTTGTACATATGTACTCAACGGTTGGTGACCGAGTACCTATTTGACGCCTCAACACATTGTTAAATACTTGTGCAACATCTTTTTTTCCTTCAAAGTCAATGCGGTTCAAGTTCTACACAAAACAATATTAATTGATAACAAGTAAAATACAAGAAACAAATTATCTTTACTCTAGTACCTACTTGAATGAGGAGAAGAAGGAGGTTAGTATTGTACAATTCTTGCGCCAGCTGTGCCACTATGATATCAGTTTGTGGCTCTGCATCTGAAGTACCGTACAGCATGTTTTTTATCAAAACCTATTATATACAAAACCAATATTAATATCTAAAAGTATTATTATTAATATCAATATAATTTAGTATCTTTCATACCAAGTTTTTGCTCACATCTTCTTGGGCTTTTTCTGCTTTCTTATCCCCCCTTTCTAGAGCAGTTACGGCATCTTTTAAAGATCGTACAAGCTCCGCTGGGCTCTTCTGAGATTTACCAAAAAGGGGCATAGTATTTCGATTAAATCGTCACAGGCAGTCTAAGTAATCTCGTCTTCATATGATAGTACCTGTAAGTAATTAGTATGTATGAAAACAAAAACAGTATATAGCAAGGCTACAAACCTATTTACTCCAACTATGTCTACTGGAACGAAAGACAAATAAAACTGTACTTGGCAAATTCATGATGCACCTGCCAACCTTTTGATATGCTAGATGGAGAATGAGAGTTTAAAATTATGTTTTGTTCGGTTTAAATACCACAAATATAAAGAACTCACACTCACTTTCAGATTATTAAAATAAATTCGCACCTGAGAGACATCAACCACAGCAGAATCGAACAGCTGTGCTGTCAAACTTAAAGTGTCAATAGAAATGTTGGTAGAACAGCTAACGCAACACATTAGTGTATATATTATTTTTATGTTTGTAACGTTAGAAACATTACATAAAGTTAATGATACAAAATATTTTTTATAATTAGTAAAGAAGCAAGCCATTAAATCCTAAAATACACATATATACAGGGTGGCCAAAAAAGTCGTGGATCAAACGCAAATAGGGGATAGATGAGGTCATCAGCGGCAAAAAATTGTTCTACGGGAGGTCTCTAAGGTCAACCCCTGCAGAGTTATGATTTATTTTGGTTTTTATATGAAAATTGACTTTTTTTACTAATTCTTATTAAAATTCGAAAAAATCTACATCCTGTATCTTTTTCATAATATCCACTAGATTGGTACTCATGAGTTCTTGCGTTAGACATACTATTTATAGTTGTTTATTGAGTGTATTGAAGATAATATTAAGTTATACGATATAAATTTTTTTCAAATCAAAACTTTTTGTTTATTTCGGACCACACTGTGAAAAAAAATTACTCTACCGAAAAGTGACCCTATATTACAAGTTTTGGCGCATTTAATATGGATTCTGAAAAGGTATTACACATGGCCATAAGTCGCTCTAATATCTTTCTAGGAGGAAAAAACAACAACGATTCGGACTTATGATAGATTATTTACCTACCTGTGACCAGTACTGTGTGAATCGGACTAGATTCAAAGAATTGGACAGATGGCTGGAGGGTTACTTAGGAATTTGTTTAGACGGTACAGATTAAGTATTATGGTCAGAGTCAGGAATTTTGAGCATATTTTATTGTAAAATATTTTGTTTCCTACAAACAACCATTGAGAAATAATTGTTTTAATACAATTATTATTTCACAATCGTTGTTTGTAATTCTTCCTAGAAAGATATAAGAGCGACTCATGACCACGTGTAATACCTTTTCAGAATCCCTATTAAATACGCCAAAACTTGTAGTACAGGGACACTTTTCGGTGGAGTAATTTTTTTTTCACAGTGGGGTCCAAAGTAAAGAAAAATTTATGATTTGAAAAAATGTTATATCGTATCACTTAATATTATCTTGAATACACTCAATAAACAACTATAAATAGAATGTCTAACGCAAGAACTCATCAGTACCAATCTAGTGGATATTATGAGAAAGATACAGGATGTAGATATTTTCGAATTTTAAGAAGAATTAGTAAAAAAAGTCAATTTTCATATAAAAACCAAAATAAATCATAACTCTGCAGGGGTTGACCTTAGAGACCTCCCGTGGAACAATTTTTTGCCGCTGATGACCTCATCTATCCCCTATTTGCGTTTGATCCACGACTTTTTGGCCACCCTGTATAATAAGAGCTGCTTTTTGGTAGAAATAATAAATGTGCTGACTAGGCTTTTGTCTGTGCGGTTGTTAATATTATTAATGTTCTGTGACTAGCAAATCTGGTGATTTGTCAATTATGTCATGACAAATTTCTAATACCTGTTTTCACTTTTCAGATTACAGGTTATATTTCAGGTTAAGCTTAATTTAAATAAGATCTATTTAATATTTATATCTCACAATATCTAAAACTTGACTTAAAATGGCTGAGGCTGTAAGTGAAAAGCTATCGAAAAAGTGAGTACTGTGTAAATAATCGTAATAATATGTATTCGTCACGGACTTTAACGACGGTTCTGTTTAGTGCTTTGATGAGTAAAAATATAAATTTTGTAAAACCACTATCCCAATTTTATTCTACAGTTAACCCACGGTTAGTTTATTCATTTAGACATACATCTTATCCTAAGGTGCAGATATTGAAATTAATTATATTTATAGCGAACTTAAAAGGCGTCTTAAGGCCGAACAAAAACTGAAAGAGAAGGCTGAAAAAGCTGCTCAACAGCCTGTTGTTAATGTAGAAAAGAAAGCATCCAAGGCTGAAGAAGAAATCAGTCCAAATGAGTACTATAAATTAAGAACAGCAGCAGTAGCAGCCCTTAAAAATGGAAAAAAAGAAGATCACCCCTATCCCCATAAGTTTACTGTTACAATATCGTTGGAAAACTTTATTGAAAAATACAATAATTTAAGTGATGGAGATGTTGTTGATAACGTTACCTTGTCAGTAGCTGGCAGAATTCATTCTATAAGAGAATCTGGGTCTAAACTTATTTTTTATGATTTACGTGGGGAAGGTGTTAAAATTCAGGTAATTTACAATCAAGTCATTCAAAATAATCAGTTACCAATTTATTATCATTTTGCATATATCTTGTAGTGTTTTTTCTAAATTTTATAGGTGATGGCAAATGCTAAATTATATGAATCTGAGGAAAAATTTATCAAGGACACAGATAAATTAAGAAGAGGTGATATTATTGGATGTGTGGGTCACCCTGGTAAGACCAAGAAAGGGGAATTATCAATTGTTCCAAAGACAGTGCAATTACTCTCTCCCTGTCTTCATATGCTTCCACATTTGCATTTTGGTCTAAAGGATAAAGAGACAAGATTTAGAAAAAGATACTTGGACCTCATTTTAAATGATAAGGTATATTTTCTTCAAATTTTCAGATAATTTTCAGGCCTTAAAACTATTTTTAAATCCTGATATCTCAATATAGGGACAACTTTCTTTTTGCATTCCTAATTCACATTTTTGTTTATTTTTAGATATAGAGTTCTTCTTGCTAAGTATGTGAACCATGAATTAGTAAAAAACACTTCATAAAATTTAATACATTAAAAAATTTGAAAGTGATTTAAAACATTAAAAGAATTATGTAAAGTATCAAAGTTAATTATATAAAATTTATATTCAACAGGTGAGGCAAACATTCTATACTAGGACTAAGATTATAGCATATATAAGAAGATTTTTGGACAACCTTGGATTTTTGGAAATTGAAACCCCTATGATGAACATGATCCCTGGAGGAGCAACTGCAAAGCCATTCATTACCCATCACAATGATCTTAACATGGATTTATACATGAGAATAGCGCCAGAGCTATACCATAAAATGTTGGTTGTCGGTGGTCTAGACCGGGTATATGAAATAGGTAGACAATTTAGAAATGAAGGTATTGATCTAACACATAACCCTGAATTTACTACCTGTGAGTTTTATATGGCATATGCAGATTACCATGATTTAATGTCAATAACTGAGAGTATGATTTCTGGTATGGTGAAAAGCATTCATGGTTCTTATAAGGTAAGGAAAATGTTTATATTTGTTATAAATAACAATATTAATAGAAAAAACAAATGATCATAAAGCTGACATAGAAATCTGAGGCCCAGACCGGAAAGATTGAACCTCTACATTTTTTTATTAATGAGGATACAATGCAAATGAAACCAATGCTATTTTTCCTGTCAGTTAAAATTTACAGGTGAAATACCATCCTGATGGTCCAGAGGGAGAGGAAGTGGAGATTGACTTTACTCCCCCGTTTTCAAGAGTACCCATGATTGCCACTCTGGAAAAAGAGTTGAAAGTAAAACTTCCTCCTGCTGATAAGCTTGACACACCAGAAGCTAATGCTATTCTTAGCAAACTTTGTGAAAAACATGAGGTAAATTTCACACCAATTCATATTTCAATTTATGTTGTATATTATGGGGGTTGAACAATTCAATTTATTTTATTTCAGATTGAATGCCCTTCCCCAAGAACAACGGCAAGATTATTAGATAAACTGGTTGGAGAATTTCTTGAAGAGAAGTGCATCAATCCAACATTCATATTGGACCATCCTCAAATAATGAGTCCGCTTTCAAAATATCATAGAGATATCCCTGGCTTAACTGAAAGGTAAAAGTAACTTTTTGTATGATTAAAAAATCACATTAATTTAGATTGTGTATTTCTAATAAACACTACTACTACGAGAAAATTGTACCCCACATGTATAAGTTTTAATATAAAGTAACATTAGATTACATTCAATATAAATGCATGATTATGCAATAATCTCTGTGCCCTATTTGATAAACTAGCCATTGTTGTAAAATATAACTTATAATTAGAATTAATCATCTTATTATAATTACATCTTACTTTGCCTTTAATGATTTTAAAGTTATTAATAGTATATAACATATATTTCAGATTTGAAGTCTTTGTAATGAAAAAGGAAGTGTGTAATGCTTACACGGAGTTGAATGACCCAGCCACACAGAGGGAGAGATTTGAACAGCAAGCTAAGGATCGGGCGGCTGGAGATGACGAAACTCCACCAACAGACGAGGCATTCTGCACTGCTCTTGAATATGGCCTTCCTCCTACAGGGGGTTGGGGACTTGGTGTTGATCGTCTTACTATGTTTTTGACGGACTCAAACAATATAAAGGTAATTCTTTCAAAAGTTAGAGAAATATATTAAAGATTATTCATATATATGTATAACAAGCAAACATAAATGGTTGGAATCGTAAAATCACATATTGCTTTTAGGAGGTGCTGTTGTTCCCAGCTATGAAACCAGATGACCCTAATAAGCATAATGCAGAGGAAGGTGAACCTAACCCTATACAAGCTGGTGCCTAATTTGTGGCCACTTAGAATTTATGTTTGAAAATTTGCATTAACCTTTCTCAAATAAATTGTTTTAACCATACAAATATTTAATTTACAGTCAGAACAATTATTTTTTAATGCTGACTGTATTCTATTAACTCCTTATTTATTAAAATAATGATTCTTTGAAGTTAACTACTTTTAAATACCAGTAATATAAATGTTTAAAATTAACATTTTGTTCTTGTAAAACTTAATATATTACTTAAAGAAAATATGGTTATATAAAAATTCTGCTGAAATTGGCTACTAAATAATTAAGTTGATTAAACTACAAAAATAGTCCTTTGGCCTTCAACTAGAATAGTGATGGTAAGCAAATAATGCAATTCATATTAGGTTGTCATAGAAGAGTCACATATCTCATAAATAATGGACTCATCTATTTTAGTCTTCAGCTACTTAACTGCTAATGGTTATCTATCTCATCTTGAACTAATGTCACAGTGGAATTATAATGTTCACCTAAGCTATACATATGACGGTGATATGTTATTATTAAAGGTGGCCCTTCATAATCATTACCCTGCTCAATAGTTTCTGGACCTGATGCCTGGATAACAGTGATTGGGCATTTTAGACAATTAGATAAGGCTCGGATCTCTAATTGACCACCCCATACTTTAGTGCTACAAATTTTTTCACAATAATCTTCAAATTCCTCACTAGTAAGCATTTCAAAAGTATTTGGGTTTGTAAGAAATGGTAAAAAATCATCTTTATTTTCTTTTATGTGATTACACACATTTTTTCTCAGCTCATCAACAGTGACTGTAATGTTTCTCTTATGTGTTAGTTGGTGTTCGATAGCTTTATAGAGGCAATCACCATCTGAACTGACATTAAAAATATTAAGGTGTCTTTCTTTTAGTCTTGCTAATATAGCTTGCATTTCCAAATTCCTTGGACCATGTCGGTTTTCTTTTTCTTGAAGTTTAATTTGTTCGGCTCTTTCCTGTTCTTCTTGATTTTTTTTATTTCTTCGTTTCTGAGCTTTGGATAACTTAATATTATTATCTTTATTTTGCCTAAGGTTTTCATCATCTATTAAAGACGAAGTTTCGTTAATATCATCTCTTTTGAGTACTTCTATTTCTACAGTTTGTCTCGACTCCAACTCAGCTTCTAATTTAGCAATTTCGGCTGTTAGTTCTTTCTTCCTTGTCTTGTCATTTTTAGCAGCTTTTTTTAATCCTTGGATTTTGCTTTGTAGTTCTTTCCTTTCTTTTCGATGTCGACTTTCTATAGATGTTAACAAATTATATTCATCAATATTATCATTACTCATTATATTAAGTAAATAATATCTAACTTATCTAAGTAAATAAGTAATTATATATTTCAGTTTTCACGACTCTAGAGTTACGTTGACATAAGACAATGGACCAAGAGTTAAAGAGTATATCCTATTTATAATCTACTCTAGTCTCTATGGTTTATACTAATCACAGTCCACAGAACACACAAAAGTTACCACTTATACTATAACATCCTTTGCCTTACCCATTAGGGATAAATTAATATCATCATCTTACACTATAACAACAAAACCATTGCAGGGGGTCTAGCCAAGATGGCTTAACAGTAGTGTATGTAGAAAGTCGAAAACTAAATTTGTATGAAAATGACAGCTCGTGTCGACAGTCGGTAGCCTAGGCCCTAAAGGCGTGAGTCGGGATACAATAAGCGACGCCATGACAGTGCTACGAAAAGACACACATTAACGCTTACGCTATTCGGTAGCCAACGGCCAATTAATGTTTCGGCAGTGTAGAAAAAACGGCGTTTCTCCGCCATGTTTTAGCGTGATCTCAAAAGCTGCTGTTTGCAATAATTCAGTACAACTATCGCCATTTTTAATGGCTACTGTTTTAAAAACATGTCATATTTTGGACATTTTAACGAAATGGTTTTAATTTGTTATCTGTCTTTTTTTAACGTTCTCGTGTAATTATAATATTTTAAACTAGAGTTAATATTTTTAAGTTAAGAGTTTTAGTTTTTCTATGAATCAATGCGAGGATAACATAATAGACACAGATAAATATGAAAATATCAAGAAAATCAGCAAATTAGTAGAGGTAAATCCTAGTTATATTGGATATCTTTTATTGATATTTATATTGCATGTAAGTTCATGAAATTGTTCTTTAATTTGAAAAATACATATACCATTTAATATTGCATATATTATGTAATCACAAAGTAAAATGATTGTACATTTTATTTGTATATTTCAGATGAGAAAGCAGTCACTAATGAACATAATTAGAAGTTCTAAATATATTTTATTGTAATTATAATAGAAGCTGATAATGATATAATATTGATTTTAATTAATCAAATAAAGTGGATTTATACTTTATGAACTTTGGAAATATAAAATCTAGTGAGCAATACTAAGTAATGGTAAGCAGATATTTTCTTTAATTATTTACTAAGTCAATATACTAGAGAATTTATTATAATATTGTTAATGAATGAGAAGTTTGAATTCAAGTCCCTTGGGAGTTACTGACATTGTTGGGTTATTAAAAACTTTAATTGACAATAAGCAGCAAAGTGACAAATTAAGTATATTTTTAAGTTTAGAATTAAGTAAAGACTTTTAATATTAAAGTTACGTATTGATCAAAGCACTAACTAAAATATTTTATTTTCAGAAAAAGAGAAGCTAATAAGGCAACTAAATATATTAAAAAAACCACAAATGGACAAGTTTTTATTAAAGTCTTATCTTTTAATTAATTAAAGTGTTATATTATGTACCTGAAAATGAATTTGATAATGGGGAACGAAGCATTTTATGAATATTGTAAAATATAAGACAAGTGGAGTATGAAATAATGGTTGGTTAAGTAACATTACCTCAAGAACAGGAAACAGTAACTGAAACTATGTTCTTCCACATTTAATCTTAATAAGTTCAGCAGTTTGAATGTTAATGAGATATTATTATAAACAAACTGCATTTGTAGATTTTGGGAAGAATATATCTTTACAATAACTATTATTATTTACAATTGTTGTGTTAAGGAAACAATCACTATTTTTTTAATCGCCCAGGATGTATTCATAGTAACTGTAGGTATCATAGTAATTTTATGAAATCATCACAACATTTAACGTTAGGTTTTATGAATTGAACAATTTTTTGTATATAACAGCACACAAACAAGATATTGACATTGCTGCAAATTAACACTTACATAAGTTAAGTATCTACATATATGAATACATCTACATTAGGTTGTAATGCATTTAATTTGGTGCACCTGCGTGTGTTCAGTAGTAATGTCTGTATTGTTTAATAAGTTGTTACATATGCTTATTTTCCTATGTAGACTGCATTATGTTAAGGAAGATATTTGGTGCCTTATTTTAATAAAAAATAACCATAACTGAAACATTTTTATTTTGCTACCTGTTTGTTTAACATTCCTAACTATTAGTAGGTATGGGTCATTCATATATCTGTATATTCTTGTAAAATAAACTAATATTTTGAACCACTTTGCTTTGTGACCAATGGCTTTTCCTACTAAAGAAGACATAGGTAAATTACCTAAAATAAAACTGACAAATACATAACATACAATGTTTATTCATTTCTTACTTAAACAGATTTTGCATTTACATATTAACTAGTAGCAAATCACTGATATAACCAAAAGTTAAGTGACATAAATATTAACTTTAAATCAGCATCAAACTTAAATTTATATCTAAGATGTTGGAGCATCAATATGGAATCAAAGGTTGATTAAGGGTTATAATTTCATACCAGACTAAGTTTCTATTTTATAATTTTTATTAATCCCTCTTTTCATTTAATTGAGTACTTGCTGTTTTTCAATTCTCACTTTCTAAAAGTATAAATATATTATAAACAATCAACCTTTATGACTCTAACTTAAACTGAAATTGTTTGTTGGACATAAACAGAGATAATTCCAACTAGTAGCAAATCACTAATAAAATCTACACTTATATATAGGTAAATGTGCTTTCAAATTGACATTAAAAATGTTCAAGAACAAACACCAAACCTAATTAAAGCTTAAATCGAACTCTAATTTCAGTGTTCACACTAGTCTACGTTTTTTTCTATTGTTTTTTATTTCCTTGGACTTTATCAACTTCTAGTCAACCTTATTTTCACTCTTTATATATCAATCCACAGTACTATTTCTATTGTTTCTTATAAACGGTAACAAAATATGTTGCTTCTTCATTTTGCAGATTAGTTGTGAGGTCAAATCCGAAAAATATCAAAGTATGAGTACTACTAATTATTATATATCGCGATTATGCAATTTCAAAATATTGTATTTATTTGTAGCCTTAAATTTCTGAGAAAACATGAAACAAACCATAATTAATTTAAACATGCAATTAAAATTCATATATTCACTTTGCATCTTCCGTAATTCCACTTAAATCGAAAATTTTTCCGACCTTGCTAACATTCTAATGTCCCTTTTGCAGCTTCCAATTGCAAATTTACAATAATATTGTAATACTGTAAAGTTTTAACTTTTATTTGTTTATAAAAGTGACATTAGGAATACATTTAATCCAGAGACAATATGACGGAATAAGGTGCTACGAACAGCAGCTCGCATCTACGCTGTCGACTTTGCGGTAATGTATCGACATGCCTCTTGGCTACGAACGAAGCGTTTTCGACAATACAATTACGCAAAAGCGGTAGTGTATGTAGAATACTTTTCGACACCAATATGGCTAGACCCCCAGGTAACGATTTAGAATTACGTTGCCCGATATACGATAAATAAAAAAAATCGTTTTTTTTATTCATTGTTTTTTTTTTCTTTAGGCGCGTTATGAAAAATTGATGAGAGTGAAATTTTACGATGAGTGCGCACCGTGACACAAAATTAACAGAATGAAGTTGCCCACGGAAGATGCTATGGCATTGGACATAATTTAAAAACAACATTCGAATAATAATAGAATGTATGTTACACTTAATGTAAGAGAATAAAAATAAATATTTATTTATTTAATTTTTCAAATGTAAACTGAACTTTATTGACTATAATGACTCCTTTTCCAGTCTTTGATTATTTAATTGTAATTAATTATTTGCATGCAATCAAAAACTATTTTAATAATGCCAAAGAAGTATAACTTCTTAAGCGCGTACATAAGTACACGCACCCATTCTTTTAATTATTTGGTTGCTTATTATGGTGCGTTTTCCAATTACAGCACTAGAGCGCATTATGCGGCATAATGCTCAACGTTGAATGTTCCAACTACAGCAACGCTTCGCACAATTGAGCACTCTCAAAAGTAGTGCTCTCGCGTGGTGCTCGCAATCAATACCAACACAGTGACAGAAAATTAACTTATGGGATGTTCTATCTTGAAATAAATCACAACCCATTTTTATCTTTGTTAATTGGTTTATTCTTCACAAACAAGAGTAATTAATTTATATTCACATAGAAACGCTCAAGGAAGAAAAACATATATATATATATTCACTTGTCTTCAAAGTCCGTCTGAGTGACGTCTGTTTTCTTCTTTCCTTAGTGTCCTATCTTTATGTTAACACATACATCAAAATCCTAGAGAAAATACTACACAAAAGAGTTTGTACATTTTTAGTGCGTATCTACGATTCGCTACAAACTAGTGTTTTTTCTTTAAGTTGGCATTGATCGAAATTTCAAATTATCGTTATTAGTAAATATATCATCGTAGTATTTCAAACTGCTAAAAAAAATAAATATTAGTATGGATGGAGGTATAAATAGTTACTTTTTTTATATTCCACATTTAAAATATGAATACAATGTCATTTTAAAATTCGGATCTGTTAACAAATTTATTTTACAGGATTATGCTTTTGTAAACATTGCAATGGTTTTGAAAAAGTATATAATTTTTTTAGAAATCATTAAAAAATATTACTCAAAACATAAATGATGTAAACTTCTTACATGAAACTAAATATTTTACTGTTAATTTAGCTTGTTAAAACCTCATATTCTTTAAAGGTTTTCTATTATTTCAATAAAAAAATGTTAATGAAATAATTTGATGATTAAAATAAGCGTAAAAAGTTTTGAACCAATTATTATTGTTTACCACATTATTTATACATTAATGAGGTTGCTAACTCAATTCATAACATTTTTTTTACAATACTGACTTAGCGCACTCTGCTGATGCATTTGAAAACTAATTCACGTTCCAATTAAGCTTCAGCATTATGCGGCATTGTGCGGCACTGAGTCGCATAATGCTCTGTAATTGGAAAACGCACATAGTCTACTTCTCACCGTTCATGTTATCTGTGACGATTTTGGAGACAAGGTATATCTGTGGTTAAAGTTTTTAAATATTATACTTTTTACTTATGGCTCTGCCTGTGCTTGTTTTATTAAAAAACTGTGGTTCGTGAGTTGTTTCGTTTCTTGAACGAAAATAGGCTAATATTTTGTTATTATTTTTACATATTTTCTTTAACGTGTAATCTGCTTGTATATTATATATCCTATAAAAATCGTGTGAGAAATGAATCCTTGTTCCATAGCGACACCTCAGCAGGATACTGAAGGCGATGGAAGGTGGAATAGCATTGTAAGTTTGCAGGTATTAATTTAATACGGACATCATGATATTATTAGCAATTACATCAAAACTTCTTCGTGATACCATACATAATTTACTATAATGATAATAATCTTTCTAGCACAATAGATTTCTTTCTGATGCGAAAGGAAAAGATGCCGATGTGATTTTCCTGGGAGATTCTATATTGCAAGCTTTAGAGCATACTGAAGTGTGGAATCAATGGTTTGCTCCACTACATTGCCTTAACTTTAGTATTCATAGAGACCAAACTCAGAATGTGTTATGGCGCATTAGAAATGGGGAGCTGGACCATGTTGATCCAAAAGTAAGCATTATATTTTTTTATACCATATGTTTCAATATTATATCTTATAATATTAGATTGATATAATTAATTTTTAACAGGTCATTGTATTGCATGTAGGAACAAATAATGTTGAATATACAGCAGAACATATTTGTGAGGGTATATTAGAAATTATTCATACAATTCAAGAAAAGCATCCTAATGTTTACATAGTCATACCTGTAAGTATATATTGTATGTATTAATTCTATGTTATACAAACAGTAACTATATAAAGTAAATAAAATTTCAGAGTCTTCTTCCTCGTGGCCAACATCCTAATTTATTAAGAGAAAAGAATTCTAAAATAAATCAGCTTTTAAAAGAAAAGGTGGTACATATGAAGAAAGTAGATATGGTATTCATTGATAAAGGTTTTATTCAAAGTGATGGTACTATAAGTCACCATGACATGCATGATTATCTAATACCCACAAATGCGGCATGTCGGAAGGCATTCGAGCCAGTTCACGATCTCTTGCATCAAATATTATCTGAAGGAGAGCCAGAGAAGGATTTGACACCTTCAGAATAAGATCCTTTACAATCTTTCTAGCATTTCTTTGGCAAGCTCATGTGATTATACACTAGTACTTATTTATATTTAGCTTTTTTTTTATTATAGGCTAAGAATTTAATGTAATGAATAATTTATTTGTAACTCATACATTCCTTATTTATTATGTATTGGCTGTGCAATTTGGACTGAAATATTTCTGAAAAACATGAGAAATATTCAAAATTTGAACACTAAAGAACCCAAAATTAGGAGATAAGACAACAATATTTTATAAGTAATGTTGAATTTGATAAATTCAAGAGAATGGTAAATGAGTGATACAAGTACATGTTTTATAATTGTCAATAAATAATTATAAACAAATCCTACCACTGTGGCACATGATTTGCTTAGAATCTTTTTAATGAATGGCTTTATAAATATTGCCACATAACTTGTTAGTATTAAAACAGGGTCTATATTTTTTATTAACGGCATGCCTAAGGTGTAATTATACCATTATAAGCATTAAAAACTACTAAAACTTACAGATATACATCTAAGTTTGGTATTATTTTAAAACAAATCATCAATTTTCTTTCAATTATGACCAAAGATATTTTTTTTACCAAAGCTCCAATTTCAATATATCATGAATGTGCTAATTCATAGAAAATATTTTTAAAAAGATCTCATTCTTCAATATGGTTGTTAACATGTACCAATTGATATAAAATGTAGGCTACTTAAAGAAATGTATTTCTTTTGCATGAATATTTTATGTAGTGTAACTACAACATTTGTAATTTCAATCAAATAATTCTAATACTTTTAATCATTATAATTAATCAGAAAGCTGTCATGTAAAGGCTTATTTTATAGCTACTCAAGTTGCCAAACTGCTGGAATCTCATGACTGTTAATTTGCATTGCATTGATAAGGCTTGAAAGTAAAAGTGCAATTGTTTCCAAAATTGTTTTATTCACTGCAACACCTGTCTATTTTCTTTACAAAAATTATTTCTACAGAATCTACATTAGAAAATACAAGGAAAATAAATTAATTATGAACATAGTATAGCTTGCTTGATTAATTAATTAATTTTACAAATCAACTAAATCAATTATGATTAAAATTTTATATTTTGTTATTTAAAATTTTACTAACATGCTTTTACACATCTTGATTTAAAATAATATTCAACAAAATGTAACATTTCTGTAATTATTTTCCTAATATTTATTAAGAAGCCTCTTAAAATATAAACTAAATGGTAAAGTAGAGTTCCTCTTTTGTAATGAAGTATCATATATGTCAAAATGATTTTTCTGCAACTTTGTAAGATAAATTTCGACACCAATTGCTGGTAGGAAAATCTGGTTTGCAATTTTTGGTATTTCTATAGCTCTAGCCTGAAAAATTAATGTCCTTATAATTACTTTATCTATACAAATAAAAAACATTCATATTTTTTAGTACATACTTTTTGCAAATGGCTGTTTGCCCTACTTGCTACTTCAAAAACAACATTACGCATAGCTTCATTATCAATTCCTCTTAATATTGATTCTTGACTTATTTTATATTTCATTAAAACATCCATTGGTAATGTTACCATCTTGTGATGGTTAGACACATGGATGGACCTGAAAATATGCAATATTTATAAACATTTGTAGTGACATGGCTATTGATTTATATGAAAAATTACCTTAGTATATTCGCTAGTCCTTGAGATTTCCCTAAATGTGAGGCAGCATGATCTACATGCACATTAGTTATTCCAGCTATGCTTAGTAGTAGATAGTAAATTGATGACACTGAATTTTCAGAGTGCTTCTCTATATCTTCAATTGTTCTAAAGTATTTGGTTTTTAATATATTGCTTCTAGATGTAATTAATCGTTCTAAATACCTTTGGGGTAATTTATAACTTTGACAAACCTAAAAATGTATTTAATTAATTTTTGTTATTGGTTGAATTTTAAATAGGATTATTTATATGCCTGCAAACATACTTTAAACAATTGTTGAATAACAGGATTGGCAGGTATTGTTGATTTGTCCACAGATTTTTGAAATATTTTATTGAGGGAATCTTGCCAAAATTGCAACCTCATTGTTGCTATTTGTGGATCAGTTGTTTGATCTTGCACTCTCGCAACTTCTACATTGAACGCTCTTATTACCAATGCTGGTGACCGTATCGCTTTTGTCATAAGAAGAGTTGCCAAATAGTTCTCATAATCATACTGTCTATCTGAAAAAATAACACAGAAGTACCATGGTTGAATGGTGTAATATGAAAGAAATAAAAAAGATACAAGTTTTAGATAATAATGTTTTAATATACCTTACAATGTCAGCACAGTAATTTAATGAATCGAAAGCTGTATTAGCTTTCGGCGACAATCGTTTCATATATCGAGCACCTACTATAGCAGGTTTGGTTAATAACTTTATATGAAACATAGTGTTTATGTAATTCTACCTAATAGCTACAAATTAGTAAATAACCAGTGGAACTTTATTTTAAATGCATCTTAATTTCTAATGATTGTTATAAAGTTCAATTTTTATATAAGCATGTTAAATTTAGTTTACTTATCCTTGATTTTACTTTATCCGGTTTGGCTTTTAATAATTTTAATAATGTTCTATTAATATTCAATAATGTTTTTTTTATTACAAACTCCACAGATTACACTTAATAGTAAATATAGTATGAGACATTAGTACCCTATCATAGAGTATACTGTTGTTTAACTACACAACCTTTTCAATACCATCAATTAAATGAAAATAAAAGCAATACTAATGCAGAAAGCCACAGCCCACACGCCTTAGAATTCAGGTGTATATTCGTAGTTGAGAACTAGCGCTAAGCATGACTTTCGTACATCTAATCCAATACGTTTTTGACAGACAGGAGTCACACTTAGCGATATGAACCGACTCAAATTCACCGACTGTGAATTTGAGGGTCAGAAATTAACAAAATATATTGAAGTACCTACTAGTACTTAATATGTGTGAATAATGTTCACGTTCTAGTCTCTATATCTCGCAGATAGTATTTTGTTCCTAACCATCATTTTATTTGATGGCATAGAGATTGTGGTATCACGAAACCCTATGAAAATGCTGACAAGTTGGTCATAAGCTAGATACTTACAACAGTTCCCAAAAACGACTTCTTTGCATCTACGACTCTTATAACTCAAGTACCGAACAATACTTGCGTCTTTTGCAGACTTAAGGTTTCGATAAAAAAACGCTTATAACTAATGTATCCATCAAAAATATCTTTATTACACATATACACTTAATAAAAATTAAAAACACAAAAATGTATACATTGTATTAACGTATAATACTTTCTAGAATATGTATTTATTTTGAAATGCTGAAAACTAGAAGTGATTTTAATATAACAATATACTTAATATATTTACTATTGCATATAACCTAATCCAAAAAGTATTGCTTAAGAAACTTCAATATCTTGCGGTACCGATACTTCGTTACTCTCCATGTCTTTACACTTGTCGCCTAAGTCCACATGTTCCGTACAAAATAGTATTATCCTTTGGCAAGCTTCGCGTAAATATGCTTCAGGTACAGTTAGAACTATTCTCATATAGTTGGGATACTCGAAACACTGAAAAATAAAAAATAGTCACATGATCAAGATTATTTTATTCTAACTCTTATCCTGGAGCCAAAAAACCTGGTAGATGAAAGGTGCGTGCAGTACAGAATTACCCAGGACCTCCAAACCTTAGGTGTCAGACTTAGAAGGTAAGAAGCCCGATATACAGTTATAAGCTGTGCAGATCCTTATGGTGATGATATTCGGCGCAATACCTGTTATTGTAACAAACATACCTTCCCGGGTAAACAGAAGACTGACTGCTCTTTCACAAGACGCTCCACAAATTGACATTCATTTGTAATATTGGGAAATAGGACCATTTTTATTTCAATCATCATGTACATGGCTCCTTGAGGCATAATTGGTCGCAAACCAGGGGCTCTACGTAATTCTTCATATGCAAGTTTTGCTTGATTCTGAAAATCAAAAGCTCTGGTCAACTTTTACTTTAAAATATATATTCTATTTTCACCGGTGAATACGGTAATGCAAATTATATGTTCCTAATACCTTATTAAAACATTTTTTGAAATATACACGCTTTTTACACCAACTTCATGTGCTAATGTTAACTAACCTCAATAAACAGTATGACATCATCGAAGAAAGTTTGTGGTGTATATTTGAGAATACTTGGTAGCGCTCGCTGAACTAACACACTTGGTCCTAGAATTCTCGATGCTAAATTGCTTAGCCCGTTTCTAATTTCTTTTCCAAGAATATTATGGCGATCGTGGATGATTACCCATCCCATACGCCAACCAGGAACTAAGAATCTTTTCGTAAGCCCACTACACGTTAGCACAGGTACATCAACAGATAAAGATGATAATGCATGGAACTTGTGACCAGAGAACACGAAATGTTCATAAATTTCATCAGCTATAATTGGCACATGGTTTCTTGCAGCTACATCTAATATTTCCAGCAAATGATCCTTGTTGTATACAGAACCGCATGGGTTCGATGGATTTATTACGATAATAGCAGCTGTGTCATCATCGATTTGGCTTTCTAAGTCGTCTATATCGACTTTCCATTGCTCATCTGGCTGTAAAATATAAAATGGTGTAATATTTGCGGTGTTTTACGTGTTACGTATTTACGCATTTATAATTCAAAAGGATACGAAAGAATAAGACGTAAATAGTAGGTATGCAAATCAAGCTACACAATAAACTGGAAACTTGTTATGCTTCTAGAAACTTGTTGATTAGCGCTTAGTAGATATCAACTGGGAATTAATTATATTTTCGTTGATACCGCATGTCTCGTTAGAATATTAGGAAAGCCTTTATCCCTAGTAATAGAATCGCTTAGTAGATATCAACTGGGAATTAATTATATTTTCGTTGATACCGCATGTCTCGTTAGAATATTAGGAAAGCCTTTATCCCTAGTAATAGAATCCAAGTACTTTTTGATCACCAGAATTCAAATAAGTTGATTCAAGCAATCTATATTTAAAAGAAATTTCGTTTAACTATTTTTCGTTGTATAACCCATGATTAATGACTCTTAAAACGTAGCTGTCCTCGTTGTTTTATTGATCTTTGAATTCAACTTTCAAGGTCACTTGTTTAAAAGGTAAGTCGTATACAATTATTTTAAGGCATTTGATTTGTTTAAATCAGGAAAAATTGCATTTTTATATATTCTTTAATTGAATGTAACAAAAAAAAATCTGATAAATAGCTAGTTGCTAATATTAAGTATGATGACTTACCAATAAGTTATAGAATTTAATAGATATTCCTAATCCCTCAGATAGAGTTTGATAAATCATGAAACCAGGTCGTGGTATAAGTATGTTTTGTCCAGAATCTGCGATGGCGGAGATAGCAAGCTCAATCGCATGAGAGGCACCGCTAGATAGTATGACATCGTCTGGTTCTATATCTCCTTGATGCGCACTATATTCTGCAACAGCTTGTCGAGCTTCTAGGTGCCCCTTAGCAGGAGCATAGCCCCGACTCGAGTGGGATTCTACACTTTCTCGAACGGCTTGTAATACTTGTTCCGGAGGATTAAGATTCCCGAATGTTGTAGGATCACCTGCCAATGTCGCGTCAGAAAATGATAAACGATAAATATATTCACTTGCACAACCAAAATATACATACATATTGAATTGAATTTGAAAAGATTTGATTTGAATTAGTTAGATTATATATTTTTTAAATTATTTGTAAATTAATCATGACAATTTAAAATCAAATTGCGAGGTAAGAAATATCTATGGTACATAAAATGATTTCTCATACTTATATTTTAGATAGTTAATGCGTATGCATTTTATATTTTTGCCACATACATCAATCATACCTATAGAAAGAGCGATCAATTCCTTTTGGGGATTAGGCTCAACCCGTAGGTTCTCTACTATACTTCTTATTTTGTTATGGGTATTACGGGCTAGCGTGGAAGCTCGTACGTCCCACTCCTTTCTTCCTGGCGTCCTTCGTGACATGGGCACCAAACTTATCGTTATTAAAATCTGTGGCAACACGCGAATTGAGAATAGAGGCTGCCTCTCGATACACCTCACTTTTGTATTAAAACGTTTGACGATCACGAGTTCCCGAGTCGCAGAACTGGTTTAATTATGTATATGAGATGACGACAGAACAGCTTTAAAATATTCCACCCTTATTATTAATATCTAAATACATATACGGATTATAAGAAACGTTGAAATTTAAGTAAGAAAATCTGATCTATGGGTAGAGAAGAGTGTTAAAATGTAATTAAATTTTCGAATTGTACGAATAAGTACTAATATAAGTAACCTTTACCGAATCATGAATTGTAATAAATTGTTCAGTCACATAGGAAAAATAGTTTAGGTAAAAACTGCCATAATATGTATGTACTGTACTATCTAGACCCCAATGTGATATTGATATCTACAGAATGGTTCTACCGAAATACGAACTCGGCAGTAAAGCACATAACTACTGAACTGCGACGGTATATCTTTATTATATGTAGTTAATATTTTTGTTTTTGATTTAATTTATAACGCGGACATATAAAGTGCATTAACATTTGTTTGTAAACAGGTTGTTATGAAGCCTGTTTACAAACAAATAGTACTATTAGTACTACGTATGACTTGAAGTACTTCATCTATGACTAAAGACTAAAAAATATCATGTACTTTTAATAATATCATTGTTAAGTTTCATATCGAATTTGGTTAAAGTCAATCCATGCATTATTTTACTAAGCACGTACAATGTCACACCAAAAGAAAACAATTTTGTATTTTTTAATTTATTATTAAGGTAACTTCACTTATAACTGCTTTATAAAACTTGCGTAAATATATCAAAATAGTATGTATAGACTAGACTAGATAGTGAATAAAACTATTTATTATTATTAGATTTTTGTATACAAATCCTGAATAGGTGTGATGAGGTTATGATTGGTTTGGGCCTGGAACTAGTGCTAGACAGGCTACTTCTAATTAATTTGCGATATTTGTTTTAAATAAGTGTTGTTTGATGATTTGCTATTTTAAAATAGTACCGAGAGTTTTTTACGCCGGCTTTTTCTCTCGGCCTACACCCTCTGTCTTCTTTGTCGATGAGTAGGGATGCCTACAAATTCAAATTTAATGACGTGGAATAAGTGATACCTGTATCTTATGTTCCATATTAAACATATATTTTATCAACAATATAAACATGGCTTTGACGGTATCCCACCTATCTTTGTTCGTTTTTGCGCTACTGCTCTTGTTACACCGTTATTGATTATATTTGAGAAATCTTTGCATGAGGGAGTATTTCCTAGCCTATGGAAGATAGCTAAAGTTACACCAGTGTATAAATCTGGAGACAAGGGTGATGTTTTGAATTATAGACCTATCTGTATTCTAAACTTATTTGCTAAGATATTCGAGGGTTTTATATATACCCATATGTATAACCATCTCAAACATATATTAAGCCCACGACAACATGGATTTGTTACTGGAAGGTCAACCAACTCTAATCTATTATGCTATACTACTTATTTATGTTCATCGTTCAATAATAAAAAGCAGGTGGACGCTATATATACCGATTTTTCAAAAGCTTTTGATAGAGTGGACCATTTTGTATTGCTTGTGAAGGCTCAACATGTGGGAATCCATGGGAACTTATATAGATGGTTAACTTCTTACCTGTTGAACCGCACACAACTCGTTGCTCTTCGTGGATATGAATCTGTGCCATTTTTAGTAACATCAGGCGTGCCCCAGGGGTCAAAGTTGGGTCCTTTATTGTTTTTGTTATTTGTGAATGACTTGCTAAGCAAAATTAGTAGTGAATGTTTGGCATATGCAGACGACATAAAAGTCTTCAGACGTATATCTGATGAAAGAGATTGTGTGACCCTTCAATCGGATATTAATACTATATCTGCTTGGTGCGATGAAAATTCTATGGCTCTGAATATTAAGAAGTGCCAGGTTATAACATTTACAAAAAGTAGGAACCCTATCCAGTATAACTATAATGTTAAGGGTATTCTTGTGGATAGAGTTGAGGTGGTTCGAGACTTGGGAGTAATATTTGATTCTGTTATGTCATTTAGACCTCATTATGATCATATCTGTAGTAGAGCTAACCGGATGTTGTCCTTTATTCTTAGAACCGCTAAACCGTTCAGGCGAGCCGACTCCTTGATTGTCTTATACAGCTCTCTCGTGAGAACCATGATTGAGTACTGTTTAGCTGTATGGGCCCCGATATACAAAGTTCATACAGATAGATTAGAATCTATACAAAGGCGGTTTGTTAGAGCTTTATGCTCAAAGTATGGTCTAAGGCGCAAATTAAAGCAATATGACCAGCGTCTTGCCCACTTTCAGATTGTAAGTCTTGAAAAGAGAAGATGGATGAGCGACCTGTGCACTTTGCATAAAATAGGAAATGGCTCACTTGACAGCTATCTTTTGGATGAACTTGACATCAAGGTACCGACGCGTTCTGTGCGTAAGCCGCAACTATTTATGATACCCACAAGTAACAACAATGTATCCCAGAATGGTCCGCTCGCTAGAATGTGCAAGTATTATAATTCTGTGTGTTCTCATGTTGATATTTTTCACAATAGTAGTTATGAATTTAGAAAGATTATTCGCGGTGCAGACTTGCAACCAGAATAACTTAATTTTCTTTTTTTGTCATTAAATTTTTCTATTTTTTTTGTCATTAAGTTTAATATATGTACATATTATATACCTACTGTATTTAATTGTTAATATTTGGTAAACCAGCACTGAAGATTCCACTAAAATGCTGTGTACAGATATAATTGGAAATTCAGGTTTACAAATGTTGCTTAGTGTGTAATAACTAAATGTATTTCACCAATCTGTTTTCTGTTTCTGTTCCTTAAATGTAAAAATAAAAATAAAAATAAAAATAATTTTTTTTAATGGTTTTAGATGTTTTATATAAATAGCGAATCATGTTATGAAATATAACTTATTTTACTTATTGTTATATTTTACTCACTTTTTGCGGTTAAAAACAAAAACGTTTCAATGAAACAATTTAATTAATTGTATTTATTACTTTAATAGTCAATTTTGTAAATACATGTCTTATTTGTACAATGGGGTTTAGTCAAGATGCCTTAAGAGCGCCCTTCCACGTCCGACGAACGTCAACGCGAGCATGGCCAAAAAGCTTGTTGTTTCATCCAGCGCAATGTCAGCAGGTGAGAACGCGATAACATTGAAAGAAAAATAGTGTGCGGAAATTTCATAAAACTTGTTCCAAGAAATACGTGTTTTTTCGTAAGCCTTACAAGATTATAAAAAAAAGTTTTACATTTAGAAACTCCATTACATTTGCAAGGTTTCTACGCAAATATTTCTTTCCGGTTACAATTAATGAGTACATTATAAACGCCCAACAACATTTAAAAAATTGTGCAAAAAGGCTGATTTTTGGAGGTTTGTACTGAATTTGTTTCTTATAATTTTGATTTCGCGTTTTAATAGAAACCTAGATATAGTGCTCAAGGTGCCTATTAGTTCAAAAGTTTCAAAGAAATATCTGTTACAACGCCATAATCACGTACGAGCGTTTGTATGAAAAGATAGATGGGTTAGCCGCTCTTAACAGTAGTGTATGTACAAAGCCGAAGCCGACATTTCGTGTCGACAGATTATTATCCACCTCTGTTGATTACTTACCTTTTATATAAATAATAAAAGTTTCGTTTCATATACTTTTTATTATACACCCCCACCCGCAGTATGGATACAATGATACTTCTGAGCTCACTTGTCGTGCACTAGAACCAAAATTTGTACGCTTAGGTCTACTAGAAATAGATATATTATAAATCGCTTTTTTCGCACTGAAAAACACAATCCAAACTTTTAAATCTCCTACCGAAAAAGAGGGGTTTACAACTATGTCGTACCTATGGCATCCTAGTTCCTAAAGGGATGGACCGATTATGGTGTGTTCCTTTATGTTAGAATGCTCTCAGCTACAAATTATAAAAATCACTTCAGGCGTTTTAAGATCATGAGCCAGCTCTTAAGCGCATCATCATACTTTCAACATGGCACTGAACTACTTTGATGGTGTAGCACGAAAGAGGTTACACTACGAATATTCTGTGTTACTGCTTTCTAAAACCGTTAATAATCACAATTCCCTTAGCTTTAGAATGTTTAAATTCGTTTCGTTTCAAAGTACGGTTTAACTCTATTTCCTCTTATGCAGCTTCTTAACACGACGCAAGTCATAGTCTTCATAAGTAATCCAGTGTAAAAAATGTGCACCTACTTATTCTTTAATATCGTGTATAACTCTGGAGTGTTTGCTAATTTGTTCACTTAAGATAGTTGGTTGAGTCTGATGTTTGAGTGAGGATTTTTGTGATCGAAGAGTTTGTGACCTTAATTCTTTCAGTTCTGGATGACTGGCCTATCTGACACCAATCATATATGTGTACATAAATATATAGGAATAGTGATATTTTTAACATATCAAATGCCATAAAATTGCTAAAGTCAAAGGCTATTTTAATATAAGTTAATTTCATATGGATATATAAAGATTTCATTTAAAATGATATTCTTTGATTATTACCCAATATTGTGCAATATCGTAGTAGGTATAACTCTGGAGTGTTTGCTAATTTGGTCACTTAAGAAAGTTGGTTGAGTCTGATGTTTGAGGATTTTTGTGACCGAAGAGTTTGTGGTCTTTATTCTTTAAACAGTTCTGTTTCGGGATGACTGGCCTATCTGACACCAATCATATATGTGTACATAAATATATAGGAAGAGTGATATTTTTAACATATCAAATGCATTGATATACAAAAAACCCAAGATGCACAGTCTCGAATAAAAGTAACGCTCGAAAGTGTCCCGAAAAACTATTTCTGTCTCTTTCTATAAGTTACAAGCATATATTATTGCAAAATCAACCTTACGCGAATTATTTAAAGTTGTTATTACAACGCAGTGTACTTAAAGCAATAAAATTTTACGACCGACCGTGGTCGGTAGGACAAGGTATTGAGTGGAGTCGAACATGACTTTTTTATTTACAACTATTTAACATAATTTTAAATTTATCCGACGCTTCGCGTGCTTTACAGCGTGCGTGGTCACGGTGACTGAAGACAAAAGGTGTTGGATGTTAAATAGTTGTAAATTTATAATAATACATAACTTTAATCCAGTTAAAAAGTTTTTTCTTTAAATTAAAAAAAATGTTAAATTGGCTACCTTCTGACCTACACTTTATATAGCGTAAATATATTTGTCAAAAACTACACACAAAAAAGTTCAAAAGTACATAAATTTATTTATAAAAAAAACAACAAATAAATAACATCGACTCCACTTATTAGAACAGGGTCATTCTTATAATGCGACTAAAATAAAAAGAAGACTGTAATGCGTTGTTCTAACACTGAACAAGCAGCCATTGAAGTTGGCCGTATAGAAGTTTGTGCGTTGAATGAAGTTTTTAGAAAAAATAAATAAAAACACACATTGCTTTTTATAATCAGTCATAAAAACAACAAAAACTAATCAATAAAGTTTTTTAATTACCGAAAATACGATATCCCATCCTTTTTTAGCCTTCTTGACGTTATATTTTTACAATTTCTCACAGAACACTGGCATTTTTAACAACTGCTCCCAGACGCGAGCGACGCGAGACTATTTGAAATGAGCGCACAATTTAGAATGTTGCGCTCATTTTTTGAGGACGTTTTTTAGACGTTGAGTGTGCATCTTGGGTTTTTTGTATATCAATGATCAAATGCCATAAAATTGCTAAAGTTGCAGGTTATTTTGATATAGGGTAATTTCATATATATATATAGGTAAAGATTACATTTTAAACGATATTCTTTGATTATAACCCAATATCGTGCAATGTCGTACCAGAAAATAAAACTTTAGGACTCATTTATGAAAATTATTCAATTCTCATTTTACAATTAAATATTATCTACTTCATTTTTTCGGTTTTAACTATTGATGATGATGATGATTTCAAAATATTTTGGGCTCTTTTACAAAGTATAAAGCTATAAGCATTCCAAGCTAAAGTAACCAATAACAGCAATTGTATGTGATTTGTACTACTTCGTAAAGATATGTTTTAATAGAAAGTTCATATACAGGTTATGATATAGTTTATTTCAAATACGCTTTGTAGTTTCATTAAGTAATGATTTTGTAAACATTAGTGGATTCTGTGGTTCTTTGACAATTTTGTCAACACTTGATAGAATGACAGCTGACAATGACTCCAGTCTCAGTCTAGTCTTAATATTCTAAGTTTTATTAAAAAATTCTCTACCCAACTTGAAATTGTTGTCTTTGGTTAAAAAAATTAGATCAATAGGTCACTAATCATCCCGAACTAAAATAATAACTTAATCTTCTAGAATTCAGCTGCTTGCAGGTATACTACAAATATGTCTCAATTAAAAAACTCAAAGAAATTTAAATGGGCTTTGGACTTCAATCCTAAGTAAGTTTCGTGTTATTTATGATACAAATTTTTAGTTATTATTGATTTAATACATCATCTTCTTGTAGATCACGCTCGCAAACAACGGAATTACCTTCGCCACCAGGGTACAGTCAATCCACTAGTGCAAATTATGTAGAAACCTCTAAGGACTCTGACTCACAGCTTCTCTTGATAAAAAAATTGTGGGATGTTGCTTTAGGCCCGCTCAAACAAGTACCAATGAACCTCTTTATTATGTACATGGCAGGAAATTCAATTTCGATTTTCCCTATCATGATGGTGGGAATGTTAATTGTACGTCCTATAAAGGCACTGTTTACTACACAAAGTACATTCAAAATGGTAGAAGGAACACAGGCTGTAGGACAAAAGTTTGTTTATATAATTGGTAATATAGTTAATATATTTTTAGCATTGTATAAGTTTCAAAGTATGGGTTTGCTTCCAACACATTCTAGCGACTGGTTAGCATTTGAAGAACCATTAACTCGAATGGAACATATTGGAGGTGGTTTATCTATGTTATAAACATACAAAAGCTAGAACTTCATGTATTATTTATTATAAAATAAAATCATACTACAACCCCTGTATTTACAATTTAATTCAAGCCTACATTACACTGCATTAGTCTTTTTTGCCATTGAACTCATCAATTTTTCCTTTAATAAAAGTCTGAGCTTTCTCAAATAAAACCTGTGGGGACTCCACCTTTTCTATCTGTAACACAAATAAATTTATGTTTGTTAGTAAATTGTATTTTACAATAGTGATAACTATGTTTAATACATAAAAAGACAGCTTTGAAAATCTGTTAAATTTTTTTTGGAGTTTTAGGCTTTAAATATTTACCAAATATTGTCCCTGGTTCAAGAATAACAAAAATAAAAAAATATTTAAAACAAACCATTTCTTTTTTTCCAGAGCTCTCTCACATTCTTGTGCTGTTCTCTTACAAAATAGAGAAAGAAAATCCTGCATTAAAAACAAAATAGAAAAAATTTAGTATTTATAGACAAATTTGGTTTCACAAAAGAGGCCATTGAATGATAAAATCTATTGAACCAGGTACAATATATAGCTATAAATGATTGTTATCACTCCTAATTATTTCTAATCCATTCTAAATATTTATCTAAATAAATTGATGAGGTTCGATATGGCCTCCTTTGTAGTCTACTAAATAATGTTATGAAGTAATTATTGACGCTATTATGCACTTATTGAATATGTCTTAAGTCTCTCGACAGGTATCCATTGGTGGTGGTATACACTTGTTTCTACATTATCCGCCTGCATATAAATCCCCCTTTCCCTTTAAAAATTATATTTGTTGTAAATAATAATTTAAAATTTTGTTAGTGGTAGGCAAATACTAAAACTAAATTACAAACCTGGTAGGTTTGTGCTACATATACACCTGTATAAACCCCACTTCCAAAGATGATCTGAAATCATTATATATGTTGTGAAGTCTTGAAAAGTAGTATTATATTAAGGTATAAAATTGTTTTAACTTTATGTATATACAATTATAAATCTACAAGAATTTTGAACCTCTTTACCCAAGTATAAAAAAGCCAAAATATTTAAGAAAATTACGATTTTCTCCATACAACTATCTTGTATACAAAATCAACTTACACTTGTTTTAAATAATGAAGTACAAATACCCATTATTACAGGTATATATTTCTTAAATTGGCTTCTATTTAGTTAACATTTTGTGTAAAAACAGAAAATTTTATGAAATTCAATATTTCAGTGACTTTTAATGACAAAATAAACACTTAAGTGACATTAGATATGAAACCTTCAAATAATTTATTTTTTTAATGAGTATACCTAAAGACTTAAGAAGAAAGTACCTTAAACACTCAGGATATCATGAACCAAGAATATATCTACTGATAAGATAATGTATTTTTTATACATTTATATTGACAATCAATTGATAGTTAAGGGTCTGTTTCACAATGTATGGATAAGTTCCAAATAAGCTATTTATTACTTATTGGTAGGATAAACACTATTGTTGCGTTTCACGACTGTCAGATAGCGCTATTTGTCACATAAAGTCCATCATAAGTTATGAGTTTGATGAAGTGACAAATAGCACAATTTATCTTCCAAATAATTTATGTGTTGCATAGCTATTGGGTACTTTAACCTTACATTGTGAAACAGACCCTAATCTTATAAGTATTATATAGGGTACCTTAAAATAGTTAGAGTGTTCCAATATATTTTTTTTTTAAACAGAAAATAAAGATCAATCCAGTCAAAATTAAAAACTTTTTAGTTTAGATAAATTTTTTCCTTATATAATTGTAGTAATCAACTAGTCAATTTTTATTAAAGATATTTCCCTCATTAGTCAAAATATTTTCTAGTTTTTCTTTATTTTATTCTAATTTTCTAATTTCTTCTTTAGAGTCTCTAGATTAAATAAAATATACCATTAATTTTCTAATAAAATATATAAACGAAACAAACACTAAAACATTCCTAAAAATAGACTTCATTTTCGTAACGTGTATACAATAATTTGGTAGTTATTTTTATATTAGTAACAAACCCATTGTTCTTAAACTCAAGACAATGATATGGCATTCAGTCCTTAAATTTCAATGGATTTCTTTCTTTTAGCTAAAAAACTTACCAGTGCTTTCAACATTTTCAACAAAATTATTTACAAGATTATACAGGAATCGTAGAACTCAGCACTGCTAGTAGGTATTAAAATATCAAGTTAGTACCTTAATAAACTGTCTTTATTCTTAATATATAAATAGTACTGCTTTAATGCATTAGGTTTAAAAAAGAAAATGCCATTGTTTTGATTTCTGCTAACCTGCTAACAGTAAATCAGTCAGCTGATTTGTCAGTTCATGACAATTGTATTCATTTACGTCAATTGTCAAGCTCGAGTTGTGTCGATGAGAGACGAGTGTGAGAATTGAGAAACCGAATGTAAGGTATTAATCAATTTACTTACACAAACTGGGATAACTGGCGCTATTTTAGCACCTATGTTTTAGCCACCCGTCTGTAGCCTGTGCTTCGTCTGGCTGGATCTTTTTTATTCGTATTTTGCATAAAGGGCAGTTACGATGTACAGGTGGTAAATAATTAAAAATGTCAAGCTCACTACCCGAATTACCGCAGCCTGTCTATGTGACCAATACTGTTATAAATTTAAATATGTAGCCTAGGTAAGTTACTATACACTTTATTGTTCTGAAATTTATCATTTAAATTTTACAACGAGCTTTTCAGGTTTATTCGACATTTAAACAAAAAGGTATACGAGGTTAAATGAGATAGTCATTTTAAATAATTTTTTATAATCAAATTCAAACTTTTTTATAATCAAGTTTTTGGACTTCAACAGCTATAAAATAAATATTTCTTAATTCACTTTACCTGTTTAATATTGGCCTGATACAAAAACGTTTGGAGAACAATACTCATGTAAAAATATCGTAATATAAATATTTTATACGTTTTATGATTCTAGAAACTTTCATGTCCTAGGCATGTGGTACTTAAAATGATATTATTTAATATATTAAATAAAAGTAAACGTTTGTAAGAGTTGGTATGTTATAACTTATTAATTGGCTCCTGGTTTATGTTCACGCATGTAAATTTATTATAACAATAATTTAAGAATTAAGAGTTTTCTATATAAAACTAAAATAATACTTATTATTCGGTTTATTATTATGCTTGGTATTCCATTTCAGCACAAAATATTCAGCATTTCAATAAAAATTAAAACATACCTACATTCAAGAACACTCATAAAAATATTACATTTATTAACTTAATAATTAAAAAAACCTAACAAATTTATAATAAAACCTTATTGGAATGTTTCGTCATTTGAATTGTACCTTGACTTGTTATAACCAAGTTCACAACATATAAGTCTCTCTAAACAACCATTAATTATTCATAAATACTATCACAATATTGTATTGATCCGTAGACCTTTATTCTATTCATTGTTCGGAACTTCTAAATAAGTATTGTATTGAGTCTTCGTGTAACGCGATTAGTAGCATAATAATACCGCCAGTTAAAATTCCTAAAACAGCAACAACCACGTGTAAGCTTCTTCCTTTATTGTTTTCATTTATTTCTGGAACTAAATCAGCTAATGCTATGTAGAAGAAAGTACCAGCCGTTGCAGCGTAGATCCATTGAGAAGCGGACTCGTGGTCCTCCGCAAGCCAGATTCCAATAGCCATGCCGAAGAAACTAAGTACTGAGGATAGAAGGTTGTAATACATTGCCCGTCTTATGCTCATACCAGATCGAAGTAACACTGCGAAGTCACCGAGTTCATGAGGAAGTTCATGGCAGAAAACCGCAAGTGCTGTTGCGAAGCCAGTCACTGGATCTCCACTAAACGCTGCTCCTATGGCCAGGCCATCAGTGAGGTTATGCAAACCATCACCCACTATCACCATAAGTGCAGTTGACGTCATAGGACGTTCCACCGGCGGATGCGGCGAGCCAGGCATTATGGCTCCGAGTTCGATAGACTCTATTTGTTTTGCTGATTCGATTTTCTCTTCTTCGACAGTTTTGCTTTCATGGTCATGTGAATGTGAATGTCCACCGTTCATTGCCTGCATGATAGCTTCGACACTATAGAACAGTAAAATGGTCAAAAAAGTGACACTGCATTTTAAAATCACTTCGGTTTCTTCCTGTGGTTCACTTGAAGAGCCGTGGCTTTTCAATGCATGAGGAAGAAGATGAAGTAGAGCGTCACCACATAAAGTGCCAACAGCGATAGCAATCAGGAAATGAAGCACGTGACTGAAAATGGCAGACTTTATCATCGGTACTATTCCAACTCCCAATAGTCCAGTAGCGCTGATGACTAAAATGGCTAGTGTTGCGTATATCCACGCTGAAAATAAAAAGATGTTAGTCCATATGAGAAAAAACACTAACAATTTAGTTATTACGGTCAATTAATATTTTAACATTATTGTATTCACTGAGAGTAAAAAAATACAAATTCGTTTAATAAGTTAGTCGTAAATTGGTTATAAACTAACCATGATGTATATATGAGATAATGCCCGTTTTTAGAAAGAAATAATATGGCGAAATAACTTACTCCAAATTCTATCCAATTTCGGAACAGGTGCGTCTGTCTTGTAACAGGAACGTTGGTCTAACTGATACACCAGGGCTGGACACATTTCCAAAAATGTTTTTGGATTAATAGTTATAATGCCTGGCTCTTTCTCCATTCCATATACGGTGAGTATTTCTCTTGGTGATAAACATGATTTCTTGAGCATAGATGTTGCTGTAAGTAAAGAAATTAAAAGATTTTAATATCCACCTAATTAGGAGTACGTGATGTTTTCACACATTAAGCTAATATAATTTTGGTAGTGTATTAGATACACTAGATTAATACATTTCAGATTTAGATAGAGATTAAGAATCCCATCTAGTGTTTAGGTGCAATGATTATATGTTTAATAGTCAGTTGCATTGTAAAATATAACGGGCGGCCTCATCGCTTTAAGCGATCTCTTCCAGGCAACCACTCAAAGGATTTTTTTTACAAAATATATCGAACTAATTTAATTGTCTTAAAAAATCTTAAACATAAAGAAAAATCGAAAAACTAAAATAAATACAGATAACTTAAGGGGCACACGAATAACAATACTTTCTAAATTAGGGATCTGATATGGACAGGTCCTGCTTGTACAGTAGAGTTTTGAAGGAAGATAGAGACAGAGAGTAAATTCAATATACTAATATAATAGAGATTAATAAAATAAAAATTTGACAAAGTTTTCCGGAAGTACTTTGCTATTCAGATATGATGAAATGAAATCTTAGCTGGTACACTCTTATAAAATTTGTTATATTGAAATTATGTGAAAATGAAGTTGTATTGAAATTGTAACATTCAAGAACCATTTCTCAATTTATTATTCAAAAATTGTATCTTTTATTTAAAATAGAACCTAAAGCTAAATCCATAATAATACTAGCTACTTTATTTAAAAGTATGAAATCTAGGAAAATATAAATCTAGATGCGCCATCTATAAGTCATATTTCAATTTCCAATTATTATCTTTGGTCGGATTTGACATGATATACTTGGTTTTGGAGGCAATCATTCGTATTATTTGATTTTATTGTACCTTAGCTTATTGTACTGAATTTTGTGGAAAGTTCGTGTTCTATCTCGAATAATTACTTCAAATAAATGTAAAATAAAGAGTTTGCCTCCTGCCTCATAAAAAAAAGAAAACTTTACTTATTTAGTGCATTCTTTGATTTATCAAAATTAGAAAAAAACATAATTAATACTGTCAGGACTTCATGGTATGGAAACTTAAAAATACTGGCTAGTAGTAGTTTGAATGTTAATTTGATATTACAATAGTAGAAACTAAGCATAACTAAATATTAAAACAGGCCAGGAATGAATAGATTAACAACGCTTTGTAAACTTTAGTTTGAGTAGCTCGGCTTAGATTAGCTCGTTTGGTGGGATTTTAATATAGATAAAATCATACAATAATTATTATAAAGTATATTACTAGCATTATCTAATCTTTCTCTTGTCAAATAGTATTTAAGTTGTTGTTAAATATTCTTCAAGTTTGCGACTTGTTTTTGTACAATAAGCGCAGAAATGCGCATGTCATGTCATGTGGGGCGTAACAGATCTCTTAAATATTGATATTGACATAACAGTCAGAGGTAAAAAACACAAAGGTTAAAAACTTTAAAAGTAGGTACGCATTGTTAATAAACAGTTGTACAATCACTAAGCCGGGTCGTAGTGATGTCGTGGACCTAGGGTCATAATAGGATAATCGGGACCTCTTAAATGACGGTAGAGTGTTGCGCAAAACCGACTTGTTCCTGTATCGTGATATGAATATCGTTATGATTTTATAACTCTTAATGTGATTTGAATATATCTTATTAATTAAAACAGCGTCAACTAGCAATGTATTTACATTGAGTTTGTCTTTATTATAAACGTAACGCAGTTTTATAAATACTTCAAAGGTGCAGTTTCTGGGACTTCTGGGATTGAAATTGAAGTTTTCTTCTCGGATGTAGCTACAAGGACGTCGCCAGTCGATTGTCAGGGGAGGGGAAGAATCCAGTAGACGTAGGTACAGAGGATGGAACAAGAATGAATAAGATTATCCCTTTATCTCGATTTTGTAGGGGTTGTGCTTTTATATATACTATAAAGCCATTGCGTACTATGGCATTGCGTAAAAACGACGAATGCGTACATAAAAGTATATTTTTGTAATAATAATCTTTAACGGATATGGTTATATTACGTAAACAAGGTGTTTTGATCCACTCCAAACTTATCTATTTCCCATACGTTAAGATCTGATAATATTAGAATACAATGTTATAATGTACACCAAATTTAAAACGTTATTGATTCCTGTCTGTTGGTCTATAACTTGCATTTAGGCTGGATTACTTAAAGCTGACACAATGATGAGAAAGTGCGTACATTTAATAACAAAATAATATTCTTAGTCATTGTTTCAAACAAAGAAAAAAACGTTTAATTTACTGAAGATTGGTACCTTTAAAATAATAAATGGTTTATGAATAACATAGGAATGAATGGTGGCAAGATGTTATAAATATCTATACAAGTATTTATCATAATATAACAAATATATAGAAGTATAATATTACGCGAAAGTCAGCTTTCTACCAAACGGACAAGTTACACCGGATTGGAAAGATTGTCCATTTATTAGTCGATAACCTATTTATATTGGCGTGATCTAGTTTAGTGTTACGTTAATATTGAAAACCTTTTAAGTTTTAGAACAATTTTTATTCCAAATTTCCATTCCAGACTGAGTGTTAATCCCGTATGTATTAGAATTTGACATACGGGAGTTATATATAGCTCTCGCTAAGTACAAAAACATTCTGAAATATATGCAGACGAAAGTCAGGCTAGGTGATATAATAAGTGTAAGCCTAGCAGTGTAGCGACTCTCAAACACTGAGGCTACAAAGGTTGAGGATATAAGGACTCGCGTAAAATTCATATTTCCGTCTGTCAAAATCCACAACACTTTTGAAATACGGGAGGCACACTTAGCTAAGTTTCTGAATTACCCTTATACTTAGCCCAAATCTTGACGACTTATGAAGACAAAAGAAGGGTCACCATTAAAAGAGAAACGATCAAAGAAACACATCAAATCATCTGTGGCAAAGACATATTCCATAATTATTATTAAAATTGACAGTTTGTATTTAGTACTATATATTAATGCAAGGACTAGTAATGTATATAATAGAATTATTTGGTTGGCTATATAACCATTCCTAACTGAATTGTGAATGTAATTTTCACGGATTTTTGCAAGGTCGTTGGAACCAATTGTTTGAAAACTAAATATAGTAGGTATATTCCTATAATGAGCTTCCGTCTTTCTCGTTGGAAATTCAAGGTTCTAAATTGGGTTTTAATTAAGTCAAAGTAGTAGGTAGTACTCGTAGGATAGAGTATGTAAACTCAAATGAAATTCGATTAAAATACGATTTTGAGTGAAACCAATTTGTAGTAATTTTACTTTGACAATTGACCTCATACGTTGACTGGAAAGATTTTTAACTCAATTGAAGTGAATCTAATTAGGTAATTAATTTGTATTTTAGACTCTAATATAAATGGTGGTATCATAACGTTACTTTGCCACTTTCTACGTGGAAAGCGTATGTAGGTACTTCTAGTACCTAAAAACAATTCCTGCGCATATAATGGCACAAAACAATATATTGGCCAAGAATAATACTTATTATTTAATATTTTTGTAATAACTGCGTAAGGGTATTTAGAACTAAACTATGATTTTAACAAAAAAATGAGATACTTACAAGTCGTCAGTGACCGTTTGTGTCGATGCTGTGTATCATGAAGCTGCTTGAAGGTCCCGTTGATTCTATGAATGGCGATATCATGTGGCGAATTGAACACACGGCCTCCCAAACCCAGGCTGTCTAGTAGATGTTCGAAACCCTGAAATACCCAATACATAATTAAGAAGGCTTGTAAATACATAGAATCTACGTACATAAGCTTATCAACTTACATTATGTAGGTAATACTGACATTCATCTCATTGAAATTGTATGACGCTAGAGAAGTGAAATCGCAAACATAAACGTTGTCATAATATTTTTCGGTTTTGCTAGTTAAAAACAATACATTTTGTCCGGTTCAAAGATTTATACGGTTCTCACGTTTCGGTGAGACATTGTCAATTTGAAAACATTCATATTACATAGTTTTTTAATTATGTATTTGAACAGGTACCATACATGTTAAACGTGTGATTACACTACAATACTTGACTATTGCTAGGACAACCCAAGATAAATTTTGAATGGTATTTGTATACCTTGAGTAGATACCTTCAATAAAATGTAGTAATTTATGATATTCACTTATAATACCACAAGAGCTTCAAAATTATCTTTATTAAATATAGAGTCAAGTTTTTCAGGTTAAAAAATCACGAGCGCTTCGCGCTTCCGGAACCTTGAGGGAAATGCCAGATAATTTTGAAGCTCGTGTGGTATTCGGGGGATTATTTTTCCGACCCAAATGTCGGCCAATAGAATTGCACCATGAGACGAAATGTACAGTTAACAAATAAGAATTTCATAATGAATAAAACAACTACTTAATACTTTTCTTGAAGCAACTACCAGAGAAAATTTTCAAAAAATTATCAGTATAATACCATGTAGGTTGTACCACGTGACGTCGAATGGTGCAATTCTATTGGTCGATATTTGGGTCGGAAAAATAATCAACAAAAACTAATCGAAATCAGCGTGATAGGTGTGAAATTCTTCGAAAAAAATTCATTGATCGATCTTTATTAAACATTTTCAAATTTGCCCGTGCGATTTTGTAACTTTAAATGACGCCTGTACAATTGGTTTTTTGTGTTTAGTTAGCGGCTCTTGAGAACAATGAACGAAACCACAGAGAAACAGGTGGTCCATTCAAAACTGAAGAATTAAGCAAAATATCGTTGAATAAGTTGATAAGATAATAATTGTATAATGCTAATGCAAATCTTTGTTTGACAAAAGTCCTAATATATTATTTTAGTTACTATAAAATACCTATTAATACAGATTCTGTTAATTTGATTGGAAAACAACTAATTCGACGCATGTATCACCGTCTATTTCGTTTATTTCATTTTCAAAATTCTACTATAATACATATAATATTTTTATGTTAAGTTTGATATTTGCTTCAAGGAAATAACTAAGTACATAAAAATGTCATTATGAAGGAAATCCTATATATATCTAGTAGTAGATTATTATCAAATTTTGTATCACCATACTAGAATTCATTTCGTATATATATAATACACGGTAAAGTGTGTTTTATGAATTGTGTTAGAAATAGACAACTAAATTTTAAATTCGGGAATACAAACATATTATTTCAGTTAATTGTAACACACTTAATGAATGAGTATCCTACATCGATGCCTGCTTCTTTGATAAGTTATTTTACCAACAAGACAATTCAGTAAGGTAAAAAATTATTATCTTATAAAAAAATTAGAAATAAAAAAATCTATTGACTTAAATGAGTAATGCTGACAATGATCGTCAAACTCTTAAATAATAAAACAAGATAAGTGTTATGATAATCAAATAAACGTGTTTAATAAAACTAAAATCTTATGTCATCACAATTCGGAGTATGTTGGGGTGTAGATTTTGACAACTACGCGGTATTCTTATTTGACACGATAATTGATAAGAGATATGGAATCGATCAAGTTGGTTATGTTGTAACATCAAGTTTATTGAACTTTCGTTTACGAAATAGGGAAAGGTGATTTGGATAAAAAAGAAATTTTCCGTTTTTAAATGCGTGTCGTTTCTTTTGAAATTGGGACATGAGACACTTTGCAAGATGAAAGTAGGTACCAATTTATATTAAGGCTGTGCTTATATTCGTATAGAATTTGCTTATCTCATATCGTTTAGATCAAAAGTAAACTAAATTTGCTGCTAAAAGTTACCTACTGTTGAAATGTCTTCAAAAAACAAGAAGGTACGCGATTAAAAAATGCACTTATTTTGGTGTAAATCCTTGTTGTGGAACAAGGATTTAAAACATACTTTATTTTACCAATTTTACTGTTAAATATGACATAAAACAAAAGACAACTTGTAAGTAAAACTGGAAACAAATATGAAATCGCACTCACCTCAAAGTTAATAACACCTTCTGATCCATATTTATCGAAGATTTTCTCAATGAAATACTGTTCTGCTGGTAATGAATTATTAAGATCTTGCTCAGGGGCTAAGAAGAGTTCAGCTGACGCCAAACTCGTTGCCAAGAAGATGATTCCAATTATTACGATCATATTAGACACTTAGGCAGACCGTGCGCAAGCGACGATCCACAGCACACTATCTGATTATCTGATACGCGTCTGGCCACTTTGGGTACGCACTACGTAAATTGTTTATTTATTTGAGATAATCGCAATACGAATTGGAATTGCTCACGCGTCTTCGTCTGCGCGAGCGGCGTGTGCGTCTGGGACTTTCACTAAACGACCGCCGATCTTGCGAAGTCCGTTTTTGATAAAGAGGTATGTCAATTTGACGATTTTTATTGACAGTGTCTGCCTTATGTACGGTATAGACGCCAAGTTTCAATATCAAGCAAGAGCAAGGATGAAATCTGGAGTGTTATAAGTGCCTCGTCTAGGTTATTTGAGCGTGAATAACATTAATATATTATCTAATTACGCTGTAGGATTCAAGTGATTCATTTCACCTTCTTGCGGGACATTTTATTCATTTAATTCACAAACATGTAGATTTTAGAGATTAGTTGATAATTGCAGTACTAGAATAGTAATCTGCTCAGGCTTTTGATTCGGAGTGGCGGATTAAATAACATTAACAAAAAGTTTTTATGGATATAAATAAATGGATGGGGAAAATAATTAATTTTACAATTTTGGATAGAAGCAAAATAAGTTACATTTTGCCGAATTTTTCCACTGGATCATAAGAAACATCGCGTATTAATTGAAGGTAAGTTAAAATGAGTAAAAATGTAAAATTGTTTCAAACATAATTCTAATTATTAGTAATTAAAATTTGTATGAACATGCGAAAATGAATTTCTTAGTTCGGTTCGCTTTCACGCTTAATCAAATAGTAATAAATTAATAACCATATTTTGTTGCAGCATACATATTATAGTAGGGGAAATGTACGAAGACGTAAGGATTTCAATGGAATTAACCCCCTTACTTCTCAATATGATAAGTCAATTACTAAGTCCAATATCGTTACCTAATTAAGCTCCCATTAGTAAATTTACCAGTTAATTGGAATACAAAATAACGATTGCGATAAACTGTACCTAAGTCTCGTGAGTTTTCTTGTCTCAGGTTCAGGGTCGGGACTTGCTCTAAGTATGACCTCCTTCAAAATCCAATGCATTTTTACATCAATATATTTGGAAAAGAACGGGAGTAATATATTATACCATACATGATGTATAGTCTTTAGTGAATCTGTCAATGTCCAACGCTTAAAACATTGAAGGGCTCAAATTCCATTGTCAACAACTTTAGTTAGGAATATTTAGTCCAACAAAATATTGATAAATAAATATACCATACCTTCATATTAAAGGAATATATACGTCGAAGTTATGTAATATTTATTTACACGTGTTTGATATTATGCCGTTATGATATGTTAAACTTTTTCGTTTCCTGTTTTTTCAGTATGTTAGGATATTTGTAGTTACGATTGGGGACTTGATAACGTATTCGTTACCGTAAATATATAATTGTGCTAATATTTAATTAAATGTAGACGTTACGCTCCAAAATTTAACACCTGATTCAATAATACATTTGAAAGGATCTCTGACGTTTTTCTTTGTTCATACTTGGTAAAAGTATTGTAATACTGATAAATAATTCAGTAAAAGAGGTTTTAGAAGAACGAAGAATTTAACAATAGAAACTAATTTCTAGGAACATCCTAGATGACACCAGGTGTTTCCAGCATAGATTGGACGCCATGAAATATAAACATAGATAAGTTTAAAAATATGACGTAAATTACAAATGCTTTTATCACGTTAGATTACATTTTATTGTTGTATCTCTTCTTACCTTTTTCGTGACTGACATGATATCCACACATGTATGTATAGTTTGAAAACCAAGGCTGTGGATTCATTGTGTTTACTCTGACGCATGCATTTTGATGCCAATTGCGTATATCCTAGTACCTATTAGCTAGGCACATAAATAGAAACATAACTAAATTGATCGTGAATTTAGGGTCAGATAACCAGGATTTCCGAACGCAAAACAATTACCGTAAATGCGGGAAAATTTCAAGACGATATATGATGGTAAACTACTGTTATAAGTAGATTTTATTATAATTATTTAATGTATAATATATAATACCGGTGATTAATTTTGCGGTGAATTTTGATATATTATAACCAATTTACGATAATTTTACAACCCTGGTACTGATAGGTGAACATTGATTTACACCCACTTTTGAGCGTTGCTTACGTAAGTAGTATTCACATTTTACTTAAATTCGGAGAATGTTTTAGTTTCCTGAGCCACCTATTAACATACACATACACACATAACTGCACACCGCGCAAAATGTTAGTTAGATGTTTTTTATATATGTATGTATAACAGTGGGCAAACGGGCAGAAGGCTCACTTGATGGACACCGATTTGGCATTCTGATAAACAATAAACTACAAGCTCCCTCCTTATTAGAATGCCAAATCGTAAAATGACTGATTTGAGCGCGACCGCCGCTGCGAAAACCGCTGTGCGAGTTCGAAAAGTGAGTTACAGAATCGCAAGGCAGAAGGCTCGCAAATGCGCCGGCCTTTTACCAATTGGTACTCTCATTTCTTGAAGGACCCTAAGTCGAATTAGTTTACTGAGGAGCTGGTTCCATATAGTGCTGGTGCGCGGCAAAAACTACATTAAAAAAGGCAAAATACGAAATTCCACCTGTATCACCTCGACGCTGAAAAAACATGGCGATTAAAAAGAGTGGCGGAGAGTTTATTGCCAGTTCTTCTCTTCCGTTCTACGCCTTTGATTTGAGAACTGGCACTAAATGTAAAATTAGAAGCATTAATATGTATTTCTTTACTGACGAGTCATAAGTGTACAATGTGTTACCTATATGATTAAATGATTTTTGAAATTGAATTTTTGTCCGATGATGAAAATCAGCTGCAGGAATAAAACCCAACAACTCCTCTGAACACTCCATCGCAAATGCGTTAGAAGATTCAGAAAGACCCCGTCCCGTATCTCTACGCAACTCCAAGGAATCAAGCCGCTCGGAAACTGACTAGTTGTCGAGGATTCGAATCGCTCTTCTTTGAATACGGTCAAGTGGAAGGAACTGGTACTCGGGGGCTCCCTCACCCAGAAATGAAAACAGTACGCCAGGTGGTGCCAAATTTGCTCGCCTTGCTAAGCACACCAAGGTTCTTAAAGGCTAATTTGGCTAAGTTGAAATATATCATTGATAAGCAGAAGAACCAGGATCGGGGATAGGACACAGCCTGGTGGGACCCCAGCGTTCACTGGTTTAAGGTCGGAGCATGCTCGAAACTGAAAGCTGAAAATCCATTTGCATAATTTCTCGGGGAGCACACAGGCTGGCAGTTTCGAAAGAAGTGCTCTGTGCCATACCCGATCAAAGGCTTCGCTATGTCTACACTTACCGCCAGCGCCTCCCTCTTGGACACATTTGCTTCTGCCTACTTATGTGTAAGGTTAACGAAAAGGTCACCAGCTGAGCGACCACGACGAAAGCCGTACCAACTATGGATAAACAGCTGGCCCTCTAGATGGGCCTGGCCGTTATTAATGGTTTTCATTATTTTGGAGAACAAGGAGGTTATAGCTATTGGGCGGTAGTTGGACGGATCAGAGCGATCGCCTTTTTTAGGGATCAGATGTATGGAAGCGGTCTAGCCCTTCAGGACAATGCCGAGTGAGGTCAGGTACCGGAAAAGGCGCGTTAGGACCGGAACCAACTCAGGAGCACAAGTACGCAGCACCCCATACAGGCCTGCTCGACTGATGTATGCCCAATAAAGATAGAAATAGTAAATATTATGCCTATAGTTATTTTCAAGTAATACTATTCAGTAATCATTTTTACCAACTGTGGCGTAGCTATGCAACAAGAGTAGCAAATGCTATCGGACCTTATCGAGTATTACTAAATTTGTCAATATTATAGTCGTTTATTCTTTTTATTCTTATATCTGCAACCGAAAGACTTCTTGATAGAAGTCGCGAGTATTTCATATCTTATATATAAGCAATCGGTTACAGAAGTGATGTAAAGGGGTAAATAAATGTTAACATGTAACTATGAATAAAATATTTGCATCAAACATTTACTATGTATTATTTAGTTTCCAATCATGTATCAGCCGCTTATTTACCGCTCCCAACAAACATTCTCAGCTACTATACGATAGCTTGTATAAATATTGTCACAAACATTGCGATATTGCTTATTGATTATACCTTATTGGTGTGACAAACTGCCCCACGTCTCAGAAAGCTGATTACTCACATGTCATTGATTATAAGAGAAAATGAATAGTGTAGTCTTTGGCGCGAATTGGAACTGCGACAGAGTATAAACAGGCTTCCGAATCCGAAACAGATTCATAGCATATTAAACAAAACCACACTTTTGAAAAGTTGTAGCGGTGAAAGTTATCTGTTGGTGGTATCTATGACTCCTACGAGTACCTACAGACATTAAGAAAGAATGCAAACATCTTAGAATTCACTTCACTCCCTGTAGCTCTTAAACCTAAATTATTTTGTTAGCAATCAGTATTTGAAACCAAATCAAGTGGAAGGTCCTATCTGGAGGATGAATGCTTGAAAAAGAACCTACCTCGCCAGAAAATCTGACTAGAATCGTTAGGATTTTTTATTCTTATCTCTGTTTCGACGTCAATTGTATGTTGTTCAGCAGATTTGAAATTCGCGGAAATCGAAGATTGCCAAAAAAGGCAACCCATTTCACCGTTAGGTATCGCTATTATGATTATTGAAGTCATTCCCCTTTGAAATGAAAAAAATGTTAATCGCTATGAAACCCAAGTCGACATTATTAAGTATATTATTCGTCTATATTGAAAATAAATTGTAACATAAACAAATTTTAAAACGCACAAACGTTTTCCTTGTGTTCGGGTTTTGGTACATATATATCGTAGATTTGGTTGATATATTATTATACATATATAAAATACTAGCTGACCCGGCAAAAATTTTTTACAAAAAATATTTTCTTATCACTTAGCACTTAACATGCATAAAAAATTTCGTAAAGAATCAGTCGAGCCGTTTCGGAGGAGTATGGGAACGAACATTGTGACACGAGAATTTTATATATTGCAGGAAAAGTATAATTTTGCAGTAAATGTGCTTGGCGAAAGTACTAGAACGGATATTGAAAATTTTTTTTTAGATAAATCTAAAAATGTTTTCAAAAGTCTACGTGGATGAAGTCGGCAGATTAAGTATTTGTTGTTCCGCGTCCGAGTTGTCTTTTTCATCGTAGTACGTGTCCAATATATAAAAATTTATGGTTCGCTGCTTTTATCGATAACAATGAAACATTTCACAATAGAGTTCCGGATTATTGTATCATAATTTTATGTTAAAAATGTGTTTCTAAAGTACCTGCTCTACTTACCACTTTACAGCTCTTTGTTTAAATTAAGTTTGAAAGTGTCTTGTAGTCATCCACAAGACTATTGGTGTACTGCCAGGGTTTTACCGTGGCGAACCTACGTAGAAACATACCAAAAAAGAGCCACACGTTTAAACTACGATCAACACAGCTCAGCCAGTGCTGCGTTAAAATTAAAGCCTTACGGTTTTAAGGGGCAACTCATTATTTTGAAATATTAATCTATCCCGATATCTCGTACTTTAAAAAAAGCATAGCTTCAAACGAACGAGTTTAAATCCCTCAAAGGTATTTTATATTGTCTGTTACAATATTTAACTGACAATATTCTAAACCCTTTTTTTGACTGTAAAGTTAATAAAAATTTTAGAATATTTTAATCATAGAAAGTATGTATATCAATTTGTACATTATCTATGGTATTATAGTAGTGAATGAAATCGTTACTATTAACAATTTAAAAACTTTAATAGATGTGTTATAGAACTCGTCCTCAATTATGTCTACGAATATGATTAAATTCAATTTGATTTGTACTATAAATATTACCGATCAATTTACGATAAAAATGTGAATTGCCTAAAAAGGAGTAGGCGTTTTAAAATTCAATTTGTTCGCATGAAATAATCGTCCTTAAACTTAGATTTAAATTGCCAAAACATAAAAAAATCTTAAGATCTTATCTTCAGCATTTATGAACTTTCAAAAGATTTGTATTATCTTAATAAATCATTCATAACCACCAAAAAAGCATGGTGGTCCCCATGACTGGTGTTCTCCTACCGTTTCCCTTGAATAGTTTGCTACTATGTAATATAACAAAAACCTTAGCGACAACAACATTTGGCCGGTCTGCTAGTATATATATATATATATATATATTTCCCTGTTTCGGGGCTAACGGCCGAGTTTTTCTTGTTAGCTCTTCTCGCCCGCTCTACGCCCCTTATAACTAGAACATGGAAATTTAGACCTTTTGATTTATATTGACGTTCATAATTGTACATAGTTAACAACACGAATAAAAGAGTTATGATTTGATTGTTCAAATCTATCCGTGCCTGGCATATTAGACTTTTAGAGACAGAGAATTTCATTTCGGAGAAACTCAGTAATGCGTTAAAGGCAAACATTTCTGTAAAAAAACTGGTTGCAACATTACTTGATGCATGCATATATTTATGATTTAAACACGTAATTGATGATAATTTATTATTTGGTACGTTAAATAAGATTTTGCGTTCAGTTTGCCGCTTGGATCCAATTTTTTACTGACATTTCATTACTTATTCAGTTAAACGCAGATAACTGATAAACAGTTGATTAACACATAAAAATTTCATACAAACCTTATATACTCAAACTACATAAACAAAGGTTCAATGTAATTCTTATAAAAATAAAAAAAAACAAATTTCAAAAAGCATTATATTAATAGACTGATCAATGATATAACATAAAAAAGCAATTGTAAAAGCTCGAGATTTATTGTCAAACTTAAATCTAAGAATACTTTCAAACAGATCTATGGTAATGATTTTATAAATCATAATTCTTTTGAGTCTTCGGGGAGACATAGGAACATTTTTGAGCAGACAATATTGAATGAATTGCAGGCTGACTGCAACCATCGTGGCGTGTGCCGAACGCAAATAAAATAAACTGGTATTCCCGCCGCAATCATGCCAATACCTATACCAACTTCAACTGGGGACTTAAAACAGGAACATATAACAAGTGATGTACATAAAACAAGGAATGATATTGGGAATAATAGGTTGACTCGAATTGGCCGGGTTACGTTTGGTTGTGTGCGTCGCAGCCAGAGGAGGCCCGCGACTGAGCAGATAATGAAAATTGCCTCCACAGATGTGACGTATAGGACGAGTGACTCCACGCTCCGTGTCAATAAAAGTAATAGCGTCACCAGACACTGGAACAAGATATGCACTATTAATAAATGTATAACACAAATATGGAATGTATTAATATGATTTTTGAATAGCGAATTTTGCAATTGAGTTAAGGCGTATTTTGCAAAGCACAATTAAGCATTCTCCCTCCTTGTAATTGAAATTTTGGGAAACGGTTACACAACCGTCTGTGGCCGCTTCTGTAATTGGAGGTTAAGCCTGGGATTATCATTGAAGTATCTCGTAAAAATTTTGTGACTTCCAAACCCATTTTCTCTCGAAAGTGTTTTGTAATCTAAAAGACCTACTAACATAATAACAATATGTACGTAATAATAACATAACCTAATTCTTAGCAAAACCGAAGGAATTTTTGCGTAGTGGGTACAGATACACAATCGAAACTCGTGATATTCAAGAGGCACAAGTAAGTTTTATCTCTTTAATTATAATCTGTTGATTAAGTGAGAAAATAATTGAATTGTGTTTTTTTAGTAATTATCACTTTCATATTAGCGTGCGAAAATGTAATTAATGTGTCAATTGTCGACCTTGTTAAGTTGGTAACTTTTGGGGGAGGAAATGCAATACGAAAAACAAATATAATCGATTATAAAGAGGTTAAGTTTGTGAGGTTGTAGGGAGTAATCAAAGAATTTCGAAAATTCTTTCAGTAACTTATGCTATATGATAACACGATTACTATATTTTTTAACTGGATTTTAAAAGAAAAAGGATGACTTGTAGTAAAAGGTTGGTTATTTGAACAATGTATGTAGTCTCTGATTTTTATAAACCTATATTCAAAATTAGTGTTTTATTTATTTACACTTACCATAAAAATTAAAGATGGAACTGGAGTAAGTCGTCGGACGTCAATAAGTGCGATCGCCAGCGGTAAGTGTCCATTCCTTGCTCCGACGAAGAACAGCCTGGATGAGGCGTATATAGCCCCATTAAGGGATCCAAAAGTGCACAGTGCGACAAATAAAGGCATTATCCAGGAAAACATGCCCAGTATTTGGTCCCCAAATGTGACAGCAACGGCAGCGCCGGACGCAATAATCTGTTCCTTTGTTAAAACAACGAAGAGGGCAAAATTGGTCAATGCATACACAATTGTCACCACTGGCATCGATATACAGATTGCTCGCGGAAGGTTCCTGGAATTTAAAAATATATAATTAGCATCAATATCAGTTATAAATAACTTTGTAATTAGGTTAACAACTTTTGTTGGACATCCATATAACATACACATAAACATATTTATAGAGCTTTTTGTGGTATTATAAAGCCAAGTAGTTAAGATTTTTATGAAGTACTTATAGACCACAAGCCCATGAACAAAAAATACCTGTGAAATGACCCAACGTGAATTACGCTTAGAAGGCTGTTACTATATCTGAAAATAGCTCTGAGCACTATGCCGTCATTTCTGAGCGGTACATGTGAGTACGTGAGTGAATGGACTTTCTCATGTACAATGGGGGAATTTCGACTAATTATTAATGTACGGCTTTGTTATAAGTGTATAGATGATTAAAAATAAATGTCGAAAAACCTAGTGCCGTACAAAAGTGATGGTGCCGGAAGTCGGTGCAAATTTTTAATTCGACGACAGTTGCAGGAGCAATATAGGTCATTTATTACTGTACGGCATTTGTGTCATTCCTTTTGGACACATATACAGATACTTTACCCGTAAACGCCGTACATATTCCCAGCGGAGCGGTCGAAAGCCAAGGGTCGCAACATATGTCTGATTAGCATATAGGTGATGATGATATGAATCAACATAAAATTAAATGATCTTGAGAGTACTTCACAAATAGATAACATTTTCCAGCATGCCGTACTTTTTTGTGGAACACATAGGTGTATGGGGCAAATTACTTTTCTCAGAAAAGAGTCATTTTCCGGTGACTTTTATCTGTACGGCAATAACACAGGTTATTAATACTTTAGACAATCTTCAATAAAAGATAAATGCCGTACACTTTCGATAGTCCGCTACCACCGCCTACCAATACAGGGCGTCCCAAAGTTATGGGAAATGAAGGGAAAGTACCTTAAATATCGTAGATAGGGTATTTTACTAAAAGAAGACTTTATGTTATTTTTAAAAGTTATTAATTCTGCATTCAAAGATTTTTTAAAAATTACTTGCCTCGTCTGGGAATCGAACTGACTTAAATGTAAAAAAAACACCCTACTTTTATGATGCCAATCGAAAGAATGGCCAAAAACTAATAACTCTTCTTAAGTAACATAGTATTTTTAATCAAATTAAAAACATTATCTATCGTATTCGGCCTAAAAAAATCCCTACGAGTCTGTTACTTTAGAAAAGTTATTAGGTTTTGGCCATTCTTTCGATTGGCATCATAAAAGTAGGGGTGTTTTTTTTAATTTAAGCCGGTTCGATTTCCAGACGAGGCAAGTAGTTTTAAAAAATCTTTGAATGCAGAATTACTAACTTTTATAAATAACATAAAGTCTTCTTTTAGTAAAATACCCTATCTGCGATATTTAAGGTACTTTCCCTTCATGTCTCATAACTTTGGGACCCTGTATTATATATATTTTTGTTAAAAATATTTTTCCTTTACCTCTCTCTGCTGGTACGATAAGGCTGTAAATATACTTTACAGCCTTATGGTAGTATACTCAGATATGTACAGTTATTAATGACCTTAAGGGACACCTCAAACGTCGTCGAAGTTTTTATCAGCTGTAAAGAATAATCTGGAGTAAAATGTACGGCATCTGGTTTTTTTTGTTTATTTATATTTGTTACATATAAAATAACAATAATCTTTGAAAATATTACTCCCCATATTACTCTAGGAGCATTTGAAAAGTCATCTAAATTTCGGAAATTTCATATATTTTTTATCATAATATTTTTATTTGTTACCATTTATAATGAACGGCTATAATGTACAACGGTAATATTTAGTAACATTATGTAAAAAAACAAGTTGCCGTACATTATTCTCTGATCTTACAGCAGTAAGAACTTGGTAAATCCTGAAATTTCGATAAATATTTAATTACACAAATATTAACTATAATATTTGGACGGCATAATTATAAAACATTATTGTCCGTGTTAAATAATATTTTGAACATGTTGCCGTACATTTTACAATGACCTTAGGGTATATGGGTGTAGGGGTAGGTTTCCGACCCTTGGCTTTCGACCGCTCCGCTGGAAATATGTACGGCGTTTAAGGGTAAAGTATCTGTATATGTGTCCAAAAGGAATGACACAAATGCCGTACAGTAATAAATGACCTATATTGCTCCTGCAACTGTCGTCGAATTAAAAATTTGCACCGACTTCCGGCACCATCACTTTTGTACGGCACTAGGTTTTTCGACATTTATTTTTAATCATCTATACACTTATACTTAGCCGTACATTAATAATTAGTCGAAATTCCCCCCATTGTACATGAGAAAGTCCATTCACTCACGTACTCACATGTACCGCTCAGAAATGACGGCATAGTGCTCAGAGCTATTTTCAGATATAGTAACAGCCTTCTAAGCGTAATTCACGTTGGGTCATTTCACAGGTATTTTTTGTTCATGGGCTTGTGGTCTATTATATATTATATCTCCATATTTAAAAAAAAATCATTTTTTTCCTATATTTTATTTTATTTCTTTATTTTAATTTTTTGACTATCAAATTGTATTTATGTTTTGAAAAAATGAATTAAAGATTGATTGCCATTTCATTGATAAGGATTTCAACATTAACTGAAAATCAAAGTTCAAATGTTCACATACCTATATGGATCTTTCAGTTCCTCAGTCACAAAGTTGAGATAGTTCCAACCGGAGTACGAAAATAACCCATGGTAGAAGGCAGCCGCGATGTCCCCTGGTTTTGTTACAGTTCCCTCCATCATTGATTGAACATTGTTTGTACTTTCAGCGAACAAATACCAAATACTCGCACCAAACATTACCACGAGGGCCAGCATTTTGGCAGCAGTAAACGAATCTTGCACTCGCGTAACCCATTTTACATTATAACAATTTAAGGCTGTAAGGAAACCTGAAATAAATATTGTTTTAATTAAAATGACGTTATCAAATACGAAGTTATCAGCGGGCTTTAATTAGGGAGGTTATGTAGGTTACGATTTTTTATATATGAAGTCGATGAAATAACGTGAATATTATTGATTTCTCGCTATATGGGTTGATTGTGTCACCAGCTGATTACAATTGCAGAAAAGTACTTCAAACGCCGAGTTATATAAATATAATAATACATTTTACAGCCATTATATTGTAAAAAAAATTCACAGAACGTTGGAAGCTTTACATACATTATTTGTGATTTCTAAATAAACACTAAGGGTTCAGGAAAGAGCACTAAGTGTGACGCCCTTATGTCAAAAATCTATGGAATTTCATTCAGTCATTCTTTTGTTCAAAATTATCTATTTTAAATTAAATAATATGCTCTAATTTTATGTATGAAGAAATGCCCACAGCTGTTTTCTAAAAATCATTATGAATTGACAAAAAATACGCGATAATGTCATCTTGCGGGGTTTTTCAATAATTAAGTAATGATATTAAAAGAAAGACTCATATAGCATCAAAATATTTAAGGAAAACAAACAATTTAATTTATAAACTGCCGCAAAAACCCTAATCTTATAGTTTTACATTACTTATCTACATTTTAACCAAATATTTAAATTAACAAAATGCTTTATATTTAAATGACAATTTTTTTCTACCAAACTCAAGGTAAATTTTTTTTAAACTGTAAAACCGATGTTTAGTATCTTTACAGCTTGTATCGTCAAGCGTGTTTCCTTGGTGCATAATCTAAAGAACTGTTTATTCTAACTAATTCAAAGAGACTACAGGATAGAAACATGCAGTAATAAACAGTAGGTGCAAATAAATAAGTGGAAGTTGACTGACAGTACAATTTTTTTACCATCTCAACGCCATAGATAATGTACGCATATTTTATATCATAGACTTTACGTGGACACCTTGTTACTGCCCTATGCGTATGTATTACGGTAAACATAATATATTTTCCCTTGCCTATACAGGTGTGTATTACATTGTATAGGGACAAATTAAGTGCTACTACCGGAGCGTAATTTGCGCTGGCGATACGGGAGGAAATTCTCATTATCCTGTCAAGCACAATCAGCGTACGAGGATAAAGACGCGGACCTCCGCGGCCCTGCACACACGAATAACTCCTTATTGTAACGTAATTGTCACACATTGTACTTCCTTTTTGATATTCAATCTACTTTTAAGTTTCATTGTTGGGCGATAAATCTGACTTTGGGTAACTTTAAAGTTCATTCGAATAGGACTACAAATGCTGTGACCGAATACTTTGGGTCTGCCAATGTTGGCGTGTAATTTGATGTAATGAAATGTTTCGTTATTTTCAAGGGTTTTCAAAATCTATACACATTATATACGAACATTCTTGACAGATCTACCTTACCGGCACAAATCTCCAAACAATATGGGGTTTTGTTCGTTGTTATAAGCATCGGACAAAAAAGTTTTGGAAATACCAATTTTAATGGGGAAATTAGATGAAAAACCTTTTATGTAAACTATAAACTACGTGCACACGTTGTTTATATCTAGTTACTTTGTTTAATATGATTTGATTAAAACAAGTAATTCTAAAGATAAAACAGAACTCTGGATGTTTTCAGGCTTGTATATTAAAAGAAAAAAAACCTATGCCAAGAAGAAATGTATGTACCATTGCTAACTCACCTATAATTAAATTCTACAAAATAATACCAAAACGACTTGACTTGACTCCAGTTCTATTAACTTTTGTCTACGTCGTAGTTTTCACAGGACAAAATATCGCATCAGTGTGTCTAATAAAAATTGCGTTGTCGAAAAGTTTTCGTTATTTCAGAATATTACCTTCACGTACCCGAATGGTTGGCAAACGAAGTCCTTTAAGTTGTTGTCTCATTCTCTGGAGTACATTGAACCTCTTGAAAAAGTTGCAATGAAAATGATTGTCCAAAAAGTTCAAGAGAACCGGAAATCTTTTGGTTATGCATTTTGGAAGGGATTGAAAATGTATTTAGCTCTGTGCAAATACCATGAATATACATCAATCAGATAAGGAATTTAATTATAGGGTAATTAGAATTGTGTAATATTGGAAATTCATTCGTATTTAATTTAGTAAATTTATCAATATAACAAAAATTGCAAACGCCGAAAAAGTAATTTATCTATTTATTATATTGTACTAGCGGACCCGACAGACGTTGCCTTCACATGTCTTAGATACAAAAATATCAAACTTAAAAAAACAAACAAAATATATGTAATTTTATAATATTCTAACCCATTGAGTCCACTTAATCACTCATCAAATTCGTTCCAGCCGGGTAGGAGAAAATTTATATAACCTAAATAACAAGACATCAAAAGTTTTGAAGCTAGAAACATCAAATGCTCTTTTTACTTTTTTTTATTACATAATATATATGTTTCTCGTTTAAATGTTCTCTGAATTTCCACAAATATTTCAAGATCATAATTGGCCAAAGCGGCCCAGCCATTCTCGAGTTTTAGCAAGACAAACGAACAGCTTCACCTGCTAGGTTGGGTTCGATCTGAAATTGGATTTTTCGGTATATGCGTCTCTATCAAGTGACTATGTATATATTGGGACAATGACGTAATAAATCTGTATAGAATCAATATTAACAGATTTACACTAATATAAAGAAGAGGAAAGATTTGATTGTTTTTGTTTGCGTTGAATACTAAAACTACTGGATCGATTTGAAAAATTATTTCACCTTATGAATCCAATATTATACGTCACGAACATAGAATATTTACAAAAGAGTTATCAGAAATCCTTTTGTTAATGTAACCTAACGTATGAAAAGAATACTAATAAATATCCTATATCGCGCACGCTGCGGAAACTATAGACAATAGAGAAAAGTGATGTAATACAGTTTTATAGAAACCATCAATATCTTCAAAACAGTCCGCGATACCATGTTTGACCATTAGTTACCACCATAGTCCATTTACCTACGAAGGCTTCAGAACCAAAACTCATGCTACGTCCGCATTAATGCGGGTGAAACGAAGAACACAGACTAAATAGTTTAACTTACAAACGAACATACAAAACTTTCACCTTAGCAACCTTTCCATCAATTACTTAGATTTATAAGAATTAATAAAAGGTAAAAATTTGATCGTGCTTGTCCGACAATAGGAATGGTTTAGGCTATTTGTCACAAATCTTAAAATAACTTAAATAAAACAATTGCAACCGAATTTAAATGATCCTAATCCTTGGGATTGATTTGCTCCAGTTCAAATATTATGGCTTTACAAACAATTTGTAAGACTCACAACTTGGCGAATAAAGAGTGGCGGAGAGTTTCTTGCCAGTTCTTCTTGCTCGCTCTACGCCCTTGAATTGCGAACTACCTACCTAGTATAATGTTTAAAATCAATTTAACATCTTTTCTGTTAACGTTCATAAGTGTAATTTACCTATAAGAATAAAGTTATTTTTGAGTTCGAGTTTGAAGGCTTAAAAAACAAATGCGATCGACAAGTCCAGTGACACAAAACAAGACGGTGTAAAATAGAATATATTTTATCCATAGGTGTGTAACCTTATTCTCGGTAGGTAACAATTGCAAAATAAGGATTCAAATCACTAAAGTTGCATTCTGTGAAGTCTGAACAGGCGCTGCATGTGGCAAGGAATTTACACGTTGCGTATTCCACGAAACGTGTATTGTAAGTTATTATTTATAAAAAAACTAATGGCATTCTGCTGAACAACCTCTTTGGAAGCATTGTACAAACGAGTTATATAATACTGGCGCTTTTTAACTGCGTTTCTTACGAATGAAAGCTTTATTTATTTACGCAAAACAACACTAAATGTAAACCCTTAATATTTTTAAATTAACCAAAAATAAAACAGAAAAATATAGTTAAAATGTGGAGTTTTTAGAGAGAATTATATAACACTTAAATTGTAATTGTTTATAGACAATATTGTCACACCTTAATAAGTTTTTTAAAAAAAGAAACAAACTTCGTTTTTGAACCTCCCTTTTTGAAGTCGTTAATAACCAGCTTGTGACCCTATAAGTAATAGTGGGATTAACATGTTTTATGCGTTAAGTATCAGCCCAAATGGAGGGTCAAACAAAAGTATGTAATTAGCAAATAATAATCTCTGCGTCACAAATATCTGCAACGTATACAAAGTAATAAATTCGCCACATGTTGCACTATACTCGTGCTCGTATTCCCAGGCGTACAAAATTACACCATTAAAAATGTTCGCAAGCGTCGCAATAACTATGAACATTGCGCCAAATATTTGAATATTAAAAACATTGAAAAGTGACTATGATTAAAGACGATCCTAGTAATGTTAAATCTAATATATAAAATTCTCGTGTCACAATGTTCTTTCCCATACTCCTCCGAAACGGCTCGACCGATTCTTGTGAAATTTTGTATGCATATTCAGTGAGTCTGAGAATCGGCTACTATCTATCTTTCAAACCCCTAAATATTACCCCTAAATTTTTATTTTTTAGATAATTTGATTTGTTTTTTTTTATGATACAGCATACAAAAATACATTCAACCTTTAATTTTCACCCCTCTACGATCAACCTCTATTTCTTATTTGTTAATTAAAATCTTGCAACTTAAACTCTGAGGTTTATATAGAGAAAATTCACAGAAAAACCTAAAAAGTTTTCTTTCCAGAAAACCGAACAGTCTCTGGTGTAGCATAGCAAAATTTTCCATGTTGGTATGTACTATAAAGGTAGGCTAAGTAAAATCACATTAAGGAGAAACGAAGTTCGCGGGGCAGCTAGTAGTCCAATAAAATTATCCATAGATTAGAAATAAACATTACACAGTAAACTTACAGCATATTATACAAATGCAAGTATCTACTTGTGTTAAGTTCTTGCGCTCGCACAAAACTGATATTTTCTTTTTTTTTAAATAGTCTATTATTATGGAACTGTTGATTGGACATGTTTAAAACATTAAGCATACCTATAATCAATTACCTATTCTGACGTTACTTAACTTCTGTTTTAGATATTTTTCTAACTACGTTGAAAACAATATAAATTAATTCTATAAACCTTAGTACGTCATCAAGTTATTATTTAAACAAAAAATAATCAAAGTAAATCATGCGGTTGAATATGACGCATACTAACATTGATAAAAAATTTTTGCAACTATTAAGTAAATACTATTATTTATATACCTACTCACATGTCAAAACAGCAGCTACAAGAATCACGGCATCCACGGGTGGTTCACAGGCAGGCCAAAAAGGCTGAAGAATATTTGTAGCGAATATCAAAGCCGTGATGGCATTTCCAGTAGGGACCAAGACGAAAAGTGCTACCCATAGGTAGAGGAATGCTGGAAGTGGGCCGAAGGCCTCGCCGATGTATGCGTAGTCACCGCCGGACTTTGGTATCATAGTACCTGAAATATGAATAGATAACTAATTAATGTTAATATAATATATAAAAATGAAAGTATTACATATAGTATGGTTAAATAAAATATACCCTACATTATAATAATAAATACGATTTTTTCGATTCTTATGATCAAAATTGTTTAAATAACATTATTGAAATGAGTCTGTTGTGTTGCGAACATATGCACATTGCGATAATACAAACGAAATGATAAAAGCAATGTTGGGCTAGTGGTTACTCGACTGCAACTCTCAATGATAAGGTCGGGCATTCGAAGCCCATCTGCACGTCGATTTTCAACACTATACTCGTACGGCGTAGGAACGCCTTTTGAAAACCTGCATGGGTTAGCCCAAAAGGATGGATGGATCTTCAAGGATGTGTCAGGCAGCGACATGTCTCTGTCCCATGGTGGTCGGAAAATCATATATTGGTTTGTGGACTCAGTTTCCGCACTTAGACTCTCAATAGGTCCGTTATGCGTAAAGTCCTGGCTAACTAAGCCAGTCGGGGAAATCTTATAACATACAAACATAGAAGGATTATAGAATATTCAAATCATTATAATGCCTGAATGTTATGAAGCCGAGAAGTGCTATTGTTTACAATATTTTAACGTTCTTACAACAGTGACCTACATAAAGTAGGCAATTCAATAACCTACTTTAAACCTCGATACTTGGCTCTAGCTACATTGAAAACACTGCATTGCAGTTTGGCAGTGTCTTTCATGTAAATACGATTCAAATTTTTATTGTTTGACCCCCGGATCGTCTATTTTTACGTAAGTAGGTAATTTAGCTTCCATAAAATTATTAGAAATCATTTAACCACACGCTGACGGAAGTCATAGATTTTTGCAGTCTTGCGATTAGAATAATTTATGTTCGTAGTAAAATTTGAATATTCTTGGTAAAAAAAGAATATCGAGGCACGTGGCACTAATCGGTTTACTCCATGACATCTTCTCCAAAACATTTTTGCGGTGATTCAAACTTAGACCGCTGAGCTATTTACGTGATTAGTTAACACTTAACAGTGAAAGTTAATCAGATCAGGTACGCGCTATGACGCGCATTAATTAAAACTTTAAATTAAATTTCAGCCTTTTACTTGTTAGAGATAATATGTTAATTGAATCTTACCCAATTCGGCATAGCAAAGTGCTCCGATCATTGACAGCAGCCCGGAGAGGACCCAAACAATGAGGGCCATACCCTTGGAACCTGCATTCTTCAAGGCGTTGCTGGGAGATACAAAGATTCCAGACCCAACAATTATTCCAACAATAATTGCCACGCCATTTACAAGACTCAACCCTTTCTTTAACCGTACCCCACCACTAGGTTCTGCTTCATTATGTTCACCATCTCCTATGTCCATCACCTTCGGCGTCAAAGTTTCACTTGCTGACACTTTCGCCATCGTATGAATTTAAATCGAACCACTTTAATATTAAAATTATTAACCCAATACAACATTTACAACGGTAAATACAAACATAATTTTGGCTACCTTAACTGAATAAGTGACGAAGCTCATGTAAACATTGCATCACACTACCTTCGGAAACACCACGTGCGGTAATTGTCACAAAAATTAAAATTTTATAATTGCTTAAAAAATTTAACTATTGTTTCACAGCTAGACGATAAAACAATTGATTCATGCACACATTTTACCTTCCACTACTAGGTTAATATATTGAAAAAATTGTAGGTCACTATCTATTAGTCGTAATTAAGCAGAACTGCACTTGACCTAATATATTTTTTTTGTATTATAGATATGATTTTATAATATTTATAAAATTTTTGAAGCATATGTCGCGATCGAAGCCGGCCCGGCGACACTACACGTTGTTCGTTAACCGACCCCACTTTACTATTCAGTATACTTAACATGTAACTCCGAGTCTACTCTACCGCGTTGTAATAATTCCATAACGATAAAGGCTTTAAATTATTATATAGCCTTTAGAATTTCAATCTTAAATACTCAATGGTAGAGATCATTTCGCACTGCGAAGTGGGTGTAAAAACTGGCTGCCAAGTTTAAACGGGTTTCGTCTCTTTCTTTCCCCTCTTACCACGTGTACGGATGGTATATTTTTTACTATAACAGTTATTCTGACCCACAGCTTTAATAACACGTGTTTCCATTGACTGTTTTTAATACGAAAATTATAATAGGTTAAGGATAGTCGCAGGATATAAGCAATTTATTTATAACGCTACACAAGGTCATTGACAGCCGGACTGCCGGTATCAGAGATCAATCACCCGCGTCAAGCCCTGAAAACTAGCTACTTGTAATAAAATTACATATTTGCTTCACGGATAGACATTTTCCGGTGACTGTTATGTTAAATTTTATAATCGCCTGCTACAGAAATGACATCCTTTTTTTAAATTTAATAAAGGCTGAAATATTTTATTTTTCGTGATTGAAACTAAAATCTCAATGCTCAAATTTGGCGCAATTTTGCTATGAACACTTTAATAAGGGAAATAATCATGTATGTGGTATGTGGAATATAAGAATGCTAATAGTTATGTATTTAGTTGGTTCAGTCTTCACTATACTTCTAAAAATAAATTGACCAAGAAGAGCTATGATAACATTACTTAAAAAATGTTATACAGAATTTAATCCACATACTTTTACTTTCAACTACATTGAATAAATTTGAATTAAATTGGGGGCGATTAGAAAAAAGGGATAGAAAACAAAGGTTTTTCAAATAACGCGCAAAATGGATATGGAAATGGACTTTATGGTTTCTTTCACGGTTTTCTAATAAAATAATGAATAGCTCGGATCAAGAAATAAGGCTTTTGTTTTAATAAAACTTTATGCATGTACCTATTTTTAATAAACCATTTCTTATACTTTTGAGTATATAGAATTAAGTGGATAGAAAATACATTAAACATTTTATGATTCCCATGAATACATAACTTATTGGATTTAAGATAAAAAATTTGATGATGATAAAGTTTTATTTCTGTATATAAATAAACATTATTTGTACCATGTACTTAATCATTATCACTTTGGATAGGGTATTTAAATATCCTTGCTGTTCCATCATCAGATGTGGACAGTACAATATTTTCCTTTGCATTATAAACAAGATCCAGTATTTCTGACCAATGTCCTGTTAGCATTGTACTTCTTTCACCAGATCTTCCATCATAAACTCTTAAAGAGCCATCAAGACAGCCAGTAAGGAGTTGGTCCTTGATCCATATCATTTTAGTTACACCCGCTGACACATCTTCTTCTGATTTTGCACAGGAATGTCTAATCATTTGCCTGGCTGTGTCCCAAATTGTGATAGAACCATTTAGAGTACCTAAAATTTTCATGAAAATATAGACTAAGTAATTCATTATATCATATGCCTTTAAATAATTAGAAAATAAAACTTAAAAAGACAGACAACAAAGAAGAAATCCAAAACTCTTCCGGGCTTAGTTCAACACATTGAGAATTTATTTTAAATGAGAACAAGCATCTTCAAGCTTATGAACTAAAACTAAACACCATGATAAATAATAGCAATGCCCTATTGAACTTCTTCCCAAACCACCACTCTGTGGTGCCTTTATAGAATGAACTCCCTGAGAATGTCCTGTCCCCTACACTGATCTCTTTTACAAATAAAATGATAATATTTATAATAATAATAAATTTATTTAAATTGCAAAGGTAGAAGCACTGGTGGAATTATCCTATTGTAAGTGTTGCCTATAAGACTATGATAAGTGTTTTGTTCCTTCATTAGTGTTTGACATCAGACTTAATAAGTAATGTGCAGTATGTTTTTCTTAAACGCATACATACACTTTTTTTTTTAGAACATTCATTATTAAACAAAGAAAATAAACTACATACTGTTCATCCTTCTTGTCAATCAAAGAAAAAAGGAGATAAATTGGTCCCACTGATGTGTTGCTTTAGTAGAGCACTTTTCATTTTATATGTATAATTTATGTTAACTGTTTTAACATCACTTAAATCAACAATTTTAAAGCATAGTTAGTAGTTAGTAACATTACCTAAAGCAAAATAATCCAATTGTGCATCAGGACAAAAAGCAACAGCTTCCAAATCATTTTCTGCTTCCAGCTGCGCTACAACCTTTCCATTCACTGATGTTGTTAAGACCACTTTCCCTGTAAAAATATACACAAATGTTTAAACTTAAAGTTGCTAAGATAACATTTTTATATACAGTAGAACCTCTATAAGTCGAACATCAAGGGAGACGCCAAAAAATTCGAGTTATAGAGTTTTCAACTTATGGAGGATTTCGACTTAGGCGGATTTTGATTCGACATAAAGAGTTTGAGGTTTATTCTTATAAATTTTGAGTTAGAGAGGTAAAATAAATAAAAATTCAACTTGCAGAGGTGAAAAACATATTTTTATTTATTATAAATCAACATTATTTCAAATCATTTTAAAATAAAAAATATGGTATTAATAAAAGTCAGTCATTTTTTTTTGCTTTAGATAATTTGGTTGTTGTCTATCTATAGCATTGTCTAATCTATAAAGAGCAGAAAATTCTTCTTCTTCAGAGTTACTGGTTTGCTCTATAAAATTACGTAAGGTATTCAAATAATTCAATGCGGTTCGCGCCTCTTTGATGGAAACCCATGGAGCGCATGTACTATTCACGTCTACTACTGCTACTGAATCGATAATTTCGTCATCAGATAATGTCCCAGCAGTCATAACTCCATCATCGCACGCACAAAACGTTCCTATGTTCGAGATACAGAGGTCAAATTTAATTTTTCGAGTTATAGAGTGAAAATATGTACCAAAATGGCTTGGAGGGACTCGGTGATTATTTTGATTTACAGAGGGTCAAGATTTCAAGTAATGGAGGTTTTGGTGTTTTAAGGGAAGGGAACAAAACATTTTTTCGAGATTTAGAGGTTTTTGACTTATCGAGGTTCGATTTAACGAGGTTCTACTGTATGACTTATATAATATTTATTTTAGGATTTTATTCTTGCTGGTAATATATGTGTTGAACTAATGAAAAATTTATTTAAAACAAAAATTACTTAATTAAGAAGATTTATCTGTGTCTAGCCTGTGTGTAGGCTAAACAATTATATTAAATACCTAATTGCAGAGATTATTTGTTTACTTTATAGTAAAAACTTTTTAGTAGTCAGTCAGATAAATCAGATAAAAGCAAGGAATGAATAATTAAGTGTGGCATTTGCTTATCCAGAATTCTTGAGAGTAGTGATTTTGTTTTTAATAATAATTTCTATTATAACTAATGACATCAATAACAAACCATCGGTAGATATAGAAGCCATAAGGTTATTCTCTGGGTGAATATCAATAGCTGTAACACGAGTATCATGCATTCCATTGGGGACTTGGTGAAGTACAGCATTTGTTTTAAGGTCCCATATTTTTACAGCTCCATCTTCATATCCTGCTGCTAATCTTACACCATCTGGGAATATCTAAAAAAATAACATGAATCTACATAAATCTACACACATATATTCAATGGATTTTCCTATTATAGTGTTTTTCACATCAAGGTATATTAAATTTTATAGGTATGAAAATTTGATTAAAAAAAAAAAACCATCAAACAAGTAAGGATGTTACCTTTGCACAGTCTGTCCTTATGTTGTGTCCTTGTAATACTTTAATGTCTCCAGACGGAATTTTAAAAATATATATATCTCCAGCAACTGCCCCACAAATAAGAACTCTAGCTCCAAAGTGCCATAGACCCCAGCTGAGGTCATCAGCTTCATACTCAAATGCAACAGACCATGGTTCTTGATTTTCTAAATTACATTTCCATACTTTAATTAAACCACACATGTCAATTGTAGCTAAATACACACCATCGAAACTGAATCCCACAAAGATTACCGAATCCTTGTGGTTCACGCAGTCCATGATTACCTGGCCAGTTTCAACTGACCAGACATAAGCTTTGTCATCTTCTCCACCAGTAACTGCAATTTTACCATTTGGGTGGAGATCACAACAAAACACTGAACCTGTATGTTTATTAAAGGCTAGCTGCGATTGATCTTCAGGCCTTTCCATGCCTGTATCATACTCTTCTTCTTGATCGTCCACCATTTCGTCATCATCGAACTGAAGGTCATCCAATTCACCCAAATAGATTAATTCCTCGTCATTCTCCCCATCCATTCCAATTACATCGTCGCCGTTAATCGACGACGGTGGGGTATTTTCCTGACGATCTCTCATTATAGTAGTTATTTGTTTCTCTTCGTGAAACCTACCTAACCCAACGAGATAATATTATAACCTTCACTAAAATAATCACGAAAAATGTATCTTCTTAGTTGAACAATATTTTTATCAGTTATTAGCTCGAGGTAATTGCACCTTACGGATTGTCAATAAAAAATTTATCGGTTGACTGTGAACATAAAAAATAGTGATAAAATAAAAATTAGACAATCACATGCTTTTGTTTTGGAAAAAGTAAAAATGTTTGGTTAGGTCGTTAGGACCAATTATAGTACCATCAGTGTGACCGTTTTAAAAAATGGCGATCTACCAAAACTACAAGGTGCCAGTACTAAATAATACCAAAACACATGCTGAATTATACTAAAAATATACTAAAAGAAAAAGAGGATTTTTTTTATTAAAACACTTATTATCAGTTACTTTTTAATTTTACCAATTACACACCTTCATAATACAGACATATTAAAATAATAATAAATATTTACAATAAGTTTTATTACAAATACTAAGTCAGTATTCGCTGCACTGAGCTAACTGAGCAGATTTAGTGCGTTTGCAGGAAAAGCCCTTTGCGATTTCCAAATCATAAAACATTTTGCTGAATAAATCGCTGAGATGATCCATGGCCCGAGATGGTATGTTCTGTTCTGCCAACGCTGCATAAAATATAAGCTCTGCTTTTCTTACTTCTTCAGATATGGGTTCTTTCCTTTGAAGTAATTTATCATCGTTCTGAAAATAAACAGGATTTGATTAATTTTTTTTAAAATTAAAAAATAAGTAAAATACCTTTTTTTTTATTTTAAAAGACTAGTGTCTCATTTATGAAAATTTTAAAATTCAGCTTGAAATCGCTTGAGAATCAATTATACATGTGTGAACAACTGTACATGTACTATCCAAGATTCATCGGACAGCCTGTAGAAGTAGGACAATTAATTCATATGCCATAAAAAAATAAGGGACACAATAATCTTATAAATATGTTAATGGGGGCTTAGCTTTCTTACCTTGGATTGTCCACTATAATGTATAAGTTTCTGCCGATGTTTTTCAGAATATGCATGACTTTTAATTGTAGCGATTCTGCTTAAAAATGTTGCTCCACAAGTTTTACACAAGGCGTTCTCATTATTTTTATCTTTTGTCAACCATGACGAAAATTCAGGATTTTGTTCCCACTCAGATCTATATTTCTGATCGTATTTACGCTTCATTATCTTCACTACACATGCACACAGAGAGAAATAAATAAAGAACTAAAACATCCGTGGTATTTTTTATACAGCACGTAACGTAGATAGTAATACGTAGCTAAAGCACGATTCGCGAATTTGTTAGCATTAACCGATCGAAAGAGACAAAATGATACAGTTGCGGTAAACATCAGACAAAGACAAAAACATGTGAACGAAATACGAACGAATGGAAGTGACTGTTTACCGCCCAGCCCAAAAATATATCAAAATGTGTTTTAAAATGTTGAAAGTTTAAATGTACCAAAAAATACCAGAATATAAAAGGATACCAAAAAAATACTAAATTAGTTACAGGGAGCCCAAATTATACCAATTTGGTACTGAATATACTAAAAACGGTCACACTGAGTACCATATAAATTACATTTGAGAGTTGACACTTCATCAAAATTCAGTAACTTTGTATCGGCGGCATAATAATATATTGCTTATTTTTTTTCAATCTCAAGTACATAACATTTATTATAATAAGACAATAGAAAGTAATTTTACGATTAAGTTTTACTAATAAACTATTCTAAACAATAAACAATTCTAAACAATAAACAATTTCTGTTCTAAATAGAATAGACGTCGGTACAACTTACAAATTACAATGTTCGACTGTTGCGGCATGTACGAAGTGTAAACCCTTTTTCTTTTTAAACTAGGGATGTACCCAAAACATCGAAAGTTGATAAGTAGAATCGAATGCTATGATTACATGTGCACCATAAATAAATCACCAAATTGTGATTACAACAAAACATTATTATTTTCATTAATTTAAAAATACGAAGAAAAATAAATAGATAAATCATTCTGTTAGGTCTTTAAAATAAAAATACTATCGCAGACGCCACAACTGTTTTATTGAATTTTACGGATAAATAAAGGGGACACAAGTCGACGCCATAGAAATTGAAAATTAAATTTAAATTAATCATGATACTTGGCGATTTTAACGCCCACCATGACGATTGGCTCGGCTCTGAAACCACTTTCTTTAGCCTGATCCTTTCACGACTTTGCTTTAGCCTACGACCTGACACAAATGGTCCCTGCGATTACGCGAATACCAGATGTGGATGGTCATAAACCCTCTTTGTTGGACCTTCTGCTGATAGTTCAGTTTCGCGGTCACTTGGAGGGAAAGGCTAAATTAGCCTCCAAAAAGTGTGCTCAGCAAGGCGAGGCGATACTTCACTCCGGGCCACCGCATGCAACTATATAAAGCGCAAATTCGGCCCTACATGGAGTACTGTTCTCACCTCTGGGCGGGGGCTCCCCAGAACCAGCTTCTTCCACTTGACCGTATACAACGCAGAGTGGTTCGAATCGTCGACGACCAATCCCTCTCCGAGCGGCTTGATCCTTTGGCGTTGCGTAGAGATGTGGGGTCACTCTGCATCTTCTACCGCATTTACCATGGAGAGTGTTCAGAGGAGTTGTTCGGATTAATACCTGCAGCTGAGTTTCATCATCGGACGTCGAGACAGAATACGAAATTCCACCCGTATCACCTCGACGTCCGCCGTTCCACAACTGAGCGTTTTTCAAGGCAGTTTTTGCCGCGCACCACCACTATGTGGAACCAGCTGCCCACTGAAGTATTTCCGAACCAATTCGACTTGGGGTCCTTCAAGAAAAGAGCGTACCAATTCTTAAAAGGCCGGCAACGCACTCGCGAGCCCTCTGGCATTGAGAGTGTCCATGGGTGGTGGTATCACTTAACATCAGATGGGCCTCCTGCCCGTTTGCCCCCCGTTCTATAAAAAAAAATTGAAGGAAATATTAAAGATGGTATTTCCCAACATTAAAACATATGTATTGGCCTCAACTCAACACATTATAAAATCAAAATTACAGTACCTACAAGTACGTTTTTAATGTACAATTGATTCACATATTATGTTAACAGTTCTTATCGATTCATTCTCTTTAATATTTTGACGTTTTAACTTTTAAGCAGGTCACTTCACTACGAAGCTATAACTGACAAATGTCAAATGTGATCTATTAAATTAGGCCTGTTATAGAATTTTATTAAATTTGGTTCATAATACATTTTCCATGGGAAGATAACAATAAATTCTTCAACAATTCGTCATCACTCAACAGTGAACAGATAAATTTTTTAATAATGATTTGGACAATAATTACTTATTAACTCGCTCTTTATTAAGTCTACTATACAGAGTCAATTGTCATTTATATTTTGTAATTTGTATATCCTATAGGCTGATTTGATCATGTTGTGAATTTATTTGTGAAGAAGATAAATTTAAAAATTACATTTAATTATTCTGGTGTTATTGTTGTAGGTGATAAATAACAAACATGGCATCTCTAAATAAAGGTATATTTAAAAAAAAATTTACATAAGAATTATTTATTATTAAATCATAGTTATTTACATTTCGCTGTTTTTACAGTTTTGTTACAGACACCTGCGACTTTCCTGATAGCTAGGCGATTTCGAGGGAAAATTAACATACAAAAACCAAAGAAGCCTCACTTCGAAAAACAACTCCTTATCGACATAACCCAACCGACTTATGGTCCACCAAAAAGTAGTCTACCTCAGTATGCCTTTTGTAACAATGACAAGCCCACATTTACAAAGAAGGAAATTGATAATCCATTTGAAAGAATATTAGCACGCGAATGTCTTGAATGGTTTAATACATCCAAAATGGTAGTATTCCTACATTTGAACTCTATTAATATGGAAGATAAAACACCAATATTTGCTGCATTAAAAAAGAATGATATGCATTTAAGAACATATGGAAAGAAAATAATGAGCATGGCTACTACGGGGACCAGATATGAAGTTGTTAATCAATTATTTACTTCTCATCAAAATGTAATATTTGGCCAGCCAAAGAATGCAAATAAGATGTTTAAAATTTTGAAAAAAGCACCGCAGCTAGTTGTTATGGGTAAATACTAAATTTGTTTTTTTGTAACCTTAACAAGTATGTTGTTGTCTGTATAAAATTTAACAGATGAACCTGTAAATAAATTTTTTGTCTAAAATCAGTGCAGATATAAATCTATACTAGTATTATTTATGAAAAGAGTTTGTATGTTAATCTTAGGATCTATCTTTGAAGGTTTCCTCACTGTATATACTCACTAGACACTTTTATATGGTAAAGAAATTTGTTCCGTTACAATAATATTATATGCTAAAGTGATTTTATAAACAGTCTAAAATTCTGAAAAACATTGCTTGTGACATCATATCATTTTAATGAATATCTCAGGAGATATCACAATTTTAAAATAACTCTGCAATAAAATAATAGTCAATTACCATGCGCGGATTTATCATCTGCACAAGGATCTTAAATGAATGCAGATGAAACTGCAGGGAACTGCTGTTTTATAAACATAACTCTGACACTTTTTTAGTTCTGTCACACTGATAATTTTTCTAGACATTTTATTCATCTGACTGTAATACTGACGATTGTGGGTATAACTTAAAGTATTAGGTAGTCATATACATGCAGGATAGTTAAAATTAATTCTATTTCCAATATTAATTAACAGTAAAAATTACTTTTCAGCTGGCATAATAGAAGATAGGATGATGTCAAAAAATGAACTAGTGGAATTCAGTAATCTTCCTAACTTGGAAGTGGCTAGAAGTCAGCTGTGTTCAGTACTACAGAGTGCTGGCTCATGCCTTGTCAGTCAACTAAATCAAAATCAACAAATTTTGGTCTCACATCTTGAAAAGCACATAGAGATACTAAGCGCACCTGAAAAGAATAAGGAAGATAGTTGAAGTTTCATAATTTGTTTGTAGCATAATATATTATAGCATTATATGTTGTTCTTTCTATTTGCACTGGTTATATATGTATGTATGTATAGTTTATAAGCTGCTATAAAACATTTTCTCATATTTATGATATTTAACTGACTCAAAAGTGAGGATAAAACATTGAAAAACTATTTGAGTATATTAAGTATCTGATTAGATTTATATTATGATTAGATCATGTTTCTAACAAATTTGTTCTTAATTATTGTCCAGAAAAACGAATACCTCTAATATGCGAACTCTGTTATGGGTTAACTTTAACGAGAACTTATTGATTCGTCTGTCTTTAAAGTAAGAATGTTGGGTAACAAAAAAAATCAAAATGGTTATAATGTAATAAATTGACGCCCTGGATCAAGCACAGCTACCCAGCAATTAGTGTTCATACTCAGCTAGTATCGGTATATAGCTTTATCTCTGTGTATACATACGCATTACCTATCAATGGAGCAACTGGACTAGGACGACTGTCGACGTACGGTGAAGGTGAAGCAACAGACGTAAGTACGTGTAAAGGAAATAAACTGTCGTTAAAATATGTTTGAATTCAATTGTATTTCATATATAATAATATGAATAACATCTGCATTCAATTGTATTTTTACCGTGTTGTGTTTGATTTTAATCAATATCTAAGAGTAGGTAAAGGAACTTACTTCTACTACTACAAATTTTGTGATTTAGTAAGTCACATTCAGATATGAGACTTAGTTCGAACTATGACTTCCGTAAAATTGAAATTAAGAAAAAAAGAAAAAAAAAACTAATTATTTCTATTATAATTTTAATTATAATAAACAACCTTTGGTTTACAGCCAGCCTAAAAGAGATCGAAGAAATATAATTCTTTCAATAACCTAAATTATCAAATTATGCCTGAAGTTTATACAAAAGCATCATTGTTGTTGCGAAATCATTGATATGCAAAAACTAAAGAATATTAATACTATTGAGCAATTGATAGCGGGCGTATCGATAGTAAGGACCATGAGCATGTGTCTTGGTCCCATCCATTTACAAAACCTAATCTAATAAATTTATTTTATATACATTAACATCATATATTATGTCGTTATGCTCCAATACGGCTGGAAGCTAAAGTAGTAAGTGCTACGGCGGCTTCTACTTCATCTCTGTCATGTTCAAAATTGTTTATGGTAATACGCTGTTTTGAATCTGATTTTTTTCGCCTTCCTTCAGGCCACCAGGAATAGTTACTTTCACTTGGCTTAAAACGAGCAGCGCTCTCCAACCATTTAGTTAATAACACGGGACTGCTCGTCTTTTCAATTGAACAATTGGAAAAATTCGTGTCAATCTCATTGCAATTGTTATTGAAACCATGATCAAATGACGCTGTAGATCCTGAGTCGTCCGTTTTTATATCTGGACTTTCCTGTTCGTTGTTCTCACTCGATTCACGACGCGATAGTGACTCTTGTTCACTCCAAATGCTGTCATCAGAACAGATGCTAAACTGCTCAACATTCCCTTGCGCACGATCATTGTAAGTACGAATTAGGTGACCCCAGGTTAGTTGGTTTCTTTCAGCATTGACATTCTTGAGTTTTCTACGCCAGTTTGCGAACCAGTTACAAATCTGTAAGAGTGATAACAAATACTTGAATACTTTTTTCTTTTTTTTTTTTACTTCTCTAAACTTTGTACTAAGTACAAAAAAGCCTTCACAAAAGAAGCGTTTTTGGGCTTGAGATAGGTAAAACATGCTGTTTTTAATAATATAAGGGTATCGAGTCAAATATTAAAACGTGAGATAGGTACCTAACCTCACGTTCCTTTGACTTTAATTGTATTAAGCAGTGTTTCGACAAAAATAGTGCCTATTTATGTACAAATAGCAATGTTTGGCATTGTTCCAATTAGGTTGTTTGTGAGTGTAATTTGAGACTATTATCATCGGCACCAAGTAACCCATGGTAACAAATGGGTAAGTACTTAAATTTAAAAAAATAATGCACTTACTTGTATATATGTCAGTCCTGTTTCTCGAGATAAAATCTTTTTTTCCTCACGGTTAGGGTAAGGGTTTTCTCTCCGTCTAACAAGCCAATCCTTTAAGTAGCGTTTAATTTCTGGAGTAAACAGTCGTTTCTGGGGGCGCTGTCCAGAGACGAGACATCGCCTAAAAACGGTTTATTTATAAAAAAATTGGTTAACATGACAAAGTAACTTCCTTACATTCATCAAAATTGAAATCCCTTAAATCGATGACAAAACAAGCTCGTCTTGTAAGTCGTATTGAATGACGCACAAAGACATTATTTACTAAATAAAGACTGAAAAAGATGAGTCATGTTAACAAACCGTGTATGTCGCCTGTTCCTCACTGGTCGCGAGGACTTTCGGTCTTCTTTAGCTGGCCCGTCCATGCTATCAGGCACACCCTCGCTCCTTTGAATAAGCGTCATGGGCGAAAAGATCACTTGTATTTTAAAGTATTCAAATAAATCTGAGTAATTTCAGCACGTGCGTAGAGCACCGTAGCTGGAGAAGACTTCGTGTCCCGCAACGTTATCGTTGCGGGGGATGCTTGGTGATCTATTAAAAAAATAAGGACATGTTGACACAAATAGATTCAATCTTAAGCACTCCACCTTATTTTAATACACAAAAAGTTAAGCTCTATACGTTGATGTAACCGAAACATGACGTTCACATTCCTTAGTTCACTTTTAGATGTTATTATTTCTTAGCTCATCCCGTGACTGCTAAGTGTCGAGTTAAGAGTTAACATTTCAAATAGAAAACTGAGGTATTTGTTAACACTGTACAATTTTGAGATTAATATCACTGAATCAGTATAAAAACAAAAAACATGATACTGTTACGTGTGTTGTCGAGGTCATTGTTCCACTATTTATGAAGAATTTTACTTGTACATTTTCCTACGTCATTAAATATCTTTAAATTGAAATTAGAATAGATTTTATTAAATGTTAACAATGGTAGAGATAGAGCAATAAAAAAACAGATACGTACCAGGTTGCGGGAAAGCTCGTGGTCTGTGTGAAAATGGCGTCAGAAGTGCGACTGTAGCGCCGCCGCGCGCGCGCACCGCCCTGCTGCAAAATCATGTTATTTCAGGACGTCTCCCGCGATGTCTCTAAACAACAAAACTATGATAGTCTTATAAAATAATTGTTTTTCTACGTTACGTAGAAACGTTTTTAATGTTATGATGTTGGTATAAAACAAAGTTCTTTTATAATTTGCGGTCATATACCTATGTAATGTAATCTCATAAATATTCAAATAGTAGAATAATTTAGAACATTTTACTCTGTCATAGAAAAACTATTTAGAATATTATTTCAATATAAGGTTACAGTTTTTATATAAATACATAGTTGGGAAATGCGCCTTATATATTATCACAAAGCTTGAAACTAAACTTTTAATAATGCTGTATTTATTACTCAACAAACACATAGGTATGTTGTAGGAGGTAAACAAGGTGTAGTTAAACAAGGTGTAGTTAAACAAGGTCAAACACTTTGTGGATATGTTTAGATTATGTATAGTATTTTTTTTAAATATTAGGTCCTTACATATGAAATTGGCGTATTTCGTACTGGCCACTTTAATCACGATGTTCTCCTCTTTGGTAAGGAATTCCAAATTCAAATTTGTACAGCTATTTACTCATGTATTTGTGCTTCGATGACCGTCATTATTTGTTTTTGTCTTCTGATTTTTTCTTTTTGCGTCACTCATTTTACAAAACGGAAAACTTAAAGTATCGCATTATTTACGAGTACGAGTTCCGCCGTGGCACTAGTGCTGCGGAAACGACTCAAAGGGTGAATGATGTGTATGGCGGTCATGTTGCAAAAGAAAACACAGTTCGTTTTTGGTTCCAACGTTTTTGTTCTGGAAATTTCGACCTGCAGAACAAGCCCCGTGGAAGGCCTGAGACCCAAGTTGATAATGAAGTATTGAAGGCTATTGTGGAAGCGGTTCCATCGCAAACCACGTCCGAGTTAGCTGCAGGCTGCGGTGTTAGTGATAAAACTGTTTTAATTCACTTGAAGCAAATTGGGAAGATTAAAGCTTAAACCGGCAAACGCGCGTCGACTGCTGCGTTACATTACTGAACCGGCACAATAATGAAGGTATTTTAAACCGAATCATTACCTGTGATGAAAAATGGATTCTTTACGATAATCGGAAGCGCTCAGCGTAAAGGTTGGATCCTGGCCAGCCAGCCAAATCCTGCCCCAAGCGAAAATTAACCCCAAAAAAGTTACTTGTAAGCGTTTGGTGGACTAGTGCCGGTATTGTTCATTGCAGTTTTCTCAAATCTGGCCAGATTATTACGGCTGATGTCTATTGTCAGCAATTGCAAACCATGATGGGAAAAGCTAGCGGCTAAACAACCTAGGCTGGTCAATCGCTCCACGCCACTGCTACTTCACGACAACGTTAGACCACACACTGCACAACAGACGGCTACCAAATTAGAAGAGCTTCAATTGGAATGTCTAAGTCTTAAGACATCCTCCGTACTCCCCGGACCTTGCTCCAACAGATTACCATTTTTTTTCCGAAATTTGGACAACTTCTTGCAAGGGAAAATTTTTTACTCTGATCTGGGGCAGTCCAAATCGCCTTCACAAATTTTATTGATTCCCGTCCGACTGGTTTTTTTAGTAAAGGGATCAATGAACTACCTATGAGATGGCAAAAGTGCATAGAAAACAATGGTTCATACTTTGATTAATTAAATATATTATATTTAAAAATATTCGACTTTTTGTTCCTCCCATACAAAACGCCAATTTCATATGTAAGGACCTAATATTTATTAATTTACATTTTTAATTGACGTTGAAAAAGAAGGAGGATATCATTTCGCCGGAGTGAGACTAGTTTTCTTTTTCCTAGGTGGTTTTTAGTCCAGGGTTTGATCACAGAATCCTTGCGGAAAAGAATTTTTTTTTTTAATTTAAAAGGTACACGAAATGAAATGTGATGTGAAATTTCTGACATTAGGTATGCAACTCGCGGTCGATATTAGATTCTAAAATCAATTTTCTTGCTCATATGGTGAAGGAACCTGCAGCGAAATTCCATCAGACGTCGAGGCTTAATAACAAATTCCACCTTAGGCTGACTTAGGCTCCTGTAAGACCTTGGGTTGAATGCCTTGGCGAACTCCGAGGATCCATCTTAAGAGCGCGTGGAGCGTGTTTTTAGTGGGTATGGTTTCGCTAATCCTCTGACGATCAGAGAGCTTTGAGTGTAGACCCAGCCTCACATGTCCCGCGTCAAGTCCGACATCCGTACCGGCCCTGCGTAAGCGCATTTCCACCTTAAAAAAACAGCGCACCAATTCGAAACCGGCAACACGCTCGCGAGCTTTCCGAAGTGTGGACGGGTGGTGGTGTGATTTAACTCTAAGCCATTTTATAAAATATTTTATATAACTATTACTTAAAATATTGACAAACTCCTCCTTCGAGTTTTTAAGTAGGTAGGTTTTAAAATTAACTTATGAATTTTTCCAAATCATTGCAGATTGGAAAAATAGTTGTAAATGTTTGCTTATACATACATTTTCTTGTTACCAATAGGTAGGCAATTACGCCTCGGACTTCCTTAACTATGGGAGGAAAATTTATCAGTTAACTTACATAGGCAGTAGAAAATTACGAATGATAGAAAATGACGCAACACTCAATTCCTATGACATCACATAAATGTTGATGATTTGCATAAATAATTAATTTGTGTTATTTACTACGACAAATTAAAACTATAATTTTGGTAAGTAAATTTAAATCAACTACTGCTACTAAAATAGCTCTTAAATAGTTATCAAAAATAATCCGTCATGATACTTCTTAAAAAAAAATGTTAACGACGCCATGTACAAATTACACTTAAAAAAATGGATTTATTTTAATTTTATTATTGATATCAGCTCCTCTACAGACTTTAATAATTGAAAATTATTCACACTATATTTAAAGATAAACAAAATAAAATCTTACATTAAATAAAAGGCCGTAGCCGTTTAATATTTTTTTAAGCTCAACTTTTGCACGTATGCATCTCTTTTGTGCTAGTTAGGTCCCGTATCTTTGTCCTTGTTACAAGCTTGTTCCGTTTCCCGACAGCTGACATTTGGTCGGTGTGTGTGTTCACTTCACAATTCAGTATTCTCCAGTTAGCGCACATGCGCCGAGAAGACCGCGTCTGCTCGCAGTTCATATTCTTGTCGTAATCCTATATTGACGTATTGTCGTTCTTGTTTAGTCGATCGTAAAAATGCTAACGAAAAGTAATTTATTTGTGTAAATGTTTCCGTTAATTTACAATGATGTTGCGTTTCTTCCATTAAATATTCTATAAAATATTAAACTTTACCGCGAATTTGTCACGTGGCCACGTGTGTTGTGTTTACCGGCGTCAGTGATTGATTTTTTGCGGTATGGGCGAAGAAATCCAAACGGAAGACGGAACAGTGACTTTAAAACGTAAAATTACGCTTTTTAATGGCGTAGGAATTATTATTGGAACGATTATAGGGTCTGGAATTTTTATATCTCCCACCGGTGTTTACTCCTATACTGGGTACGTATACTTAAAGTTTCCCGCCATAAAACTAAGTAACGTAACTTTAAATACATATAACGATTTGTTATTTTTATTTAAATGTGAGAGGCATCTTTGGTGAGAGATTTAATAAATAATGTTAAAAAATTAATAACAAATAAAAAAAAACTATTTAGTCAGATGCTTTTTAAATGCCTTAGTGTTATAAACTTTAAAATTTCGGTTAATTAAAATTTGTCGATAAAGTGCTAGGTAAATTTATGGATTGTGTTGGTTCATTAATACATAGTTTATTTGTCGAGTAAGGAGTACCTTAATGTATACAATTGATTGAGCACGAACCTTTATCGCATCAAACAGCTTACAGTTCACACCCTTTCTACGTAGTTATATAATCCCGTGTGTCACCACCATAGGATAATTATATTTTATATAAACAAAAAACCATTGCAACATAGTAGTACAAAGATCCTTTATATTTCAATAGCCGAAATGCTGTTACATGATTTACGAACCACACTTACATGATTTACGAACCACTCTTAGTTCTTACTAAGTAACGTTTCCTTGTAGAGCGTGAGAACAATGTGTCAGCACAACGGTCACGTAGGCCTTTAAGAATAGGATATAAATATAATAGAATACTTGTAATATTTAGTATTAAACGGACCTCAAATCGGACCGGTTGTATTCATTTTAACTTTAAGTTTTTAAAAAACCCTTTTTTCGCGGACTCACTACTTGACTGGCGCTGAGGACAGGATAGTCGCTCTAGCTGCACGTACTTCTCAATTATCGGTTCGAGCATCAAATTCTGCTTACCTAAAAAGGGGAAACTACGTCGCGATTGCTAAAAACGGCTATTCAAAAGAACAAATAAATTTGTCAAGAACGCAAATCCAAAAGCGTTAAGGGTATTTTGTGCGAGTGTTGAGGCAGCGATGTACTGGTAAGTCACCTTTTCACCTTTCAAATCCAGCCCTCTCCACTTTTCTTTTGTTATTTTGAGATCGACATCTCTCATCTTAACGATAGTTTTAAGACTTTGTTAGAGTTAAATTGATATAAACGTAAATTGTAATAAGTAAATTAAAGAAACATAGAAGTAAGTAGGTTAGTGCATGAAATTCTGCAACCCCTAAAGTAAGTATAAGTTTAGATTCACATCAAATTCTGTGAGCTATAATTATTGAGTAATTGTGTAATTATTTAATCAAACAATTCCTGAAAGAATACATAAAACCCAAAAAAAAATATTTTATATATTTCGGAAATACGGAACATCGCAAACAATTCAGCAACATGGTAATTAGGCTTTTTAAAGGTGTATCAATTCAATTTTATGAGTGTACGGAAAGAATCGTTTTTATTGACGATGAAAATGAACAGAACGCCGTTATTCTGAAATTTCATCTCGGAAAAACCTGTCACAGAGGTATTCAAGAAACTTTTACTCGCATCAGGCGACACTTCTTTTGGAATAACATGAAAGAAACTATATCAGCAGTAATTAATTCTTGTGAAGCCTGTAAACATATGAAATATGACCGAAAGCCGTTGAAACCATATTTACAGTTAACTCAAAAGCAACATGCCCCATTCCAGGAATTATTTATAGATATATTTAGTATCGAAGGAAAAACATACCTCACCTTAGTTTACGCTTTTAGCAAACTAAGACAGGCAATTGAAATTACTATCAAAGGCACACCTGACGTTATCCGCGCACTAATAAAATACTTTTCATTTTACGGCATACCTAAGAAAATAAGCTGCGACTCTGGTACTGAATTCAACAACGATCTATTGAAAGAAATGATGTCACTCTATAAAATCCAAATACATATCGACACACCTAGGAACCCTAATTCAATGGGAATAGTTAAACGTTTTCATTCCACCTTAATTGAAATTTACAGACTGACAAAATACGAACAACAATGTACCGACGCCGCATCTATTATATCACTCATCATGGCATATAATAATGCGATTCATACTGTAACAACTTTAACACCGTTTGAAGTAGTGTTTGGCCATGTAGATTCTGAAAACGCATTCAATATAGACTTCGAGAAACGATACTTGCAAAAATTAATTAAAGATCACGCCAAAAGAATAAAAGTTTTATACAAAATCATATCTGATAAAATGTTAACGTTTAAGGAAAACTCTAGAGAAAAACGCGGTGGCAAATCCGACGTCCCGTTACCAGAAGGGAAAACAATTTTCACAAAATTAATAAACACTCGTAGAAGTAAGTACAAACCTTGTTTTGAAAAGGCCATAGTTACAGGAAAACCTGAAAGAAACACCATCCCTATTAAAATTAGAGGTAAACACAAAAAGGTACCAATTAAAAACATAAAACGACCTCCAAAGGTGGTGCTTAGTGATCACGATGACACTCACGAGCCCCAGCTTGGGCCTTCAACTTCAAAAGGTTGAAAACAATTCAGGGATCCGTAAGACAAGGAACATCCTTCATCAAACAGGATAACTGGCTTATTTTTAAGGTATTAGATTTGAATGGCCTACTAATGGAATTAGAATATAACAATAGGAAATATAGTAATTTTAGTAAGATAGTAAGTGATGATAAGCCTTAGTTTAAAGAATTTTTAGGAATTAGGGAACAAGTAGAGTATTTGCAAAGAATAACTACTGAAAAGATTAGGCACACCGAGTACGAAGAGGAATATTGAACCCTCTAGGCTCTATTATTAAAATGATAACTGGAAACTTAGATCAGGAAGATGCTCAACGATATGAACAGTTAATAAATCAATTAGGTAATCAACAAAATTTCCACAAACAAGCGTTTAACAGTTGTTTTCAAAATGTTAGATGGACTCATTAATTCATCAGAAATATTACACAATAACTCAAAAATTATGGACGAAAGACTAAAACGTGTAGAAAAAAAAAATGTTAAAAGACATAAGTACTAAAGAAAATAATGCAGTATACTCTACATATGTTTTAAGTTTATAAAAAATAAGTGAATTAGAAATTGCTTTGGCTTTCACCAAAACCAATGTTTTACACATTTATTACAGATTTTAATTTATATATCACAGTCAGAAAATCTTATGTATCCACCCACTTGGGATAATTTAGTTAAATTAGAAGATACGATTAATGTTAAATCATACATGATAGACAGGAAAATAACTTTTGTATTAGAGGTAGCTTTAATAACCAATTCAACTTATAGTTATAATAAAATGTATCCCTTACCTATCTTTCATGACCCTAAAAACCTAACCTTAATAATCATTCCTAAATATCCCTATATCCTGGTGAAAGGTGTAACATACTTACCGCTTATACAGCCTTGCAAACAAGTCTCTGAGGAAAATTTATTATCTCTGCACACAAGAAAACAGGGGCACCGTATCCTGAAACGACATGCATTGAGGAGCTGATGACCTTCAAGGAAAACCCATCCAACTGTGACCAGAATACAGTAATTATAGAAGAGATTAACCCTGCGATCTCAACATCAATGACATCCAATTACATCATCAGCGTTCATATACAGAAAATATGTCATCAGAACGTATCCCATCCATTAAGCTGCTGGAGTTACAGTCAACAGTGAACTCTAAGGAAAATCAGAATCCAGTAAACTTACGAGGAATGGAGCTCAGTGACCGGCAACACATGTCTTACATGCTGTAACAACTTAACAGAGATAGTGATAGTGAAATGGGCAATTCAGTGAAAGTGAAAAGCATTAGTTTAGGCACTCTTTTATTGTATTTTGCTAATTGTTGTGTTTTTATAAAAAATAAGATTATTAATATGTTGCAGTGGCGAAATAATCAGAATTTGCATGTGCAATCCCCTGATAATTTCGCTCTTAAGGAGGGAGGAGTTATATAATCCCGTGTGTCACCACCATAGGATAATTATATTTTATATAAACAAAAAACCATTGCAACATAGTAGTACAAAGATCCTTTATATTTCAATAGCCGAAATGCTGTTACATGATTTACGAACCACACTTACATGATTTACGAACCACTCTTAGTTCTTACTAAGTAACGTTTCCTTGTAGAGCGTGAGAACAATGTGTCAGCACAACGGTCACGTAGGCCTTTAAGAATAGGATATAAATATAATAGAATACTTGTAATATTTAGTATTAAACGGACCTCAAATCGGACCGGTTGTATTCATTTTAACTTTAAGTTTTTAAAAAACCCTTTTTTCGCGGACTCACTACTTGACTACGTAGTACATAATATTGTCTTTTATTGACATAACTTTTAGACATAGAAAAACACTTTTTAACGGATTTGAAGTTATATTTTATTATAAATTTACAATTATTTTACATAGTTATAAATTTAACCGACGTTTAAAATTATGCAAAATAATTGTAAATTTATAATAAAACATAACTTCAAATCCGTAAAAAAAGTGTTTTTCTACCCTTTCTACGTGTAATTAATTATTGTGATACGATTTATAAATACTCCAATGTGAGTCTTACCGATTTTAATAAAATTTCCTGCATTATAAACATTTAAATAACAAATTACTTAACGTTTAAGTAAAATTTGTATTATTTACATAGCAAACGCTTAGAAATTATTCGTTGAAATATTTTTGGTTATTGCATAATTAACACGGTCTAAAAAGACCAAGAACAGTACAGAAACAGACAAGACATACAAGTCGTGGAGAACGATAGAAAAAAAGTTGCAGCTGTTTTAAGGAGTTGATTTGGAGGATGTTTCGAAAAATTTACCAAAAAAAACATTATTGTTGTAGCTTCTTAAATGTCACAATTAATAATACATATATTATAAGGTAATACCAAGGTATCAAAAGTAACATTTATATGTTATTTTATGGACTAAGAAATTAAAGTAATAAACTATAAGAACGTTATTTGCTATATTAAAATGGTAAATTTATGAATTATAGTTAGTTTGGTAATTATGTCTTGCATTTTGTTGTCGTCGCGTTTTTTGTACGATCTCAACTGGTCAAGGCAATATTGTTTTTGATATCTTGTTGCATAGGAATGCGTCTGTTTGCGATAAACATATGGCTTCCCGGTACCTACTTAATATTTTACTTATAATTTCTCAACATTTAATTTATATATAATTTCATCGAAGATAATACATAATAAATGCACATTTTTCAGTAAAGTAAAATTAAAATATAAACTTAGGGTTTATATTGTTGAACCTTATTAATTATAATGAAATTAATTGTGTATATAGCATAAAATACACTTTAATATTTCTCAGGAATCATCACAATAATTGCCGTAAACCATTTACAAATCCGTTTGGTAGTTTTTGAGTTTATCGCGTTCATAGACATACGCGGCCACGGTACCTACTTTATTTTATAGAATGTGTTGAAAATCATAATCATAGACTTTCCATATTGGTGTAGTTAACTAACTTAAATATTGGGAAGTGAAGCCATAACATAGAAATATTTTTTAAATAAATAAAGAGTTAACTCATACACATAATAATAATTGAAAAATAGAATACTAGAATAAATTAAAAAAAGTTTGGACTCGTTTGTGTAAATGCTGACAGTAGTTAATTACTAACATATAAAAAAGATACTACGGGTTTATTTCCAGCTAGTTTTATATAATATTTTTAATTGAGGATTACATAGTAAACTCCGAAATAATGAATGTTTGTCGCGAATGTAAATAAGTTGTTAGTTGAAACCACTTGCTAGCGGTGAACGCACTGCGATTCACTTGGCAACAGGGCCAAGGCTGAAATCGAAACTGATACGATGTTAATTAATCTTATAAGATAGTGTTTCGGCTTTTTCAAATAATGGGTGTGTCATAAAGTATTGTTCGTATCTGAGATTCCTCTCTGAGACTTTCCAAGAAGGTTGATGGCATGTTATAACCAGGTTCGTGGAACCTATTTACACAAAATGATAAGTATATAAACAAGTGTATACTCTAGATGCCTTTAATTTTGTATTAAATCTAGGATAAATGTTTGAAAGAAAAAAGGGAATCCGAAATGGCCATCTAAATCGAAAGCCTATTTAATGCATGAAAACAATTAAATCAATTCAAATTCAATTTGACTACCTATTATTTCATTTGGTTTATAATTTGTAGATAGATTAAGTTAATCTTTGCTTTCAATATCTAATATATAGTCGAAGGAGAGTTAAGATACACCACGCACGTGAACGAAATAGTTTAGTATTTTCGATAAGACATTGATGATAAAAGATACTTCGCTTCCGTTATTTTATCTAGATCATAACGCACACAAGACCTCACACATTATGCATTACCACACACTTCAACAAACAAATTATTAGGTTTGCCGTTTTTGAAAGTTTTCATTTATATTTCTTGCTTTTTAAATCACATATTTCAGATAGTAATAGTTATACAAAGCATGCTGTGTTTTCCTGTTAAAATGTACACCAAGTAATAAGTACGCAGTTAAAATGAATAAATACCTATTTAATTTTTATAAATATGTAGCAATGTATGTGATGTTGTAAAATTAGTAACTATTAAACATACGCTGTAATCCGTTTTGGCTGGCTATATCATATATTATGTATTTTTAAAAAGCTGTGAATTACTAATAAACACTTAAATAAATAAATAAAGATTTATATATATGGCAATAAACAAATTATTAATTATTATTTATCCGCAGAGCAATTATGATCAGCAAAAGACTAAATAATTAAAGATTTGTAATTGGGTTGCACTTGCGTAAACAAAATAAAATGTTTCATTAACATTTTAATAATTTTCCTTACAATTGCCAAAGTAAGTCGATTATAAAATAAAAGTATTTCAGAGATAATTATTTCCTTGGATTCAGATTTAAAATATGTATTGTGATAATATGTAGATGGTTGGTCTGTGGCGAAGTTTTCTTAAAAAAAAAATCTATCAAATTCGATTTAATAATTCTGTTCTACGTTCTAAGAGATAACATATTCTTATATACCAGCTGCTTTAATAATATATCGGGCCAGAGATAACTTAATAATTGTCATTAGTAGGGCTAAGTAGAGCAAGTGTAGAGGATGCCCTTGAGACCTAATTGCTGAAATGCTGAAGCACGCTCATGTCTAAATACATAATATACTATCATCACGAACTTAGATAAAATAGTTTTAATCTTCATTGTCAAAACCTGATTACCTGATACATATTATCAAATATCTTACCATTCCTTTCGTTATAAATACACTGCCGCACTGCTGCTGTAAAATTATCTATATATATAAAATTATGTATGCTCTTATAAAAAGTAGCCCATTCAGGACGAGCCGCCCATTCAAAGTAAAAATATTTTTTTTTTGGTAGAATTTGATTTGATTATTCAATAGTAGGTAACTTTGAGAGCGATACAACAACTATAACGGTCAAACAATTGTTCGATACCATTTTTATAGTACGATTAGTCTTTAGCCTCAAAGTAGGCTTCAGTTTCGGCGATTACCTTTTCATCAGAGCAAACTCTTACTCTCCTAATAGCGTAAGTAATTCCGTCCCGACTTCAATATTGAGTTTGTAGCGATATTGAATGACCTTTATCAAAATTGCATATAAATTGCTATAAAATCTACAGAGTAGCAGCGCTGTTCCTACCGCTCGGGGGCTTATCTTAATTGTGAATCATTAGCTAAATTAACACTGCCCCTTTTACATAAATTTTACTGCATCAAATAAACATACAAATGATACAGTATCTTCCCGAGGTCACTGAGTTATAGTAAAACAATAATAACTTTCAAACTTATCTGTTTTATCTCTTACAGGTCGGTAGCGGCATCACTCCTAATATGGCTGATCTGTGGTCTATTATCAACATTGGGTGCACTATGTTACGCGGAGTTGGGGACTTCCATAGCGAGATCTGGCGGTGACTACGCCTATATTTACACGGCCTTCGGGCCTTTACCGGCCTTTCTTAGAATGTGGATTGCGCTACTTATAATTAGGCCCACGACGCAGGCGATTGTTGCCCTGACCTTTGGGAATTATGTGGTGAAGCCTTTCTACCCTGAATGTGAACCGCCGGAAAACGCGGTGAAGCTACTGGCGGCGGTGTGTTTGTGTAAGTGTTTTATATTCGAAATTTAAAATTAATATGTACTTTCTTAAACATAATGATATGATAGATGCGTAGGAATGCGAACTTATAAAACAATAATAATTTTGGAACATCTAACAAGTTTGCTAAGATAAGATTGTTTTAAACCTAAAGGTTATCACTGCTGGCATATTTTGATTTATTATAAACATTAAAACCGCTAGAATTTTAAAAGATAAATTCAATTATTTTTATCGTTAGATTATAATATAATAAATAATATGATAGATTTAATTTTGTAAACATATTATACATAGTTTTATTAGAATTACTCTGCGAAATGAGGAAATAACATTGTTTATATGTACATACTATGTGCTTCGCATAAATGTATGTAGAACAGCTGATACTACAAAACATACTACATACTTCGTGAAATATCCCGATGCGCAACTATAAATAGCTAACTCGTTTTTGATTTCTTTCTTACTCAAGTTATTCATATATTTGAAAAGCGAAGGCTTCCCAGAATTGGAAACTTGGAAATCCCATAAAAATACCAGTCCATGAGATCCGTAAATTCCGTGATGCAAAAATAGCAAAATTTGGGTATTATTATTACGTCAAAATTAGAAAAAACCATCAATTTGATTCGATTTAAAAGACACATATTTAAGATTTAAACAATTAGTCTCCTTTAGAATAGAAAACCTAAGTAAGCTGCTAATATTGTCCCAATTTGTGTTGTCGATTATAGAAGACATCCTAAAGAAGCGGTCAGATGACGCCACGTATCTGAGTGTAATTAAATAGTCGTTATGTTTGGTTGTTAAGGATCATTAAAGGATACTCATAAATAATGTAGACATACGTGAACTATGAGTCACACACGTGGGCGAAATATGCAACGCAATTTTCTCGGATAATTATATGTTAAAAATAATACATAAACGAAATAAATTACATGAATCCCAGGGTATATTTTACACTAGCTTAGGATTCACGGACAAAAGGCTCACCTGATGTTAAGTGACACGCCCGCCTATGGACACTTACGCTGCCAGAAGGCTCTCAAGTGCGTTGCCGACCTTTAAGAATTGGAATAATATACTCTTGAAGGACCCTAAGTCGAATTGGTTCGGAAATACTTCAGTAGGCAGCTGGTTCCGCTTGAACTAGCGCGGCAAAAGAGAATGAAAAGGCTCAATTGTGGATAAAAGTAAAGCACAAACACCCTCCTTTCCAGACCAACATCCTGCATCTAATATGTATATAAAATTCTCGTGTCACGGTGTTTGTAATTAAACTCCTCCGAAATGGTTCTAACGATTTTCATGAATTTTGTGTGCATATCGGTTAGCTCTGCGAATCGGAAAACATCTATTTTTCATCCCCCTAAATTTTATTTTTTAGGCAAAAATACATACAACCCTTAATTTTCACCCCTCTACGATCAACCTCTATTTTTTATTATAGTAGATATTATATAGATAATATGTAGTAATTTTTAAATAATATACATGGCAAAACAACGTTTGCTGGGTCAGCTAGTTGTTCTATAAAAGTACCTCCTAAAGGCAAAAAAGCTTCATAAGTAGGTACTTGAACATTTTGTGACACATCTTTTGTCCCACAATGCTTTTATCTGCGACACGTGTAACTTTGTGAAACAACCATTCTTTCTATGTGCGTTATAAATTTGAGGAATACTAAATGATCCTAGTCCTTGGGATTGATTTGCTCCAGTTCAAACAATTTGTATGACAAAAGAGTGGCGGAAAGTTTCTTGCCAGTTCTTCTTACCCGCTCTACGCCCTTGACTTGCGAACTGGTAGTAAATGTAAATTTACAATTAATTTAACTTCTTTCAGACAATTCATAAGTGTACTTGTTTACCTACATGAATAAAGATATTTTGAGGTTTGAGTTTGAACAATAGTATTGGGAAACTATCAATGAATTCGACATGTGTCTACTTGTAAATAGAAAAATTATCAACAAAACAGGCATAGAATTGTGTAGGACAGCATACAATATTTTATTTTTCTCATGCCGGTGGGGTTTGTTAAATACTTACTGAGGTCTTTAAAGGCCAATTGGTTAGTAGACTGGCTTTTCATACCGGTTTACAGTAATAAAGTACGTTGACCTAATAAAATATTCCATTCGAAATCCTTCGTACCTGTTAATATTCCTAATTTAAATGCAAAATTGTTTAACTGTAGTTACTTGAATAATTTAACTGTATATTTTGCAATCTATTTGTTTTAGAACGTTTGGTAAGTGTTTAGAATTTCTGATATGTACCTACCTATTAGATGTAAATAGATTTAAATCATTTAAATTATATGTAGTTTGATAAAGGAAATTAGACCTTTTGTAACTACGTCGCCAAAATATTTAAAAGTCTGTTATTTTATGTCCAAGTACAAGTAGTATAGTAAATATGACGAATTTTGAAATGATCCTAATCCTTGGGATTGATTTGCTCCAGTTCAAACAATTTGTATGACTCAAAACTTAGCGATTAAAAAGAGTGGCGGAGATTTTCATGCCAGTTCTTCTTGCCCGCTTTACGCCCTTGACTTGCGAACTGATAGTAAATGTAAATTTAGAATTAATTTAACTTCTTTTCTGACATTCATAAGTGTACTTGTTTACCTATATGAATAAAGTTATTTTGAGTTTGAGTATTTATTCAAAAAATACATTCATTATCAATGGCCGAAAGCCCGAAATCCGCCATATACGCTCTTATTTTGGAGCAAACTCCTTACTAACCATGTGTCCCAATGTTCCAATAACCTGCATATAAATTTTTGTGTCGTCCCCATTCACTACCTATATTACTAGCAAGCCATACATTAAACGTTTAGGTTTCGTATCTATACGAAATTGTGAGATCTGTACACAGAGATATTATAAAACATTTTCCTAATTCGATCTCTTACAGTAGTCTACACCCGACACCTAATATTACATAAATGCGTCTTCGCAGGAAGCTTCCACTTAACCTAATTTCCGACCGTTCAAAGGAACCGTTCCCGCGCGATATTGAGATACAATAGTTTCCTGTTTGGTATAGAAAGCCTATTAATTTTCTCAGGGAAAGTTTTAACTATCTAGAACAAACGTCTACGTTATTAAGCTAATAGCCTGGCTTTCATTTATTCAGTTGCAATTTGTTGTAATGCGTTATTAATATTGTGGTTAAGAAAACATGTTTAAATATTTACTGTGCTAGTTATGCAAATTGTTAGTTACTTTATCATACACGCATACATACGATGGTATAAAAATTACAACTATAATACATATATATTGATATGAGGAAGGTGAACTAGGTGGAACTGAAAATATTAAATAACGTTTTTTCTTTAAGTTAGGCGGCCTTTGGACATTGTTTGTCCATTGAGCACTTACAGCTGTCGGTCCAGATAAAGATTTGCGTACCGACTCCTAAAAGACCGGCAACGCACTCGCGAGCCTTTTGGCATTGAGAGTGTTCGTGGGCACTTAACATTAGGTGAACCTCTTGCCTGTTTTATAAAAATAATATTACACAACGTAGACGATGGCTTTTTTTTTTCAGGTATACTGACAGCAATTAATTGTATTAGTGTTCGTTGGACCATGCGAATCCAGGATATCTTCACCACATCGAAGCTGTTGGCTCTTATTGTTATCATCATATCTGGATTTTGTTATATTGGCATAGGTGAGTTTATGGCTTACAAAATAAAACAAAATAATTAAAAAAAAGAGATAAATTTCACAGTGTTTGAAAGGTTTAATATTTCATTTGCATATCTTGAACATGAATTGGGGACATTTTCAGTAATTATTTGCAAGAGGTGATTAGAAAACATAATCATTTTATCAAACTTTTATTTTGGAACTATGTATTTGTTTAATATAGAATAATGTATTCTATATTGTATACCCCGTATATATTGTAAAATATTACCGATTTAAATATAAACACTCGTATACCATTCACTGGATTTTGTTAAACAAATTTAATAACTGTTTGTAAAATATCTCTTGTTAACTAGAGTAAGCCGCTTTAAACAGAAACTCTACTGGATTTGTTAACCCGTGACCACGCTCGTTGTAAAGTACGCGAAACATCAATTGTTGTCGTTTTATTCTAAAAATCTTTGAAATAAACACATTTCCATTCCATTCATTAAAAAAAGTGCGTGCGTACAAAGTATACAAGTCAGAAGTGAAACTTCTTTAGTATACAAATTTTTAAGTTTTGGTCATAATATTATATATAATAAAAATCTAAAAACTTTAGATTTCAGAGACTTAGAGGGAGGGAAAGAGGAAGGTATGCTAGGAATTTAATGAATTTAATTGTCATTGATATATTAAGTGTCGAAAATTTATACAAATTATAAATGAATTTTTTTTAATTTATTTCTTCGATAGTATAAACTATAAACACGTGGCATTTTAATGTAGGCAGTTTAAAAAAGTCTGTACTACATTGGTGATTGGCGTAACAAAATAAAAATCTTTTAAATTTTTATATCTTTCGCCTTATTCTACATTTGTAGAAAAAACTACACTAACAATAGAAAAAACTAATATGTTGACTATAGCTAACTTCAGGGTGTCAGTTTATAGTAACGGTGTGCGCGCGCAAAAATCTCGTAAAAATTTACGCCCATCATTTTTCACTAACGCGCCTTAAGAATCATAACTTCAAAAACTTTCTTCAAATACTTGCTCTATATACATATAAACGTTTTGCTATTATTAACAATTCGCTGCACCTATTTACCACATCTTAAATTTTGTCGTTTCAGAAAAATATTTGTAACTAACAAGATTGATTTTATTAGTGCTGATAAAGTACGCTTATAACAATGACCTAATTTTTATCGCATTTTAATATTTGTACTAGCTGTCCTTAGGCTAAATCTAGGTCTAAACATGAATATGCAAATAGGAAGTGATTATAACATCTCAATCTAGTTCTGAGTTCGCTCATTATTTGCCGACGTCAAAAAGTTCAAAGGTTTTAAGAAATGCCAATGATAATTCAAATGACATTATTGGTAGCATAGATGTCAAATCAATTTCAGTTGCTGAGACGTTAATTTGATTAAAAGTGTCATTTGGTTGGGCTTCAACCACAAGAATTATTAGACAAGGAATCATAACGAAGATAATTCTTCGTATTTAAACAATCGTTTAGTTATAGGAACATATGGCGTTTGAGATGTAACTGTGCTTGCTAATTTGATCAACAGTGTCATGGTCATGGGGCTGACACATTTCTGCAGCTGTTTATGTAGGTGATAATTCTTCTGTGAGTAACACACGGCTTCGATTTTTGGGTCTAAAATGTCGGTTTTTACGAACGAGTGGGCCGATGAAAAGAATAAATACGTGTTGTTCTCACAGAGTGTAAGTGCGTGCTCTTATTTCACCATGCCTACTGCTGATAGAGGACAAATCTTTGTTTTTTATTTTGTTTTTCGTTTACACATATATATATATATATATTATTATACATATATATATTATAATTATAGATAATTACTTAAAGATGTCACGTGGAACATGGTGTAATGGTTGTAAGCTCCTTACAAACATTTTGTAAAACCCAAAATCTTGGCGATTTATGATTACAAATAGCGGTGGAGAGACTTATTGCCAGTTCTTCTCGTCCGTTCCACACCCTTAATTTGAGAACTGGCAGTAAATGTAAAATTAGAAGCATTTAGCATTTAATTTTTATTTCCTTATTGACGTTTATATGTGTACACTGTGTTACCTAAATGAATAAATGATTTTGAATTTTGAATAAAATGATGCACATGCTCGGTTCGAAGGTCCGACCTCAAGCTCGAGAGTAGCACGCTTTACTACAAGGTTAATTTAGTTCCTAATTACCAACAGATTTCAAGTTCGATAGCCAGGAACTTTGTGTCATATTTAAACGCGAAGATAGTAATAAATCAAAAAATTTATAAGGAAATATTATAACTAGAAGTAACTTCAAAACTAAAATAAACGTTTTAGTCGTAAATACAACGTAATATTTAATGTAAATACATAATTAGCGCGAACTGTGACTTCCATATGTCTAACCTCGATACATTTTTGCGTAGGGATTTATAAAACATCTCAAACTGACACTTTAGGGGCCTCATAGCCTAGCGGTCTTATTAAGTGGCAGCTAGGTGAGGGGTACCGGGTTCGATTCCCGGTGCGAGGGTAAGTTTTAATTTAATTTAAATTTGTTCTCGGCCTTTGGGAGGGTTGTGCGGTACCGGGCGAGTGATTAAACCGTACATGGAGGACACGGTCGAATTTCGAAGGCAAGCACGAATTATAAAAATCTTATACTTGACGCTGGCTAATGCACAAACCGTGCCAGAGCCATAAAAAAAACTGACACTTTAGCTTCATACATTTATTAAGTTTTGATCGTATTTCAGGGCACACAGAAAACTTTCAGAATTCCTTCGAAGGGAAATATGGTGCTGGAGATATTGCTTTGGCGTTCTACTCCGGCCTCTTCGCTTTTGGCGGCTGGAATTATTTGAATTTCGTCACTGAAGAGCTGCAGGATCCGTATAAGTAAGTTTCAGTCTTTTAAATTTTTATTTGATTTTAATTACATTACCTACTCGAAAACTTCCGGACCGATGGTACATTTTTTGTTTGTACCATGATAATTACGACAGGATGCATTGCATCTACATAATGAACGATATATAGCTTTCAAAGTATGAAATGAGTTCATATTTATTACCAAATTTATTTTTAAAAAGACTCATGATTTGCTCTGGATAATTTTCTCTGGATTCTACGACTGGATAATTTTCATTCGTACCATTGCATTGTGGTGATTGCGTTTACATTCAAGGAAAGAGCGTACAAATTCTTAAATCGCCGGCAACGCACTCGCGAGCCCTCTGGCATTGAGAATCTCCACGGGCAATCATGGCACGGTATCACTTTACATCAGGTGAGACTCCTGCCCATTTGCCCCCTGTTCTTAAAAAAAACTCCGTTAGCTGGTTTCAGGCTGTGCTGTAATCGTACTGATTTATAGCCGAAGTCGTCGCTACATATTTAATACCATGTGCTTATCTTTAAATGTATTGACAATGAAAATGTTAAAAAGCATATTAAATTGTTAAAAATTGAGTCTCTTATGATAAAGGAGTTCTTTGACTTCGAAGATGAAAACCGAAAACACATTAGATAAAGTGTTGCACCTTTAATTTTCATTTAGGTTTATCTTGAATTAGCTAAGCATATTAATAAAAGATTTGGATGGACATGAAGTCATACATAGAGCCAAGTCTCGACTTTGAATGTCATCCTTACTTCGAAGAAAAAACTTGAATCGTAAGTTGTTGCAATAATAAGCAGGATTACTTAGAAACACGTTCTTCGATATGTGATAAAAATGTTCTTCAAAGATATCATTTTATCATAGAACATAACATTTTTGTTATAAAATTATTATATATATTATAAAATTAAAATATGCCGTAATATGATGTGAAAACCTATAAAAACCAGTGACGCTACCACCTTTTGGGTCTGGGCCTCAGATTTCTTTTCGTGATCATTTGTCTTTTTTAATAGGTAAGGCAATCAGGCTTTTGTGCCTGAAACACACCGTCGTTACGGTTATAAGGCACGATGTTTTCCTTCCCCGTACGAACGAGTGTTAAATTAGCACATAGACAGAAAGTCCATTGGTTTCAGGGGATCTCAACAAGTGAATATATGAAATTAAGAAAAGTATAGATCTTCTATACTTTTCTTATTTCTTTCTTACTTAGAAAATGAGTGGCCGAGGTTTATAGCCAGTTCTTTTCATCCGTTCTACGCCCTTACTTTTGAAAACTGGCAGTAAATGTAAAATTAGAAGCATTTGATGTATATTTCTTTTTTGACGTTCAAGTGTTCACAATTGTGTTTGAATAAATGATTTTTGACTTTGACTTCTATTTCATAGTCAGGTCGCATTTGGTTACAAATTAATGAGTATTAATTCATTAACCTTTATTTTGGACATTATTCACTTCGGAATGTCATAAGAAAGGAGCATTTTTAATACAACAAGGCTTCTATATTGTTGCCAGTCACATAAAATCACGCAAATTTGTCAAGCAGTCTTCTTTCTGTTCGTGTTTTGTGCGTGTTCAATAGGAGCAATATTATAATAGAAAAGTAAAATAAATCTTTTAGTAAATACGAAGAGATACTTGGGAAAAGATTCAAGCGTTCCCCAAGAGTTAATCAAACAAACCTTTTAATGGAGTTTTCTTGTGTCTTGTAATGGGAGTTATTTGCTCTCCATTCACTACTAGAGCTAAGTAAGGAGTTGATTATGAAGATAATCATTCCTATTTAAGTACGGGTAGCAGTAGGATTTTATATTTACTATCGGAGATTACTGATGGTGCCTTATACACACGTCTGAAATATTAAAAAAAATCACATACACACATAAAATAATTCATCAAAGTCCAGCCCTTTGGGAAGAGTTTAATTACAAACACAGGCTTAGATTTTTTTTTATATAAAGATAAATGACTTCCGTTATTCGTAGTATTATATAACCAGACACCTTGTTTCCAAATAAATAAATAAACCAGACACAAAAATAAGTAATGACAAACCTCTTAAAGAAAAAGAAAAAAAGAGTTATATTACTGATTCGTGTTATTAACTAAGTCAACAAATTTAATAATATTAAGATTGAGGAATCCGTCAGAAATCAATATTTTATCGTTATTTAAAGATAAAATATTGCTATATTAAATTAAATTAATTGAATAAATTTTTGACAGATATGTTTAAAATAGCAACATTATCAATGATGTTCCTCAAGATTTATTGCATGTGTAAATATTAGAATTTTGTTCAACTTCAACTTGCCGTATCAAATACTCTTAAGCGATTAAATGTATTATTCATAGCGACGTTTTATTCGTAAGTGACCCACTGGAATAATGGCCTGACGGAATATTCCATTGAGAAAATTCTCTAGCGTTCGTATTAAATTACTTTATATGGGACTAAATGAAGACGAATTTTATTAAGCTACGTGTATATTTCCAACCATAACTGATAAATTTGTTTTGTTCGTAGTATAAGAGTTTGATTATTTTTCAAAATTTATTAATTCTGACTACTTCCTGTGCAAAAAAAAAACACTTTGACGAATATAATGACGAATTTATTACATATAATTAACATATTAATTTTAAAAATTATTAACATAATGCTCTTTATGGTGTTAAGTGATTTTTACCTGTCGTAGTCTGCGAATATTTTTATTTAAGTAGTAGCCGCGTATTTTCTAAGTCTTCAGCTGTATTATTGTTGTTTGATGATAAAAAGGAAAATATAAATCCTGCAATGCAAATTAAAGTTAGTAGATTTAAAATGTTTCAAATGTTTTAAAATTACAATATTGCTGATTAACCTGTGTATACTAAACATTTATCTTAGATTGAATTAGGCTTTATAAATGTGGCGTTTCGGCGGGCCTTTATCATTAACTAACATTTTCTGTGCGTGGAACTATTTTCAGATCTTTGGGCACCACTGACTAACTAATAAAATTGAAATTCTCACCATATTGAGGAAATCTTTTAGAACTAATTTCTTCAAATGCAAACAATCTTTAAGATGTCTTTGTCGTCATCTGCTATGTTTCGATTTGGTTGTTCGTGGTCCAATTCTTAGATATTGTAAGTTATAAGTGCGTTAAAATACCGAAAACTATTAAAAGCCAGTAAAGAAAAGTTATTTACAATGAAGTCTTTGTCGGAAAGAAAGTATGTATCTAACCGAAATTAAGACTTGGCTTAAAGGTCAAAAGGGCAAAAAAAGTCTGTATCTATAGATAATGTGTCAAATGCCAATTTCCATGTGTATTACTTACTGCACTTAGTTTGCTATAAACATTGTTAATTTGATTGCTCTATTGTGATATAAGATAGATTAGTTTAATATATTATACTGCAACTTCTGACTTTATCACATTACATTAGGTACTTTTTAAATCGATACTATTATATTTTATACTACCTGCCCCCACGATCTTCGTTTCGCCTTACGTAATTTTGTAATTTGTTTCGTAATTTCATTTGTCACGTGGATCAGGCAGTCGTCCTAAAACTATTTCTATATAAAAACAAAATATATATTTCGGTTTTAATTGGTTTCATTTCATTTTTGCTACATACCAACATATGGAACACTTTGCTCTGCTACCTCATAGAGACTGTTTGCTTTTCCGGAATAAAAACCTAAGTCCAAAATTAATTTTCATTCTTTTTTATATTTTTCAATTTCTCCCTTCATATGTAAACCTGCGTTAGAGTTCAAAGAATAAATATAAAAAATACTAGATTGCCCGTCTTCGAACTTTGCGCTTAGCAACATATTTTGCGATTTAATTTTGATTTATATAAATGATCGAACGAGTGTTTCGTTGGGTCGTATAATAATTTATTCAAAGGAATGAATAAATAGTTCTATCGAAGTGACTAGAAACTATCGGTAATGGGCTTATTGGTGTGCATTACTGACTTTTTAAATATGCCTTTCAGAAATCTACCTCGCGCAATATGGATAGCTATGCCAATGGTGACTATAATCTATGTGCTGGCGAACCTGGCCTACTTCGCTGTTGTCACCAAAATGGAGATGATGTCTAATCCTGCGGTTGCTGTGGTGAGTGCCAATTTTCGCTTCTTTAAACATAACGAAGATAAGATAAGCTTATCAGAAAAATCTAGCAGGCCGTGAGTTCTAATCATGGGTATACACCGATTGTGTTATGGGCGCAATTAACACATGCTTGAACGATGAAGGTAAACGTAGTGAGGAAACCATCTGGCACAGGTACGCGCTGAGTTTCTTCTCAGAACAAGGCCTCCTGGTAGTTTAGCGAACGGATGGCGTAGTCTTGCTCTTTCGCGTATTATGTAAACGTTTTTGACATTCATAAGCATGCCTTAAGTCGCATCTAAATTGAATAAACGTATTTTGATTTTGATACCTTTAATAAAAAATAAAAGGCATATCCTTTTAATAAAAAAATGAAGAAAACATATTATATCAAAAACTGAGGCCAATATAAGTCAGACCAGTAAATATAATATATTTATAAAACCCATTTTATTATTTACATGCTTATAACACTGTAGTATTAAAAGTGATCCTAAGTAAACAAAACACAAAATTTCGCAAAAACTTATATAAAAAAATTAACTAATCTCCAAAACATTTTTTAAAACCCGCTATAGGTTTAAATATTATATGCGAAAAACGCCATCTGTAGGTATTTAGTTCGTGGTCTCATAGATGGCGAATAGAAGAACTCTCGTTGTTGAAGTTTCTTAATAGAGGGCGCTATATTGGTTTAGTGATTATTGGTATAATGTGAAATTAGTTAAGTTAGTAGTTTATTTATTAATTTTCCTGTATTTCTTTAGTTAATTGTTAACTATCGAATCGTACTAAAGCAGTGATGGCCTAGTGGCTTGTCACTCTCATCCCTGAGATTTAGGTTCGATCACCGGCCGTGCACCAACTGACATTCTATGTGGAAAACATATTTACATATTTTTGCGACCGTATTGGGTTCTAATTTTAGGTAGATGTAGATATTATTAGATTTATACCGGCTGGTATTGAAGTTAAATTTAATGCGTGTGTATTTGGTTATGTATTTTTTTTAAACTAAAAATTTATAAATACGGGGTTTTAGTTTGGGTTCCTGTCCCTATTATAAATTGCAGTACGTAATAAATTTTTGAAGTGTTATTAATGGGAAAGTAAAAACTTTGTTAAAATTACTATAACAAGTCATATAGTCCATTTAAATGTTACATTGGCTGAACATTTGATAGAGGACGCAATTTTATTTATGGGACATGTGGAAGGGGGGGTCAATACAAGCTTAAGAACAAACTTCTACAAAATTGTTCCGACATAATTTTTTGATAAAATCAAAAGAAAAAAGTTATTAAGCAATAAAGAAATTTTTACCTTTTTTAATTATAACTTTTGAATTTTTGCTTTATGATAAAAAGTCCAATAGACATAATTGTAGGCAAAGCGATTTCCTACAATATATGTCTTCACAAATTTTTTGTACGATGGATAGTTTAGGAGATATAGCCAAAAACGTGTTTTCACCCCTTTTTGCCGGGGGACAAGGCCGCCAACCCCACAAATTTGGAGTTAAGCTTGTAACGACCCCCCTACATATCCCATAAATAAAATTGCGCCATCTAACAAATGTTCAGTTTGGCCCTCAAATTGTAACATTTCAATGGACTACTCGTAATATTTGTGTACATTTGCTAATTTCTGTTGTTTCTCAATTAAGAATTAAATTTTAACTCAATTTTCTTTGCCTTTCCAGACATTCGGCGACCGTCTGTTCGGTAGCTGGAGTTGGGTGATTCCAATATTCGTGGCTTTATCTACTTTTGGAGGAGTCAATGGCGTTCTCTTTACATCAGCGCGATTATTCGCAACGGGAGCACAAGAGGGGCACATGCCGGCATTCTTCTCGCTATTCCATATTGAGAAACAGACTCCTATACCATCACTTATATTCACGGTATGTACCTTATATAATGTAAAATATTACCTGTGCAGTCTGAAACTAATAATTATAGAATTCAATACCTGAGGTTTTTACAAATATTGTAGAAAAATCAGAGAAACTAATCATAGATTGCGTAATTCAAAAAGAAATTACTAATTATAAATCATAAAATAATTTCTCTTAATATTTTTTATGATACATAAATTTGATATGTTATTATAATGTGTATGGGAATGACATTAGCTCACACTTTATCACGTGACCATTTTCATACAAATCCATTTGGCGTTGGTCACGCGGTGAGTCACTCACGCTTGCCGAAAGAGAATTTGCCTCAAGCCCCAGACCAAGATATGTTTGCCGATTGAGTTTTGCCATTCATTAACTTTATTGTTGATTTCATTATTAAGATTAACACAAAAATGCCTATATATGGCTAAATATATTTTCTATATTGCATATAAATATATCAAAGAAAATAGAATCAAAATCGGTTTAAACATTTTGACCTTTTATTCGAAAATTACTCTGGATTAAAACTAATAATTAATAATTTAATAATATCTATATGGGTCTTGGCCTCAGATGGAATCTATTAATTTGATCATATTTAATAGACAAGTAGGTAAGCAGCCCTTTGCGCCTAAAACAAATCGTGGAGTTTTTCCTATTTCACACGATTTTTGCCTTCACCGTAGGAGCAAGTGCTAATTCATAGCACAGCCGTGATTCCAACACACGACCAAGGTCGCGCGCTTAAGTATAATTACGAATTAATACAGTGAATACAAAAGTGATATTAATTTATTTGTAATTATTTCCAGTGTTTATTTTCCTTGCTGATGCTGACAACTAGCAACGTATTCGCCCTCATAAATTACTATTCGCAAACGTTATGGCTATCTGTTGGTGCATCCGTTGTCGGAATGCTCTGGCTTCGTCATACAAAACCCGACCTGCCCCGACCGATCAAGGTCAATCTAGCCATCCCTTTCGTTTTCCTCTTCGCGATCGCCTGTCTCGTTCTAATCCCAGTCGTAACTAACCCGAAAGATACCGCTATCGGTTTAGGGATACTCTTCTCAGGAATACCAGTTTATTATCTTTGCGTGAAATGGAAAAATAAACCTCGGTCCTACCATACGTTATCTGGTTGTGTTTTAAGGTTCCTACAGAAATTATGTTCTTGTATTTATGTAGACTCGTTAGAGAAAATGTCGACTGATAAATAATTTTATACAGTGTTTTACCCTCTTATTTATGGTCTCGTATTCTATGATTCAAAGTCAAGACTTAAACCAAAGTGTGACATTCGTAAAAAATGTGTTGGATTTGACAGGAGTCATAGTAAGATTCTGAATCTACCCTCAATCTTATGCAAAAACCGGTATTCTAGGGCGCCAAACTGAAATCTACATCAATACAGAGTTCGATTTGACAGCACTCAAAATAAGTTTTCACTTATATGGCCCTAGGCTTAGGTTTCCAAGAAAAGCGGAGCCGTTATCCAACGGCCGTAACGTAACGTTGGGTGACGTCACCCATACGTTGACTATAAAATTAATAACATCGGAGTAGGTTTTCTAGAGAACGTTATGTCACCGTAACGTCAAAAAGCGATGCTGTCATTTGCATGACGGCCGTCATAGCGGTGATAAACATTAGTTCGACGTTTTTCGCGTGTAGTGGTGCCCATATTTAATACAATGAGTGGAAACGTGACTTTGACGAGCGAAAATGATTGTTTTTTTGCATTATGTTACAAAGTAAAGATGGCTGTTATAAACAACTGTAAAATGACGGCCGTTAGTTAACGCACCGCTTTTCTAAATTCTAGGAAACCTAAGCTTAAGATTTAAAGTCGAGAATTAGCGTATGACGTCTGTTAAAACTCGATTTAAGACTGGGGGCTTAGTCAAGATGCCTTAACAGTAGTGTATGTAGAAAGTCGAAAACTAATTTTGTAGGAAAATGACAGTTCCGGTTGACAAATTTTCTGGCCTCATTTATTAAAAATAAATGTGTAATTGCACCGTTTTTACTGAAGTAGTCTGTCTCTTTACGTCACGCCGTAAACACAATTTGCCAGAAAGAGACAAAACATTACTATAGTCTATAGACTTATCTTTTACGGAAAAAGCTGAATCATTTATAAACGTGAGACATTTATAACTAAGAGGGTTTTTGCATCAAAGTAAAACTCGAATCAGTAAAACTATTTTTTAGAAAATTAGCTCAGCACGTGTGCCCATATTTATTATATATAAAATAAATGTATATGACAGTTAGTAAACTGGTCATAAAAAAGTGTAACGATACCGATAATACAAATCACTGCGATGACGTTATACACTGAAACGCACTAACGAAGTCACTCGACCTTAGTAATGCCTTGATCACACTTATGCCTTGATCACACGTACCGAGCAAACCGGCGAGACAGTACTCTCGGTCGAGCACTCGGTACGTATAAACATAGCGCCGAGTGCTCGGCCGAGCGCTCGGCCGAAAGAAGTGGCGAGACAATAGCTCGGCGGCCGTTCTACTTACTAGACCGAGTGACCACCCTCCTCCACCCTCCCGCTTCCCCGCACTGTCTCGCTCACTCACTCGGCAGGTTTGAACATACACTGTCTCGCCGCTCGCCACTCGGCCACATGATTGTCGCGACGCCGCACGTGGTTTTTTTGAGTGCAGTTGTTTAATGTTTTAAAGGCCTTGTTAATAGAACTGAATGATTTCAAAATGCGTGTGAACAGCTACTGTACGTGTGATCAAGGCATTACCGAGCAAACCGGCGAGACAGTAAAATGTTTCTCGGCCGAGACAGTGTAGTAAGCGAGTACAGTGTAGTAAGCGAGTACAGTGTAGTAAGCGAGTACAGTGTAGTAAGTAGTAGTGTAGAGCGCTCGGCCGAGCACTCGGCGCTATGTTTATACGTACCGAGTACTCGACCGAGAGTACTGTCTCGTCGGTTTGCTCGGTACGTGTGATCAAGGCATTACTGGGGCCTTCGGGCCAGTCAGTGATTAGACTGGCCAATGACCTTTTAGGTTGAATGAACAGTATACCTCCACAAAAGCAACATGTCAAGTAAAAAATACAAATAATACTAATATGGTCTTGCTCGTGCTGTAAAATATCCTTGGATTATATTTGGAGCTAAAATTACATCGTAAGTATATTTTGTATAAAGTAACAATGCACGAAATATTATTGAAACATTTATGTAGTAAGACACAAAACCTTCTGACTACTGAAGAAAAATGTTTTACCGATGTTTTAAATGCCCACTTAAAAAAATTAGAGAATACCGTTAAATATAGCAATAGATTATGTTATCGCAAGTGACTTGTGCTTTAAACATCTTTAATTGTACTAAAAAACTGTATCGTAAATGGACCAATATTATATCCATTATGCATTTAACTTTTTTATTTAAATCAATATTTTAATGTCTAGAGATTTTTTAAATGAACACTGCAATGAAATTAATTCGACGTTTTTAGTCCGAAATATGGACATTTTGGATCTTTTTTTTAAAATATTTATTTGTATAATAACGATTACTAATTAGTATTTTGTACGGCTTTTTCAGACTTATTAATCGTAAGAAATTTTTATACAGGTTTAAAAAGGTTCATTTACTTTAAAATTATTCGTCACTCGAGATTATTAAAAACTAAATCAGTATCATTAAACTGTTAAACTTAATCTTTCATCAATTCCTTATTAATAAAAGGTGTGACTTAATACCTTATTATTCATAAATTTTATTTTACCGTATTTAGTTCTCATCTGTCTCCCGTCTTCACAGCGTTAACCCAATTTGACAGAAAGTGACGAAAATTTATTTAAAAAAGCCCAATTAGACTGATTTAGTTTTTATGATTAGTTGAAGTATATCAAGAATTCCTTTTTATTTGCCTAATAATTACGAAGAACATTTTCCTGTTTGAGCGTTTTAATATGGAAACATGACTTAAGCGTAATTAAAGCTTGAATTATAATATAAAGTATAAATTACTTGATATATATTTTTTTTTATAGTATGGCAACAGCTTCAACTTTATGCCAGTTTCAAGTAAAAACTTGATATATTAAGACTTTTTAAATATATGGTTCTTTTACTTAAATGTACATATATTTACAGAAACATTTACACTAATATTTATAGGTGGTAGACATAAGTGAACATTCCTAATTATACTCAAACATGTGTAATCTATGAGCAAAAAATGGCCGGCTTAAGTTTTATTTAAAATTATCTTTTATTACTTAAATTATCTGGGAAGTTCCTATTTAGGTTTATTTATGTAAAAAAAATTTCATTCCATTTAAACATAATAAATTCGCACCAAAATATAATTGATTGCTAAATCGCTGGTTATTTCTGTCATATTGTGAAAAAATATAATACAATGTTACCAGATTCATTGTTGCTATATTTGGTTTACTCAATAATTTTACCTAATTTAATTTATATTTAATTTAAGCATTCCCTATATGCGGGTTTATATACACAATTTTATTTTCAAACATTTTAAGATTGGAATTCATAAATGGACTATACTGTATACATATTTAGAAAATGCTTACTAGCTATTTATATGCCATGCTACGCAATGTAACAGCTAATAAATATAAAAACAAAATATTATATTTACGAAATCATGTATGGAAATATAAATTATTCAGAACAGAGTTTGTAGTTTTATTGAGTCACAAAATCCGAACATCGTAATGTCATAAGAAATATTTAATTGATTTTGTTTATTTCACAAATATAGAATAAATAATATTAAATGTATTGTTTTTAAATAATATTTCGGTTAAGGTATCGATGTTATTTATATCGATAAATGACCACAAGTGTGCCACAGAGTATTAAGGTTCAATGCTATTATCGTGTGAATAATTAAAAAAGTTACCACGTTTATAAAAAAGTTTTGACTATCTGATATATATGACTCCGTCATTAATATGTCACATCAAGCTAGGCTATGTGATTATTATTCCCAAAACCTCATTTGTTACGAAGGATGTCTAGTGGCATAAACATGTATAAAACAATCGTTCAGCATATACAATTTTTTAAAATCAGTTCTTTATCATCAGGATTTACGCGACACTTTCGAACAGGCTATCGATTAAGTGGCCATCGTTGGTCACCAGATCCGCTTTTTATGAAACAATTTGAAGGTGTTGCCATTTACCCAACTCCAGAAATGGAGAAATACGCTAAAGTAATTTATGACGGTAGAGTAAAACCGATTGAGAGAAAGTTAAAAAATATGTGGCTCAATTTTGGACCACAACACCCAGCGGCCCATGGTGTATTAAGACTTATTCTTGAACTGGACGGCGAGTACGTCCTGAGGGCAGATCCACATGTCGGGTTTTTACATCGAGCTACAGAAAAACTAATGGAGGCTAAGCATTACAACCAAAGCCTGCCATTCATGGACCGTCTGGATTATGTCTCTACAATGGCCAACGAAGTAGGATTTGCACTCGCTGTTGAAAAGCTTCTCAATATAGAGGTCCCGCCTAGAGCTCAGGCTATTCGAGTCCTTATGACTGAACTGTCCAGAATAGCTAACCATTTATTAAATATATCTGGTACCGTACTAGACGCCGGTGGTATCAGCCCATTTTTTTGGATGTGTGAAGAGCGTGAAAAAATATATGAGTTATTTGAAAGGGTTTGTGGTGCGCGAGTACATAACGCATACATGAGGGTTGGAGGAGTGAGCCAGGATCTTCCTATTGGATTCTTAGATGATGTTCACGAACTCTGCATGAAAATGGGTGAGCGCTGCGATGAAACTGAAGATGTTGTGACCGGGAATAGGTTATACTATGAAAGAACGGCAGGCATTGGAGTTGTATCGGCTCATGAAGCTATTAATTTGGGATTTACTGGACCGATGCTGCGTTGTACCGGCGTCAAGTGGGATTTGAGAATTACTCACCCTTACAATGGTTACGAGATGTATGATTTTGATGTACCTGTTGGTACGTTTGGAGACAGTTATGATCGTCACCTTCTACGTTTGATGGAGCTACGCCAGTCTTTAAGGATTATAAATCAAGTGTTAGACACTATTCCAGAAGGAGAAGTTCGAACAGACGATTCTAAAGTTACAATGCCTTCAAGACAGGAAATGAAAACGTCTATGGAGGCCCTTATACATCATTTTAAATTGTGCACAGAGGGGTACAACGTACCTCCTGGTGCAACTTACAGTGCAACCGAGTGTCCTAAGGGTGAATTGGGTATCTATATGGTATCCGATGGCACTTCAAAACCCTATCGTGTTTTTATTAGACCATGTTCATATCTTCATCTAGCAGGCCTGGCTGTTATGGGTCCAAGAATGTTGCTAGCTGATATATCTATTCTAATAGCAACAATCGATGTAGTATTCGGTGATGTCGATCGTTAATAATTTTTAATATATCTATTATGAGATAGCTCTTGTTTGTTTTATGTTCCAGAGACTTCGTACCATAATTAAATAGGATTGTTATGGAATGAAAATTAATACATATATAATATTATAAATATATATCTTTGTTATTATAAGTTTATTTTTGTTTCCATGACTAAAACGGTGAAGTTTTATTTTGGTTTTAAAAATTGATAATATTCTGGAGACTAGTATGCTTCTTTTATCTGGGAAAAAGTGTGTAAGCGTAATTTTTGATATAAACGCTAGTGAAGGCACAGGTCTTGAACCCTTGTCAGTTTAAGAGTCCATTTTACAGTTGAAATTTCATAATCATAAAATGTCAATGTTTTATATTTTAATCCTTATATCATATATATTTAATCTACGTAAAATGTACTACATTCATCTTATAATAATAATTAAACTATAGGGAGCGTCTAATAAATAAGAATGGATACCAAGGAATTTGATGAAATGCTGATGAATTTAGGTTCCTAAATTCAATAGCATTTTTTCGAACCGTCCTATATATCCTATTATTTGAATCGGAAGACCGAACGAAAGAACAATAACATATTTTTAACTGTTTAATAGATGATTCAATGATGATAACAATAAATCAAATCTAAATATTATTTTAAATAATTCATCAATCACAATAAGCTATTATGTGTTAGAATATATATAAGTATTTATTAAAAAACTATTATTTTGATATATTTTAAACGTTAATTTTTTTGTTGCTATGATATATTACACTTACATTTTAAACGTGGTGTTTACAAAATTTCAGATCCATAATTATAGTTTTACAAATTGTTTTACATACTTATAAATATGATATGGTAAGTATTATTTTATTATTTGCGCTTTATACAGGTGCAAGCGGTGGCCCGGAATGAAGTACCGTCTTGCCTTGGTGAACACACAAAGCTTTTTAGAGGCTATTAGCCTTTACCTCCAAATAACCGCGAAACTGAACGTCGTTCGATATGGCAACGCCAAGTATTCCGATGCTGGCTGTGGCTTTAAGACGAGTGTCTCGAAAAGAAGAGGAGCGACGAAGGGTGTTTTTAAGCGGAAACCGCGCAAACTTGTGTCTTCTTGGGGTTAAATTGGATTTAGTTTACCCCCGTACAAGACTCCACGAAGCAGAGTTTCGACTTCAGACACAAGTTTGTTCCGGTACTCACCGATATGTTCCGTCGATGACGACCTTGATGCTCCGATCGGCCAGAAAGCTGGAGATCCCAGTCGCATAATTTTTTGGGAAGCCCGTAGGCTGGAAGCTTCAAGAGAAGCGGTTTATGCCACACTCGATCAAAGGCTTTCTGTATATCCTCAAACGTCACTATATCCAAACTAACCACTAGCGCTTCCCCCTTGGAATCAATTGCCTCTGCCCATATATGTGTAAGGTATACAAGAAGGTCATCAGCTGAACGACCACGATGAAAGCCGTACTGATAATCGCTAATCAGCTGGTGGCCCTCTAGATACCTCAGGTGTTGGCCATTAATAATGCATTCCATTATTTTGTAGAAACCATCTTGTGGTTATACCTACATATTGGGAGATAGTTGGACGGATCAGAGCGATCGCCTTTTTCTTCCAACACTTCGGGTCAGTGCCGAGCGAGTACAGGTACAGTAAAAGGTGCATTAAGACAGAAGCAAACTCATGAACGTAAGTACCCAGCACAACAGGGGCGATACCATACCGCCCGCTCGGCTTCTGAATATGCAAGGAAGATAGTGCTTTGCGGACAGCACTTGGCCAGAATATGATTTCTGGCATCGAAGATTCACACCGCGAAGAAGTCGGTGGTGATCTCCCTCGGTCAAACAAAGTTGGACGCGAAGAGACAGCCCATAAGGTCAGCCTTCTCCTTCGCGGGCCAGCGAGTCATCCTCAAAATTCCCTTGGACAGCTTTGGCTAGAGACCAAATGGCTCGAATCGAGGTGGGCCTATCTCTCACCAAAGCTGGCAATGTGCTCTAACTTTGCCTAAGCAATTTCCCGTTTGAAGGACCTGGACGCAGGGTTATATGTTTTTTTAATGTTCGCTGGTATTGCAACAAGAGGTGGCGCCGCTTCTGCCCATGCTTTGAAACGTTCTCGCTTACAAAGCGAGGCCACCTTGCAAGTATGCTTAAAGCAGGGCTGTGACTTGCCACCGAAAGGCACCGTAGTAAATGGATTAAAGAATTACATGCCCTGCATAACTACTTCGGCGACAGAGTCAGTGACGGAATCTGGAGCTTCCGAAGAAAAGCATATATAGGTCCCGAAGGACGCATGGAAAGACCGCATCCCGTCCCAATTTGCTGAACTATAGTGCCAAATACGCCGACAGCCCGCAAAACGGAGCCGTGGAGGGCGCGTAGTAGGCACAGTACTTCGGACTACACAATGAACCCACGAACCCAGAGGAGTTCTCTGGATGTGAGGTCAACAGAAGGTCCAACAAAGATGGTGGACCATCACATCACCACACCTGGTATTCGCGTAATTGCAGAAACCATTTGTGTCAGGTCATATGCGAAGGCAAAGTCATGAAAAGACCTACGAGATCGGTGGTATCAGAGCCAAGCCAGTCGGCATGATGGGCGGTAAAGTCGCCAAGTGTCACCATTTCAGCTGGCGGGACATTTTCGAGCAAGGAATCTGTATCAAACTCAAACTCAATTGGTTCCGCTACGGGATATGTCCCGTATGCGTAGAATTGCAAATGGTCATCGCAGTCTACGCACAGCCAGAGGTTAGATAGGTACGTTCCTAAAGCTTCCCGAGGCGACGAGAACAGATATCATCTCTGAAGAACACGCTAACGACCGCCCACGGCTTAAAGGACTGTTCTAACTTGTACCCCGGATAGGAGAGGTAAGAAGTATCAGCCGGGGAGGATAATCGAGTCTCAGTAAGGAAGAATAAGACCGGCTTCACAGATCCAAGGCGAAAGTGAACCGTGTTGAGATTAGAATTGAGCCCCCCTAACATTAGTAAAGTCCACTATGAGCGTGGAGCGCCTTCGGCAAATTCTTCTGTTTGTCCGAGATCAAAACCTACTAGATTTTAAGTTTTTCAGCGCAGTTTTGCCCCTCCCAGAATACGAAGGGCAGCCTGTGCTTCCACCAACGAATGCTGACTGTTCCGATGAAGGACGCCCAGAGGGTGATTTTCCCCGGGAGTCTCACTCACCGCACGAAACGTACAATGAGATGAACCCATTGCCTCACATCACGTCGATTTTCTTTGAGTTCACGCTTTGGTTTTTCCTGGTATGCGAAAACATTTCCCTTTGTTTCTCTCTGTTTCTGTTAAAATATAATCTAATTATGATGTCTTGGAGTTTAATTTCATTGAAGACTGATCGAAATATGGGTATTTGTGTAAAAAACTTTAAATTGAAATATTGTTTTGTTGTATTTTACTTGATACGTTTTGGTTTGCTAAGGCTAGCAACACTCTTTTTAGAGAGTTAAGGCACAACACGCTGATCCAAATCGATTGGATGTTACCGCGTGTGATCACATGGCGTGTTGTATAATATGTGCACCTAACCATATTAAATATATGGGATTGATAAGTACTGACATGCGTCGGATGGTGTGGTGTAGCGTCGCGTTTTAGTAGTATGTTTCCACCTTAAAAGGTTCGTATGTTTAACATATATTTAAATTAAATCGTAGAGTCTGCCTAATGAAAGAAGATAATTGAATTATTTGAAAACTTTCGGAAGGCAACACAGAATATCATTGAATTTCTTAGGTTAGTATGATTTATTGTCTTGATACTTCATGCAATTACTCATTTTTATTTCTATTATATATTTTTTCCGAATAGTTAACAGGTATAAAAGCCTAAACTTTGTTTTATGTGATGGAATATTTCGTTTCTTTCGCAGGATTTGATTATTCCGAATAAAGTTGTGTTTTATAATGAATATAGTTTTAGTTTTCCATGCAATGCTAGTCATTTTAAGTATCGATAGTAAAAGACTAAATACGTATTGTATTTAATTTCATAGTAATACAGTTACTTTCAATGTAAAAAATAATAAAAAAAAATTAAGTATCTAGTAAGTTTAATCCACAAAATATATCAAACTTTCAGGGATACCATACTATTTTTTTTGAATTAGCCGCGCTTTTTCGTTATCTTCTTTCATTAGCTAGACTCTATGAGATGTTAGAAGAGGTTGCATTATCTACATTCTACTCCAGGGCGAGGACGCAATACTGCGAAACGTAGTTAAAGCCATATTAAGCGCAGGAAATGACGGCTCGTGGACAATCTTCTACAATTTCTGCGAGTCGGTCATGAAAGTCAAAGAAGAAGCGGAAAGGACCAGGCAGCTTTGTCCCGGAACCCATCCGCGGCGGCGAAAGAAACTGCAGGCCCGTCAAATCCTAGCCACCTAAAGAGTGCCCAAGCGGGGAAGCAGGAGTCCATGCGTTCAAAAGAAGGCATGGTTATCCATCCCTTCAAGCACTGGACCCGATCTCCCCTAGCTATTCCTAAAAGCGTATGGCCCGATCTGTGAAGGATACTTGCTGTGCCAAGTATCTTCACAAATGGGAAGTGGATAAGGCTCTGCTGTTACCGTACCATCTGCTGTACTGTGTGGCGCCTTGGGGTTTTAGTGGGTATGCACAATCGCGAGTCCCACATTACCCTCCCGCACTAAGCAGTCGCACCGCGGTAGGATATGCGCAATGCATTTCCCCAAGTAAAAGAAAAATCTACATTCTACGCTTTTGTAACATTATTCTCTTTGGTGTAGACTGTGGATGTCAAGTTTGGCTTAAATGTCTCGTTACCAGGCCAAAAAAAAAAGTGTATATAAACTGTAAAGTGTAAACTGCAGCTAGGTGAGGGGTACCGGGTTCGATTCCCGGTTCGAGGGCAAGTTTTAATTTAATTTAAATTTGTTCTCGGCCTTTGGGAGGGTTGTGCGGTACCGGGCGAGTGCTTAAACCGTTCATGGAGGACACGGTCGAATTTCTATAGACAAGCACGAAATACGAATTATTAAAAATCCTATACTTGACGCTGGCTAATGCACAAATCGTGCCAGAGCCATAAAAAAAAAAAAAAAGTGAAAACTTTAAACACTAATCTCAAATCTGTGATTCGTTCAATTATTATTTTATTAAAATATATTTATAATATTAATACATATTAGAAATAAATTCACTTAATTAAGTTTTACTTTAAAATAAATATATGTTACGAACATTTTACTCTCTTAACTATGTATAGGACGTGATTCATTCGAAGTAACAAAGCTCATTGTGTGATAAAACATTTCCGTGCGTCGTTCTCAAAAAAGAAACATGTTCAGCTTAAAATTCGAAATTGTATCCTCACGTACTGTAGAAGGTGTGGATAAGGAAAATAAATTTGTAGCCTATATGGTGCAAGCTAGACAGTCTAGAATTATCGACCCAGAGCCTGCCAATGCTGAAAGAAGATACACCCACTTTCTAGACCTTTATAATGGTCTTAAGAAAGAGCGACCAACATTACTAAATAATATTTCCTTTCCGCGTAAGGTTGGTAATCCATAATTATACTTATCCAAACATATTTGTTTGCCTTGAGTATTATAGATAATTTTAAAAATAGATTCTTAAATTATGTATAATACCTTAAAAAGAGATTGATTTTAAACTGTAATTTAATTAACTGGACTTTGTTTACAATAAATTGGATTAAATTTGAGAAAAGAGTTTGATAAAAATCTCATTATTTAATTTGTTTTGAACAAAAGACTTTTAACTGATAACATAAACCTTTGTGTTATTACAGATTTGTTTTGGAAATTTTGATCCTAGTTTAATATCATCACGATGTGCTGGCTTTGAGGTACTCCTCAATTTAGTTGCTAGTGAGTCGCAGCTGAGGGACTCGGTGGCTGCCATAGCTTTCTTTCAAGATGTAGAATTAAATGAAGCAAGACGTCTTATCGGTGAAGAGAAATATGACCAAGCTTTCTCAGTATTGGAAACTAGCTTTAAGTTATTAAGTAAGGTAAAAGTTTACTAAAATTTTTCATTCAATAAAGGTATTGTTTTATAGGATTTTTTTAGATTGACATATTTACTGGTTTTTTAAATAAAGTTTCTCATTCCAGGTATACACAGACAGATCACGAGTAGTACTAAGCGCACTATGCCGTATAGTGGCATGTGCTGGCTGCAGCGGTGGTGCTTTGGCTGGACCAGGTGAACGATGGGCACAGCTTGCCCTGAGAAGATATGAAGCTGTTAGTGACTCTGACCTACTCCTCATGTATATTCCATTGCTTCACACTTGTATATCTATATGGTATGTGGCTTCTATACTATAGTAATACAGATGTTTGTAAAAGCAAATGAAGGTCAAACTTTGTTTGATATTTTCAATAGACTATACATAGTAACAAAACATATTCATACATTCAATTTATATGGACCTAAGTTCAACATTCTAAATCAAGCAACTGTTGTTAGTGATGATTTCAATATGGAATTATTACGCAACCGAGTTTGACGACTCTTTTTTATGAATAATTTATCACAGTATTAACTTATAAATGAAATGTTATTTAAATCTAATAAGAATTTTATAAAACTATAATTATATTATAAAGGGAGAATGCATATACAACTTTCAGAATAGTATTTGTGAAATAAACCTACAGATAATAAGAGATTGTAAATTTTTTTTCAATATAAAATGACATTATTAAAAATCAACAAATCTATAGATTTGACTCCATTGTTTGATACCAAATTAGATATTTTATCTTAATTTTAGGGATTAATACATTGAGATTTCTTTCTAAATATGGGTCATGTTTGCACTATACATTTCTGTGCTTGTGTTTTTTTGTGTGTGCCTGCAAACTCAGAACATAATTTTTTAGGGAGACATTGGGTCGTGATAAATCAAAGCTAGTGGAGGAGTTAAACAGTCTCCGAAAACAAGGAATGAAAGTGGACTCCGTACCAAGTCTAATGGAAGCTATTGACAATTTAAGTACATCAGTATAACACTATTTCAAAAGTAATTTGTAAGTGATCATATAAATACTTGATATGGAAATAACTATTAAATCATCTAAGACAAAAGTATTTGGTTAATATTAATACATGTTTGTTGTTTATGACTATTCAATTTTTTTTCAATGTTTATAATCTGTATAAATTATTTATTGTTTTTATCTATTTTGTAATTTTAAAAGAAAAATCTTATAGCTATTTATTATAGTTTATAAGTGTCATAATTTATCATTATATAAAATCAATTTGATAATATAAAATTGTATATATAATTGACATCAAAGTTTGTGAAGTTAGTTGTAAGCGTAAATATGTATGTATATAAAAATGACTAGTTACAAAATAAGCGTTATATAATACTAACTTAAAAATTTAAACCAAAAGAATGCTTTACCTTTGTAATCACTAAGTTAGTGCTTAAAATTGTGATATTTCTAATTAACTCTAAATTTATTTAGCGGTCATTTGCATTGTTTATGACTACTCACGAATCTCTGATAAGAACAGATACAAAACTAAACGTAATTGTGACGAGTTTTACAATTAATAAAGAAGATATCGTTTTAAAATGTATTCAATATTAACGTTAATATTATCATTTCACTATAAAAGTTACTGTTAAATATGTTTAAGGATATAAACGTGATTTCTTTTATCAAATTCGCGTTTATAGACGGTAAAGTAGGTTTCGGAATGTTTTTCTTAACTTAAACTCAAAAGTCTAAAGTTTAATAATTAGTAACTATTAACATTCTTACATAATTGATCTGAATATTATTAGATTATAACGTACTTCATGTGATGGTTTATTTTTTACCGACATTGAAAAACAAAGGAGGTTAACAATTCCATATGTGTCATTCAAAAAATCTATAGTCTTTTCCTCTTTATTTATCTATTTCGTGGATTTTGTAATGATATATTGTTGATATTATTTATTAGGTTGCGGGGTAGCTATGTGCTATTTTATTATTTTATATTATTATTTCTCACTATGATATATTAAATAATGCTTGTCGACTGTCAAAATATGTAGACGAAAAATTAAAAATTGGGTAAAATATGCTGGAAACGCTTAAAAGTGTTTAATTTTAATTAATTTATCTATAAAATAGAGTTTCGAAGGTTCAAAACCTCTATGTTTTAAGCAAGAAGGCATGAATGGTCTATATTTACCTTTAAGTAACTGTCAGATGAATTCACCTTATTAAACAATAAGCAATATTTTATGAAATTCACAAAGCTAAATCATAGTTAACTGTAGTTAACGTTTTATACATTTGTAGCTCATATACATAATATTATGAGATAAAATATACATATTCGGGCCATGTTGTTTTAGTTCAATGAATTCCCTATTAATAATTATGAATAATCAAAAACTTGGTACCACTAGTCGTATTAGGACTTATTACAAGTCCTAATCCTACTTGAGGAAGATTCGAAACGCCCTAAGTCTAGTCATACTAGTATGACATGTCAAAATAGGTGTTGGATGTTGACATACGGCAGTTCACAGCTCACGCTGGGTCCCGACTCAATCTAACGGATCATAAAACGTAATGGACGGATTTACTTTTTCTTTATATTTACATATGTATATATTTGTCTGACCTGTGTGTATTCTACATATTACATACATGTTTGGTGTATCAGTTTTTGTGTTTGTATACAATATTTGGCATATTATACCTACTGTAAATAAACAAAATAATTTCTTGACGTGTACGTATACTTCAGGTATCGTAGATCCGCCCAATTGCACCTCTAGTATAATTATCCCATTCTTTGATAGTGATAGAGTATTGCCAGTATTGAGGGTATACCTCTATTGCGTACCTATAATACCCAAGCCAAAGTCTATTCCCAGCGAAACAATTTGACCTTCACCGAGATGCTTATTTAATGAAATGTATTTTATATTTAATTTAATATGTCAATAAATATAATCCATATGGGTTACCTAGCAAATTTCAGTCCAGAGTATGTTTAATTAATATTTTTATAAAATATAATTTTTTATAATTTGCATGTAGTTAATTTTTTAATTTTTTTTAATCAGGGTAGTATTATAATATATGTATCACTATAACTTTCTTTTTTACTAAAGATGTATAGGATATACTTTAGTGTCACATAAAAAATATACACATAAATAATTAATTGATTAAAAACAACCTAACGTTTGCATATTCTATGGGCTTCATACTTTCGATTGGTATAGAATTTATCTAATATATATACCGGTGAAATGTTTAAAAAAATTTTTTTTAATATTAATTAAAATACTCTGGACTGAAATTTGCTAGGCAACCCATATGGATTATATTTATTGACATATTAAATTAAATATAAAATACGTTTCATTAAATAAGCATCTCGGTGAAGGTCGTTGTACTTATATCGGGATCTTAGACCAATTGTTTTTGGTTGACAGTCACGAGAGGTGCCTATGAAACATTATGAAACAATCGCAGAAAGTTATGTGTCGCTCGTTGGAGAGTTGGGGGATGTTAAAGAAACAAATAACCCTTATGGCTACACTAGTAAATACTTTCTAATATGTCTTATATGAGTATAACCAATAATCGCAAAAAACGTCTTTGCCATACATAGATTTGTCAGACGGCATTGTTATTATTACATTATATTTTAAGATACTTTTATCGCCGCGTACAGTTTAAATTTTTGTCTCTCAGTCCAATTGTTTGTATCACACGATTGACATTCTATGAAACTCTCAGTAAGATACAATAATTATAGATATAGAAATAAGTATATATTGATTTATACTTACACAGAAGGCTGATAGCTCACATAGGTAATTCAATTAATGTTATTGATTTAATATATAATTCGATTAATCAAAGAAACAGGTTAAGACCCAGGGTTGTCGCGCTACTGGATTATTATTTAGACGTCATTCGACCTTTTATATTAAATTACACTTCTATTTGACCTTTCGTTCCAACTGTAACTGTTCTTTCATAGAACCTACTAAAACAACAAATGCCTAGGATTAATAATTGATTTGTTGGGGCCCTCAAATAAACTACCTCTGTTCTAGAGAACGCTGACTTATAAACGTATTCAAACTCCTTAGAAAACTCCCTGATTTACATACAATCAAGATAGTGTATACGGAATATGTCAGTCGATATCATCTTACTGCATCTCGGTATGAGTTGGAGCGTCTTCGTCTTCAATGCTGAAAATTGAGTGTACTCAACGCGCCACTCTTAAGATATCCTGTATGAAACCTTTTCGCTTCTGAACTTCAAAATTGTAGAATGAAAAAAAAATCTTAACGGTTAGACTATACTTAATGGCAATATGCAGACTTTTTGGCAGGTCGGGTAAGCCTTGCCGTACCTGAACGTTCTAGAGAAGGAATAGGTCAAAAGTACCAGCCATAACCGACGAGCATGCATGGTGAATGTCATGAAAGTTGATGAAGCGAAGGTTAGAAATAGTGCAAATAAATAAATCATAACGATCTGGCTTTACGACCCACCAAAATATTGTAAATTTTAATAACATATTTTCATTCATAAAAATACTCGTAATGTACTTATAAAAGAACTTAATACCACGATATCACGAACATATTGAATATCGTAAAAATAGATGTTATTTTCTCATTTAGTAAATTGTTAAGGGATTCTCCGGGCAATTTTTCCCTTCATAAAGGTTCGTATAATGGTTATTGTCTGAATTGCTAAGCAATTTGTATACGGCGTTTAAATTAGTAAATATATAAGTTGTATCAGAATTTCTTTAATCTGTTATAACTATTGTTATTATGCTTTTATAATAATATAATGTTGATATTAATGTTGTTGCGACTTGTATAGGATAAATATTTTTTGTATCATTTATAATACATTTATTGAATTCATTGAACAATTGAAATATGCTATATAATATACATATTTATTAGATAATAATAAAGCAATATTTTATATAGTTTGACTTGAGCATTCTAAAGCATTGTGAGGTGTATTTGATTTTAATGCCACACACCGAACAGCCAATTCAGCGAATAAAAAGCGTAGACAAACAAGTTCTCAAAGTTTGCTTAAACGCGGCCGGTAACAACTATAAATCTGCCGTCTAGATTTACGAGGGGCCTCCGCAAATCGGTTTATATTTTCGATAAATAAAATTGGCGCGGGTTTTGCGAGGTAAGCAGAGGCAGTTAGGAGCACGTCGCCAGCTGCAACATAAACCCGGCTACCCTAGCGTTTTCTTGCTGACAATTTTTTCCCGCTACGGTCATTACGCAGCTGGGCCCGAGACAAAACGGCGAATCGTTTAAGCTCTACTGAGACCATCCAATTTTATTGTGTAGGTATCTAGTTGAAATTGATATGCCGAACGGTCACTTGCGTCACGTGTGACGGACATTCATGGGTGGATAGCCCTCAAATACTGTATGATATGCTTAGATGAAATTTCTAACATCCTTTATTTTCCAGGTCCATTGGTCAAGGGTTATTAAAGTTAATTGTCAAAATGCAATGAAAGCACAGATATAAATGTGTGTGTAATCTGAGTTCATGTGACATCATAGAGACGTGCGAAGAAATTATGGGAGTGAGTAAAACTAAAACTTGATTAGTCCCGAGGTCACGGATTCAAACATCGACTAGTTAATAATGTATTTCTCTATGTTATATGCGTAATTCTAGTTGTATGAAAAGCGGGGAAACAAATCCAATACGTTTTTGACATATAACATTCATAGGTCGCACTAAGTCACGACTTTGAATCTAATAAGACCTTAAAAGGGAAGGTATGCTAGGCACTTAAGGCTGACCACCGATTTTCGTATAAACACTATTTTTGTTTAAAGTTGCAGGAATAGATGTTACGTATCAATATTTAGACAATATTAGGAAATTCTTTATTATGATTTAAAAATAAATAAATCAGTGGCGCCACAACCTCATTAGGCCTTGGCCTCAGATTTCTGAATCTGTTTCATGATAATTTTTAAATCTAATAGGCTTGGCTTAGCTTATCACCTACTTGAGGTGATCAGCCACCAGTGCCTGACACACGTCGTCGACTTTTTGGGTCTAAGACATGTCGGTTTCCTCACGATGTTTTCCTTCACCGTTCGAGCAAATGTTAAATGCGCATAGAAAGAAATTCCATTGGTGCATAGCCGGGGATCAAACCGACCTTAGGTATGAGAGTCGCACGCTGAAGTCACTAGGCCAACACTGCTCATTATCATTATGATTTAGCGTTGCGAATTTGATAAAATATGATGAGACACAAATTAAAGAGCAAATAACAAATATGATTTATTATTATGTTAATGTTTTAAGTAAGCACATCCTTTTTGTATTGTCAAAAAAAATCTGTCATTCTGTAATGTCTATGCTTAATGTCCTGTCATTTTCAAATTTTCTATGGCTTATATCAAAATTTTAAAGTAATCCTAAACCTATAGAAAGTGATGAATTCAGATAGAAGTGACTATGATACAGTCTCAATTGGCATTGGATTAGGTGTATTTTGCCTTCCGTTAACTTTACTAATCCCAGATTTCTCCGTGTGGAATGCCATACCAAAGTTCAGAGTGTCACGATTCCACATCATAGCCCAGTATCTCACTCCAAGGCAACTGAATATTGCATTAATTGTGGTGCAATTCGTGCTATTCTTATTGTTTCTCGAAATTCGGAAGCGAAAGTACGTAAGGTCATAAAAATAGCTAGAGCTTCGAGAAAATATGACATGTAGGTTCAACCAGATCTTGGGAATCTATTTTGGCGGAGAGTCTCTTATGAGATGATGAAGGCTATATATATAACAACATACTACCACCGATTACGACGAAACTGCGGGGCGGGGTACAGCTAGTGGGTTGTAAAACGTTATCATGCAATTCCTTAAATTTTACAAATTAGTAATTGCAGTTTACTTCTGCAGTTATCTAAGTTCAGTTGGTCAAGCTGCATAGTCGCTGCGTGTTAGTCCCTGGGTTCGATTCTCGTCGAAACTAATTTCTGGTTAGAAGCCACAGATGATGATCACAAGTACCTATATAGACTGGGGAATTAATCTTTATATTTGTACAATAGGAAAATGTTATAAAAGATTAATTGTTTTTAAATTAAATTGAAACGAAACATATACGTATACTCGTACGCAATGAGTGCGTGAAAAGTCAAGAATATTACATATTTATAAAATTATACTGAGGAATCAAAATGCTAACTTAGTGTAAGTATCTGCGTAACAACGTAACTGCGTATCTATACATCCTCACTATGTATTTACAGACTTCAAGAAATGGTGAATGCAGTGATGACGGTGACAAGAGAAACAGATACCACCATGGATGAAGAGCGTGTGAAGCAGGCGGCTGCGGTCAAAGCCTGCGTACAGTTGCTGGACGTATCTACCGATCATTACGAAAACCTCGTCCTTCTGAAAGACGAAATTCGGAAGAGAGAGAAATCTAAGCAACATCCGCCGTTTATTGAACCTAGTACTTCGAGTGTATAAATTATGGGCGCAATTATTTTGTAACGCATTGTATGTTTTTGTAATTAACGTACCTATGAGTAATAAAAAGTATTGAATTTTTTTTTCATTATGTTTATATTTTACAGATATAGGCAAGTTTAATTGTGGTTTCACTGCTTTAGACTGTATAAAGAATGAATAAGTTTGTTAACATATTTTAAAGCCAAAATAATTTATCAATTTATAATTTAATTATTTTTAAAACTAGTCGCCCCCGCAAAGGTCTTGCTTTAATATGATTTTACTTAGCCTTTTTACTAGCTACATACCAACATATGGAACTCTTCAGAATAAAAACTAAGTACTAAACCAAACAAAAATTTTCATTATTATTATATTTATCCAATTTTATCTCCATAAAAACTTTCCTAAGATTTCAAGGTATACATAAATAAATAATACTCGGATTATTCCAGCCGCCTTCGGACTTTGCCCTGGCAACATATTTATTTATATAGTTTAAACAATGTTATCAAATGCATTAAATCCGTATGAAAACGTCCATATAAAATAATACGTTAATTGAAACAAGCATTTTATTTCAGTTGCAGCAAAAGTAGACGTGTTCATTAGAGCAAATGTCTCCGAGTTCTCGTGGGACATCGTTGACGCGAAAAAACCAATCTGGAGCCGGCAATTACTGCAAATGGCCTAATTAGATGCCGGTAGCTTGTGGCCACTTGGAAATATCGCCTTATTTACCACTGACTTCGACTAATAGGCAAATACAGGTTAATGCTGTATTTTACTGTAAAAAACTACAAATTTAACGAAATTTTAAACTTAAAACACGTAAAAGTAACACCATATTTAAGTCGCCATATTTTTGAGTGGCATTTAAGTGGTCAACTTTAATTCTAGATAAAACAAGTATAATTGTGCTGGATATTTACAGAATTCTAGAAAAAAATCTCGTCTCAAAAGTAAAACGGAACATCAAAGTTGTTGATGATAAATTGCCTGTATTGATTGACAATTTAGTTAGCCGTAAAAATTTCAATTTAATACATACTTGCCACAAAAAATTAGATATTAAAAAGTATAGTAGAGAGAGAGAATGAAATATAGAAGATAATAATGAGCTCTATAAATTTAAATTTGTTTCTAAAAAGCTACGAGAGCTAAAACTTTGCACCTCGAAACCTCGAACTGTCTGCGTTCATTATATATATTGGTAATTATATATATTATATATATAATATATATATTTCTTAGTCTCGACGCTAAACCTTACTTCCTTAATAGTTATCTATTTTTTGTATGGTTTGACGAAATAAGATTTTAAGTGTATGTAAACTATTATAACAATATATATAGACCACAAATTGTTTCCCACTACTGTGACTTGAGCACGCCTCTTCCATTTAGACGAATCCGCCGGGAGCGGATCAGCAAAAATAAATAAAACTGTTATTGAGATAAGCATCTGCGGTGCGGCTTTCGCTAAGTCCCGCTGTGTCGCGCTGAACAATGTTCTGAGATATGTCGGGATTACGACATGCCGCAGCTCGGTTCTCCTTCAAACCTGCCTCCTTTCTGCCGGCTTTCACAGCTGAAACCGCTTATAACAAACCTTTTAATATCACTATGAAGGAATGAAGGAAATAGTTGTTACTGTTTTTCTTTTAAGGAAATAAGAATGTCCTAACTTTATTCCCATTAATAAATTTAACGTGTTTCACTTATTCTTAGCGGTTAAGCGAGCGAACCTCAGTGATAAGGTCTTGAATTCGAACCTTACTCTGCAATGGAATTCTATTAAAACATGGTCATATAGTGAATGAACTTTTCTTGTTGTTAAGTTGTTGTAAGTCATATTAAATTTATTATCTATAATTTTTAAGCCATAAAGTTAGTAACCATATTTTTTATTTTAAACTCTTGTGTAAAAATTATCACGCATAGATTACAAATACATCGTAAGATGGTCCGGAGCGCACCTGCGGCTTGCTCGGATTAATTTCTCATCATTTCCCTGGAAATAATGCGAACTGAGGAAAAATGCCACTGAGAGCTTCATCCCCAAGTTGATTAATAAAATCTAGGCGTTCAGAGTTACATTATATGTATACAATATACTTTCGTTGTTATATTATTATATATATTTAAATATGACAGTCTGCATCCATTGATTCTACATTTCAAGTAATGTTTAATGTATTTTTATATGTAAGAGCTGGAGCTGTAATTATATACGAACATCGAAGCCAGTGAACATCCTCCTATATTCTACATACATATATATATCCTATATGTTATGTAATATTTATATGATTATGTAATATTTTATTTATGTTTGGATTGTCTGGAAGAAACTGGTTTTAGCAGTAAGATCGCACATTACGTCCTTTCTCTTCGTTGATTTAATTTGATTTTTTCTTTTGTTTTGTGATATTGTTATGTAAATAGTGTTATTATTATTAGTTCCTGTAACTTAATACCTTTTACGTGTGCTTAAGCACCTAAAAGGTATGTATATTACTTGTATTTATTTTTCTTCCTTCCTTGTATTTGAAATAGACATATTTTTATTTATATCATAGACTCAGTGTTGTTCAGAAGTTTTTTATTATTCTATTTAATATATTTTTATATAATCTAAATGTCTCTTACTATGACTAAGTACCACGATAATTTAGTTGACATATTTTTGCGTGGCACATAAGAGATCAACCGGGGTTTTATTCTCGATAAAACAATATTTGTGCTGGAAATGCACAGAATGCTAGAAGAAGATTACAAACCCTCTTGTCTCAAAAGAAAAACGGAACATCAAAGTCGTTGATGATAGATTGAATTTTCTTAATGTATTGACCATTCAATTAGCTGTAAAAATGTCAATTTAATACATAAATATATGAATATAGAATGTCTTTGATAAACAAGACTATAATTATGGGACCCACTTGAGACACAAATTTCTTTTCAAATAGGTATATGATTTTAACAGGCGACATTGTAACCACAAAACACTGCATGCGATATTTTAGCCACAAGATGGCCGCAAGCATCTGTCGGTTTGTCGCTCTTCTCTTTAAATAACTGTACTTTAATACAATTATTTGCTATCATTATTGTTTGCGGTAAGAAGTTCACGCGAACACTTTCCTTTCCACAAATTACGCTTCGAGCTATGTAAATTGTTTGGAAATTCTTTAAATGCTTTACAAGCTAACTATAGCTATTAATGTTTTTTTTTTAATTTGTGAGCCCCGGGTTATTCATAGTTCGAATATTGTTGTTGATTAATTTTGTAATGGTTGATTTATTTATAAACTATTGTATTGTATTGTATATTTTTCGTGCTGTGATGACCTAGTAGGTACTTGCTGGACGGTGGCAGGTCAAATTACGGTTAAATCAATGAATTTTTATTTGCAGTCATTAACACTGAACAGTAAAGGTGTTGCATGGTCATAGACAAAACCGGCATGTCTTATCAAACATTGTAGACATGTGTCAAGCATACAAAGCCGATCACCAATGTTGATATTCTAAAGAAAGAGTGATTAAAGAATACAAATTTGGTTTTTTCTTACCGGCGTGACCCGATATGTCCAATCAAAGCATGAAGTTTTTTTTATAGAACAGGTGGCAAACGGACAGGAGGCTCATCTGATGTTAATTGATATGGACTTGGGACACTCTCAATGCCAGAGGGCTCGCGAGTGTGTTGCGGGCCTTATAGTTCCATTAATGCCATTATCATATCATTTTATATTAAGATTTCTGTGGAAGAGGATTCGCCCCCTTTTTATGTTCAAGCTAAAAGATTTCGTAAGAAGATTAAAGAATAAATTTACTAGAAACATTACTTGATAGAATTCGATGAATACTTGGCTACTTTAAGGTCGAGGGCTCATAAATCCAAATTGTCTTGATCCACTCAGAATTATTTATGTTACTATTTATTGTATTAACATAAATTGGACATGAGTTATTTTATTACTCCGAATGAGCAGAACAAAGATTACGATTGTCAAATTTGTCATAGATCGTAAATGATATATTTGATTATAATGGATCGTGTCATGGTTTTAATGATCGTGGTAAATCGAAGTGATTTTTTTGTTTTAATATCTTACTATTATCTTTTTTGATATATCTATTTTTTATTCTGGCATATCATGAAGACGTCATTAGTTGACAATTTTGAATATGAAATTCATATACATACATGGTATATACGAGATAAATTTGTTACTGAAGTCGCAGGGGTTCCGAAACAAAAAATTCATGAACGAAACTATTATTGATATAAAAAGGACTCCTTATTTTGCACTTTTTTTTAAGATTTTGATGAGAAAGAAAACAACTTAAATTTTATAGAGATATTAAAAACTGAAATATGAATAAAGTCCATATGTAATGGATCAAGCAATAGATAATTTTGGCTCTATAAAGAATAACGAAACTATCCCGTAAACTCTCGTTGTCTTCTTCAAAAACATTCATAAACATTTGATCGTTAAAATTTAATATCATTATGGTCCAGGGCTCAAATTTCTACATTATAACATATTTTGAATAAAGCCAAACCACGTTAATCATTATTTAATGTCCTTCGAGAGAAGTGCCCCTATTTTATTTAAATTGTTAACGATACGACACTCACGTACAGCTAAGCCTTTTCATCTGTCAAGATTTAACAGCTATGGAATTGGGTTATAATTTACGATTTTATCTCGTGACACCATGGGGGCTGTGGTCAGCGATCCGGTGAAAAAATGTGCAGCCGGAGTACGGCATAATGGTCAGCGGTTTCCCTCGCACCCGCCCTGTTATGACTTGCCAAAATAGAGTCATAATAATGAGAGATGGTCCCGTAACTTGTGCGTAATTTAGAGCGAATCGTAACGACCGCCCGCGGCATCACGGCTTTCCGTGTTGCCCTGTCGGGGGTGATTTAGAATCACTTTTGTTGGTCAGTTTGTGACTCAATTATTATTGTCCGCATTTGCAGTCAATACATCGCTTTA